ACCTATTTTAATTCTCTGTTGTTGGGAGCCCTGCTTAGTCCCTACCTACTTTTTTCTCCTACTAGGAGTTGAGTTCGACTCAGGCCTTTTCACTTGAGATGAAAACTCTCTCGGTAGAAAGATAAAACAAAACCTGTCGAGGGTGTAGGTAACTCTCCCAAAAGAGAAGTGATGGCAAACTTTGGGCTCACCCTATCAAAAATGTAGAAATTAGCTAGCTTGATTTTCCTGGCATATCATATCACCACCACCCCGGAACTAAAATGAAACAATTCTTTATCTCTCCTCCAACAATATAAAAAAAGATATTGAGAATCTGGAAAGAGTGTAGAGAAGAGCAACGAGAATGATTAGCAGGTTGGAGACTAAACATACAAAGAAAGGTTACAGGAATTGGATATGTCTAGTCTAATGAAAAAGAAAGACTAGGGGAGACATGATAGCGTCAATATTTGAGGGGCTCCTACAAAGACGAGGTGGTCAAAATATTTCCCAAAGTACCAAAAGGCAAGACAAGAAACAGTGGTTGGAAACTAATTAAGAAGAGAAGCAACCTAGAACTAAGAGGTTTCTAACGGTGAGAGCAATCAACCAATGGAACAGCTTGCCTTCAGAAGTTGGGAGTGCTCTATCATTGGAGGCTTTCAAAATGAGACTGGACAACCATTTATCTGAAATGTTATAGGGTTTCCTGCTTGAGCGGGGGCTTGGACTAGAAGACCTCCAGGGTCCCTTCCAACTCTATTATCCTCTGCTCCTTGTTCTATCTAGGCCACTGTGAACAAATCTGGGCGTTGAAAACCACAAGTCTGAAAGTTGCCAAGATAGGACATTCCTGCTCTAAGAGATGAACACAGTTTGTACTATTCACATTAACTCTCAGTTTAGCTCTTAACAATCCTAGTTAGTTCTGGTTGGCTCTGGGCCCATAACCAATGTTAAGGATATTGTTGTTGTGTTATCAACCAGCAGAGTGTAGAGCACAGAGAAACGTTGCTGAGAGCAATGAAAAAGAGATGTGCAAACTGGTTTATCAAAAGTTTACTTTATCGTGAAAAAACAATCTCATAGTCTGTAAATCAATCCCAAGTCTTTGCCAGTTAAATCAGTCCAGTGATACAGAAATCTTCTTACCACACAAACAGTAGTTGGTTTGAATAACAAACTCACTCTGGTTCACAAACCACGATGGTAGCAGATCCATCCAACGATGATAGCACAATGATAGCAACTCCACACACTATGGTAGCATATCATCAACTGAATACGTTACAGTACCTTTCTTAAATACGTTTACAACTAGTGATTATCTAATTACAGCATGACTCAGCATTACAATGAATCAGCAGGAAAACTTTAAAGTCACACAATACATATTCATATTAAAATCACAGAACACTTATATTGCCTGGACAACTTGTTAGGCTCAAACCATATCCTAACAGAGACAGTGGTGAGACTGGGCCTGAAGTAAAGGCTTGGGCCTCAACTTCAGTCCTAGTGCCACAGCTGCCACTCAGAGAGGCCACCCTGCACTGTTCCCCAAGACAAAATTGCCTCCACGGCCCAGCACTCCCCAGGATCTGCCATATAGAATAGAATAACAGAGTTGGACATGACCTTAGAGGTCTTCTAGTCCAACCCTCTGCTCAGGCATATGTTGAGTAACACTTCAGGCAGTGTTCTCTTTCTGTTGACAGGCCCCTGCGGCCTACCTGAGGATGCTCCAGGTTGCACACAGATTTTGTTCTTGAAGCAGCTTCGGAGAATGCTCGGTCGTAGCCTCTGCAGCCTCCAAATACCATGCCAAAAGCACACCTCGTTCTTGTGTGATTTTTGGAGGCTCCGGAGGCTGCACAAAAGCACGGCCCTCTCGGGTGACTTGTAGAGGCTGCGTGAGAGCACATCCCATTTTCTTGCAGACTCCATAACCTCCAAAAATCACACAAGGACAGGGTGTGCTTTTTAAAAGAGTTGTTGGGTGTTGGCGAAAGCTGTCTGTCATCAAATTGTCATGACATGTCACCTTTGATATGCATGTCATAGATCTGCCATTGTGCAATAGAAGGTTTGAACCTCACAGAATAACCTCTGGTTAGGTATGTCTGATTATTTCTATTAAGGATGAAATTGTTCACGTACTGCCTTTATGAGAGCCAATGTAATTGAAAACTTCAGACAGGTTATACTCTGTCAATATAGAGAAATGCTACCACCAGCCTCCAAAAATCATGTAAAACCCGTGTATGCTAACACAACATAAAGGAACATCTACATCTTTCTGAACTGAGAGCTTAAGGGAAGGTGGATTCTATATTCCAGTGATGGCGAATCTTTTCGGCACTTAGTGCTCAAACCGGAATGTGCGCGCACACATGTGTGCGCCGGAGCACCGGAAGCCTGAATACCAGCTGGCCAGTGCGTATGCGCGTGCCGGAAACCAGAAGAGCAGCTGGTGACAGCGCATGTGCCCACAGAGAGGGCTCTGTGTGCCACCACTGGCATGCATGCCATAGGTTTGCCATAACGGCTATATACCATCCTGATAGGTTCATCTCTTGGAGCAAGGATGTCCAACCTTGACAACTTTAACACTAATGAACTTCAAGTCTCAGAATTCTGGCTGGAGACTTCTGGGACTTGAAGTCCCCTGGTCTTAAAGTTGCCAAGGTTGGACATCCCATCTTGAAGTTTCTTAGTAAAGCAATAATTTCATGCTCTTTCCCTTCTCCCCCAGATTAGCCCTCAGGGAACTCCACTCATGGGGCTTGGGTCACCCAGAGTTGGGCTTTATACTTAAAATGGCGTACAATTTCTAATTTATCTATTACGGCAGCAAACGAAACAAGGAAGCAATGGCAGACTTCAAATGCTGTTAGATTTATATCTGAAGCAAATAAAGGCAGTTCATTCCATTTCAACAAATGCATTTAACTCCAGATACGATTTATGGAAACCGTTCATAAGAGACAAAGCTACATTTCAGTAAGATCCTATTTTTATTATATCTTGTGTTAATCATCTTGAAATAGTGCAAATGAGAACAGTTAAGATTTGGCCCAAATTATGCTTTTTATAGTAATGATAATCACCGTTCATTTCCCCTCATGATATTCTGGATTTTTTTTTTTTTTTTTTTTTTTTGGTTATTATTTCAAATTTCCTGAAAGTTGCAATGTGTGAACCTGGACAATCCTATGTAGGCTGTTAAACTGCTAAATTACATTTTAGCTTTTTGGCAGGGTTATTGCAACATAGCTAGCTAGCCTTTAACTGCAGTAAAGATGGCTGTGGGAACAGTGGCAGAAGCAAGAAGGATCTTGAACTATCTTTACTATCTTGGAGGCGTTTTTCCTTTGCTTGATCTTAATTTTAACAGAAATGTTCAGGAGAAGTGGGGCAGGGGGGATCCAGAACTGGTATACATCCAAAGATAATTTAATTAGTTGCCAAGGAAAAAAAATGTGTTATTATTTCTAAGGTCTATTTCTATACTCGGCTGCAGCTTCTCTTTTTTAAAATCCTTTTTAAAAAATCAAGATAATTTTTGCAAGACCACCTTCCTTTTGGAGCAGAGAAGGCTGGAGGTCTCTCAATCAGTTATTAAGCAGTGCAGAAGTTCCCGGAGCTTCTTCAAAAATCTTTTTTTGTGTTGGACTCCTGATCCACAAGGAGTTTTGCCTGATGCTGCCTTTTCCTTCCTGAATTTTCACATTTTATAAAAATTTGGGTTTTTTGTTTTTTTAACCCAGGAACTATTATCCAATTTATCAATTTTCTTGTTAACCTTGTCAGATGAAGCTACTTTCCTGAAATTTCCTCACGGAAAAGAATGGCAATGTCTCTCTTGAATGGCGCTTAAGGCATTATGTAAAGTCGATGAAGGTTGCGTCAATCTACTGACAGTTAAAGCAGTATTAATTAGGCTCCTGCAACCTTGCAATTCTCCCACTCTTTGTGCCTTTTCTTCAAGGTTTTCATTTATATTCTGCACTGTTGCATTTGGAAATTACTTTGGAAACTACTAGCAGGGAACCTCAGTGGTCAATATGCTGTTATTATCCCATGAAGCTCTTATCTCAACCCCTGCTAGCTTTAAGTTCCATGTAAAACCAGAGATGTACTAACTATAGGGATGGTCAGCCTACTACATGGATGCCTTAAACTACTTTTGTGCCACTAAATTTTCAGTAGAGCTAACATCTCCCTCCCTCCCTCCCTCCCTCCCTCCCTCCCTCCATTTCTTTCTTTCTTTCTTTCTTTCTTTCTTTCTTTCTTTCTTTCTTTCTTTCTTTCTTTCTTTCTTTCTTTCCCTCTCCCCAATTGCAAGAATTAAAGTCGCATGCCATCTGCTAGCCATTATACCATGGTCTCTGACCACTGGAGCTTTAAACTGCTGACTTTGATTTTAGAAGTGGGCTGCAGTGGCTGCCGGCATTAGATGTACCTTTAGACTTAACGCTTAGAACGGCTTTTAAAATTAAGAAAGTGTGTTTACTCATTTGGTTTGACTTAGTGTTAAAAACTAGATATGCATCTCTGATGTGTGCTCATTTTGAAACAGGCCCAGACTATATTCAATAAAACCGACATTTCAGTAAATATGCAAGTAACCTAAGCAAGGTTAGGTTAACCTAGCAAGATGCATTTGAATAGTAATTTCTACTTTGATTTTTTTCTCCCTTCAACATTCTTGTTAAGGCAAGATACCCTGATCACCAGAATGCTTTGTCTTTGACAACCGTGCCATTAAAATGTGTGCATCACAGTCCTAATAATGTCTGACTTTGGAAATTGTAGTGCAATAATGAAGTATAAATTTCAGTGTGGAGCATGATGAGATTTACTGTTTAATTTTAAAAAAGGCATTATTCTTTAGGAATAGAAATTAATCTTTGGAGGTATTGATTTATTGTAGAATATAAGCGGTATGTTTCAATTAAGATGGCTCTGGAGATTTGTGAGACTGAAAAGTGTGCTTTGTTTTCTTCCCATTTCAGAATATGACAGATACCTAGCATCTAGCAAAACTATGGCAGCAGCTTATCTAGACCCAAACTTGAATCATACGCCAAGCTCAAGCACAAAAACACACCTCAGTTCCGGGGTGGAACGTTCTCCAGGGACAATGGAACGGGTCCTGAAGGTTTTCCATTATTTTGAAAGTAACAGTGAACCAACAACGTGGGCCAGTATTATCCGACATGGAGATGCCACAGACGTTTGGGTGAGTTGATTTCATGTTTTAAAACATTTTAGAGATTCTGATGCAAAAGCCATTCTCATAAGGTGAGCTGAGTAACTTGTTGGCTGTGTAACACAGTTGTCGAGTGCCCTAGTTGTTTCTCCTTCTTTATGGACTCTTAGACTTGAGGGATAGGAGAGTTGACGTCAATAAGCCTTAAAGTTGCTAAACACCTCTTGGCTCCTTGAAAAACATGGGATTAAACTTAATTATATATAAAAAAATTCAAAAATAGAACATCATACCAATTTGTCTTAGGATTGACAGTGAAGATGTGGAGGTGATGAATAGCTTCTGCTTTTTAGGAATAGTAAAACAGTATCTGATAATATTATTTTTTAATTTTAAAAAACACCTTTTTTTTTAACGCCGTCTGATTAATCTTTGCAGCCTCTAGGCTAGAAAACAAACACTATGTAGAAATGATACTGAAGCACCATTTATCTTAACTCATTTCCTCTTTTCTCACAGTTCAACATTTTGAACAGAACTGTCCTATCGGGGAGATGGGCAGCATATAAATTTAATAAATAGATAAGTGAATAAACATTTTATTATCCTTCTTTTTTTGCGATCACCAGTAGGAAAAGCATTCCAGAATATCAGTTATAGGACAATTCTTTATAAGGAAAAGGTCAGGTTTTTGTGATAGTGTTTTAGGGTATTGCACAGTTTTGGAAAATTGTATGTTCAGCCACTCAGATCATTGGGATAAAGCCACTACAATTTGCAAAGTTGCATTGTTTCTAAAAGAGCTATCACATTGTGTCCTGAAATCCAGGCTTATAGTATTATGGTGTCCTTAACTTGCTGGCTCTTTCTGTACATCCATGAAATGGTATGGGGTTTCCAGTCTGAGCATGGGATTGGACTAGAAGACCTCCAAGGCTCCTTCCAACTCTGTTATTATGAGCCATTAAGGAAGTATTAATTTGCACATCTGCATATCACCCAAAGCCACCCAGAATCGCTCGATTAGTGAGATGAGTGACACATAAATTCAATAAATAAATAAAAAATTACTAAAACTACTGAGTTCAAACTGAATAAAAGCTGCCATTTTTCTGCATGAAGCTGCAGTAGAAATTCCTTACTTTTTCCTCTGTCTCATGGATTCTAGTCGTCCTAATCATTGTGAGGAATACCTATACTTTCTTAATACTTTTTATTCACTTGCCAGAGGTAGAACATTTAATATTGGACAAGGAACTAAAATTTCAGGCATCCTCCAGTGTAAACATGTGATATCTTTTGGTTGGATTTTTGCAATATCATGTATGAATGATCTTTACCGCTAATGTTTCATTATTAAACCCATCTTATTCAGACACAATTTATGTAAAGCATTTATTATGTTATGTCATTCCCTTTTATTTCAAAATACGCATTTGAAAGGTACTCAGAAAATCTATAAAACACATTTTTTTGTCAAACTAAACACTTTATTATTTTTCCCCTCCCATCTTTAGGGCATAATTCAAAAGATAGTGGACTGTCACAAAGTAAAAAATGTAGCCTGCTTTGGTTTACGACTTAGTCACCTACAGTCTGAGGAAGTTCATTGGCTGCATCCGGATATGGGGGTCTCCAACGTGAGAGAGAAATTTGAACTAGGACACGCACCAGAGGAATGGAAGTAAGATTCATTTCCATCTTATAAATGCAAGATGTTGGATTTAATTACCTGAGTGTATATGTTGTGGTCCGCCGGCTGCCTGCGGAGCTGGCAGCAGAGTCGGACAGTGAAGAGGCTGGGGAGGAACATGGGCCAGTCCTGGAGGCTGGGGAAGGCTCGGATGAGGGCTCTGCATCGGAGGCAGAGATGGGGCCAGGGCCATCTGGGAGTTATGTGCGGACTCCGGAGCCTCCAGAGTTGACATCAGCGAGGCAGAGGAACAGGGGGAGCCTGTTCCCAGTGTGTGCATGCGCAGAGCTGCCAAAAGGCAAGAACAGTTAAAACAAAAGGGACGACTTGGGAGTAGGGTTTGGAGATGATTGGCCCCTCCCATAAGACTTAAAAGAGGAGCAAAGGCACATGGGCCTTTGCAGGAAGCAACTGTTGTCATGCTGGCCGGTTTCAATACTGCAGCTCTGTGTTGACTCTGTGTTCCGTGTGGCCTTGCAAAGTTAATTGCCAATTAGGTCTTGGCAGCGTGTCAAGGGAGATAAAGGTGGGTGTTTGTTTGTTTGTTTATTTATTTATTTATTTATTTATTTATTTATTTATTTATTTATTTATTAGATTTTTATACCGCCTCCTCTCCCGAAGGACTCGGGGCGGTGAACAGCCAAAGTTAAAAACATACAATATAAACAATTAAAATACGTTTAAAACAGAATTAAATCTAAAATGGCTCCCCAATTTAAAATGCCTTACCCATACCCCTATAAAAAGACGAATTTAAAATTTAAAAATTTAAAATTTCCACATTTAAAAAGGGGGAAGATTTAGGCCAGGCCAGCTTGATAAAATAGAAAGGTCTTAAGCGCGCGGCGGAAGGTGCGCAGATCCAGGATCCTACGTATCTCCGGGGGGAGCTCGTTCCAAATCGTAGGTGCCTTATCCCGAAGGACTGTGGCAGACTTCTGTCGGACTCTTTACAACTATTTGGGACTCATCTGTGAATGAACAGATTGGGAATGAACAGGCTCTGAATGAGCAGAATTCACACCCGTTGAAATAAAAAGAGGGTTTTTGAGACTCATTGTGTGCTTTTACTGTATCAGGAAGCCTAGGTCAGAACAGTATAAATTGCATCGTGGCCTGTCCACAGGTTGAGATAACCACAATGAAGTTTACGAGGAGAGGCTTTTCTTCTTGCTGCTTCGGAATAGAGATGGTGTGAAACTGGTTGTTTTGGCGAAACTGCAGAAAGGGAGATCTGTTTTTAGGGTGATGTAGGAGATGACCAGGCTGAGCCTGATGGCGGAGTCAAACACGTCATCAGTTTGAAGTCACTGTGCCTCGTAAGAAACCTTAGTCCAGCCTCCCCCTGCTCCCAAAGCCTGTTGATGCTTATCTGGTGCCAATTTGCCTTGACCGTTAGTAGATCAGATTCTTGAGTGGTGCAGTGGCCTAGAGGTGGAGCTCTCGCCTCACAATCAGGAGGCTGGGAGTTCAATCCTAGGTAGAGGCAGATATTTCTCTCTCTGGGCACAATGAGAATATATCTGCTGAACAAAGCTCCACATTGGTGACAGGAAAGGCATCCGGCCAGTAAACACTCAGCTCCATTCAGTTTGCCCCGACTCCACCCCGCAAGGGATTATGGGGTCGTTAAAAGAAGATGATGATTAGTAGATCAGATTCTTGTCTGTGGGTTGTGCTTTTGAACTCTATCCTGGTCCCTGGTTTCTTGCGCCTAACAGATTAGGGTAAAAAATAAAATAAAAATAGGAGGGTGATAAATGCAGACAGCAAAAGGATAGGAGAGTGGCTGGCAGTCTCACTGAATACAAAGTTGTGGTAGAAGGCCTGTCCCAAATGGCTTATCTGCTGTTTCAGCAGTTGACAGCAGGAAAAATGGGCCTGCTTATCTGCTCTGCATTAATCCTGTCGACAAGGCAAAGAGGAGTGATTTCTAATATGTGGAAGTCCATGAGCGGAATGAAGAGCGGTTGTAAGGAATAAGACGAAGAGAGAAATTAGGGAGTAAAGCCAGAAGACTAATTGTCTTCTCTAAACCCATCCAAACACCCAGGCTTCTCTCTATCTTAAGCTGTTGTAAATTTTTTTTTTTAATGAGAACGTGTGTGCCATCTTGTGGATCGTCTTCTGGAATAGAGCATGCACGTACTTTAAGCTTAACACGGTGATTTATTTATTCAGAGATTATGTACTTTACAAGCGGTACATGGCCACATGTTCTGGCTTTGGGAACAGAGGTCATAGATTGAGAATAAAAGCCCTTTGAAATATTTTCTCTCTACACTTACCCGGAGTGTAAGTTCTGGAGAAAAAAAACCCCCACCAGATTGCAGGCTCTCTTCTAATTCCTTTGAATATTGAACATCTTGGATGTATTTAATATATCAATATATCTATTTTCTATTTTTTCGGGGTCATATGGTAAAAAATATAGCTATGAAATATAAAAATATACAGTTTCATCTTAGTATTCAGTGGCACCCCCAAATCTGAATGCATTATGGAATGAAGGCATTTATTTAACAATCCTGTTATATCTGATGTTCAGGTGATCAGGTCCTTCAAAATCCTTTCTGAAAGCACTGACAGTGGTGTTGGTGGAGTTACGGTAAATTATTCAGAATATTTCCAGTGTGTCACTTCACGCTTTATCAAAATTGTGCAGCCTGCCTTGCTGTCTTAAAATGGGGGATAATGTAGAAGTTGCTGTCAGGTTTTGCTTAATACCATAAAGCAAGCGTTTGGGATCAGATGACAGCACATGTAAAAGTTTAAATTAGCATTTTTTAAAAAAGGAATCCGTGAAGACTGTTTCAATTTAATGCTTTGCTGCATTCTAATCATGTATTAACTGGAATTCTTGTCTAAACGGCTTTGATGTTCTTTAAAAAAAGAAATCTTAAAAACATATAAAAAGAAGCTTAGTAATGCCAGCAAGAATCGGGATGATGGCTTATTTCTGGTATTTATGAACACTTTTTCTGTTTCTTTTCCTCAGTTAGCTAGAAGACAGTTACAGTGATTTGTAGTGTGTTGGAATGAACACCAGGCTTAGATACACACACAAGAAACAGGCTAATAATAGCTGCTTTCTGGCCATATCTGTTAGAGTTTGCAGCAATCCAACCAGTACATAAGTAAATAATTCAGCAGCATTCATTTATATAAGAAACTTCTTTATATACAATACCCATACAGCAGAAGCCATAACCAGAACTCAGAGGACAGAAACACAGAATCAATAATCACAGAAGCACTCATAGCTCCGAACCGTCTGGGTCACCAAACAGTCCCCATTGGCTGACCTGTTACCATGTCTATTCCAATTCATGAACTCTTATACACTGACAATATCTAGTTAACATTTCCCTTTTTATATTATAGACTTCTCTTTGGAGAAATAGATAGGTGCGCCGTCTTCGCTTCTGTTATTTTTCGCAATTATATTTAAGATCTCTAGTGGTGTTAGCAGAATGTTAATGTGCAAACTTTAGGAAGTACAGTATACAAACGAGCTTTACAGAGTGATTTATGAAGGTTGTTCAGTTCATTAAAGTTTATCAACAACATAGTGGTTAAGGTACATTTCTGGAAACCAGGATTATACAGATTAACAGAGTTGGAAGGGACCTTGTAGGTCATCTAGTCCAACCCCCCGCCCAAGCAGACCTTACATCATTTTTGACAGATGGCAGTTCAGTCTCTTCTTGAAAGTTCCCACAACTTCTGAAGACAACTTCTGTTCCATGGGTTGATTGTTCTCACTGTCAGAAAGTTTCTCCTTATTTCCAGGTTGAATCTCTCCTTGATCAGTTTCCATTCCTTATTCCTTGTCTGGCCTTCGGGTGCTTTGGAAAATAGTTTGACCCCCTCCTCTCTGTGGCAGCCCCTCGAATATTGGAAGACTGCTATCATGTCTCCCCTGGTCCTTATCTTCACTAGACTAGCCATGCCCAGTTCCTGCAACTGTCTATCGTATGTTTTAGCCTCCAGTCCCCTAATCATCTTGGTTGCTCTTCTCTGCACTCTTTCTAGAGTCTCAGCATCTTTTTTATAGTGTGGTGACCAGGAGCCCGAGTTCTAGTCCTGCCTTAGGCATGAAAGCTGGCTGGGTGGCTTTGGGCCAATCACCAGGAGACTGGGAGTTCAAGTTCCACCTGAAGTGCAAAGCCAGTTGAGTGACTTTGAGCCAGCCCTAGGAAGCAGGCAATAGCAGACTTGTTTTGAAACCTTGCCAAGAAAATTTCAGGGGCCGGTCCAGGGAGTTGCCAAGAATCAAGATGGACTCGTAAGCGCACACAGGTATGCCACATTTCTCATACGGACATCTTTGCGGCATTATTAGCAGGTGTTCTACAAAGGCGTATGCTTTGTCCTAACTCAGTTTGAAGTAATAAATAGTCATTCTGGCATTTAGGGTGCCCCAAACAGTTATTTTAAAAGTGAAATTGGCAATTGATAGACATACACATCCTGACTTAATGGAAGGACAGTTCTGAAGGATAACAAATCATAAATAATGGATGACATGGATACGGAAAATTGCTACTATGGTCCAGAATACAAATATAGGAACATCGCAGTTCCCCGCTGAAGCTCTCGAGCCGCAGCTTAATAGAAAGAAAAGCTGTGGTGTCTTGTGATCAAAGTTATTTCTCTCTGGGGGCTCTTCCGTAGGCCATTGACTCGGTTGCAAAGAAAGGCTTTCTCAGTGACTGATCATTGGAAAAACTGAACGAGTGAATTCCTTCCGTTTACAACTAAACCAGAAGAGACAAGCTGGTTGCTTTCGGAAGCTCCATTTTACTGCCAATATTTTAATGCTTTGCTATTATTTCAAAAACCCCTTCAATTCACAGTAGTAAGATGTTTCTGATGTGTACAACAAGTGGTTTGATACTTTCCCCCCAGACCCAACACTCCTCCTCTTCCCTATTATACAACCATGTCTTCCTTTGCCTCCTACTTTGTCAGACCTATTCATACAATTAATTTATATACCAATTTTATTATTTTTATAAATATTCAAGGTGGTGGATGTATCTAATACTCCTTCCTGCTCCTATTTCCTCCACAACTACAACCTTGTAAGGTGAGTTGGACTAAAAGAGCGTGACTGGCCCAAAGTCACCCAGCTAGCTAGAACATACCGTCTCCTGCTTTCTAGCTCTGTGCCTTAACCACTAGACCAACTTGGCTCTCACCATTAGACCAACGCACCACTGCCTTGCAATAGTGAGCACCCTACAATGAGAGCACCCTACATAGCCCAAGATAGACAATACACATGTACATGCCTCTGTTGTTGAGCTGTGAAGAAAATGGCAAAGCTGACCCTTACATGACTGGATGTACTTATAATTGGCCAATGGGTTGCCCTTTGCACAGGCGTGCAACTTCCACAACCCCAGATGAGTGAGTTGGGAGCACAAATATCGATCGGCAATCCATGATCATCAGAACTGCACGTGCAAAGCCAAAACCTGAAAAGATTTCTAACCTTCCAGGACCAGTCAGCTGCTGGTCCATCCAGGCATACTACTCCCAGTCATCAAACTTCAGTGGCCAAGTCCTCTCAAATTTGCAATTCCTTTTGAATATGCTCCTGACTCTCAAAAGCAGGGGCATCCAAGCATGGCAACTTTTTTTTTTTTTTTTAAATTTGATTTATATGCCGCCCTTCTCCGGAGACTCAGGGCGGCTTACAATGCGTTAAGCAATAGCCTTCATACTTTTGTATATTTATACAAAGTCAGCTTACTGCCCCCACAAACTGGGTCCTCATTTCACCTACCTTAGAAAGGATGGAAGGCTGAGTCAACCTTGAGCCTTGGAGAGATTCGAACCAGCAGTAAATTGCAGGCAGCTGTGTTAATAACAGGGTGCGTAGACCACTGTACTATCAAGGCTCGATTCCTCAGCCAGCCATACTGCCTGGGGAATTCTGGGAGTTGAAGTCCACAAGACTTCAAGTTGCCAAGATTGGGCACCCTTGTTCCTTTCGGACCTCAGGGACCACTAAATTCATATTTTTAAATCCCGCGGACCACTAATATGATCTGCCTAATCACCGGCTGGATGGGCATGGCTAGGTGGTCATGTGACTGGGTGGGCGTCGCCAACTCGATGTCACTCACATCGAGGGGCGCCTTGCCGGCCTTTACTCACCCCTCTCCTGCCAGCTATTCCTCGCCTTCCTGCCTGGGCTCCTTAGGGCCCCAACAGGAAGCAGTTGTTGGAGCTAAGCAGCCACCAGGAGAAAGAGTTGGCAAAACAGCTCAGTTCAGATTGGATCTGACTGAGAAGGAGGCTCAGCAAAAGCACCTCACTCAGGACTATGAGTATAGGCTTTCCAAGCAGAGGGAAGACCTGCGGGAATGCAAGGCCAGGTACTGATACCTGGAGGCTCAGCGGGCTGAGATAGTCAGCCAGTTCCAGGCCATGATGCAGTCCCATTGGAACAAGGTCCTCCGGCTCTTTGCCACCAGTGAGGCTTCCCTCCAGCCTTTGCGCAAAGCCCCACACCAGGAGGCTGAAGCAGACCCTAAGTCAGAATTTCTGCCCCCCTCCGACCCACACAAAAAGCCCCTGAAGGGGGAGACTCTCTGCAGCAACACAAACGTTCATTGCATGTATCCGGCCCAAGGGTTTAGTTTGAGGACCCCTGATTTAGTGAAATATATAAAAAAATGCAAATAATTTTTTCTGTGGACCACCAAAATTTTCTCACGGACAACCAGTGGTCCACAGACCACCAGTTGGTGACTGGTGCTCTAGACGGCTCCGGTAGGAAAGAACATAAGTAGCTGGAGGTTGCTAGGTTCTTCTGAATGTGGTTGTCTCCCTGCAGGTGTTTCATTACAAGGCTAGATAATCTTAGTGTGAGGGAGGGTGAGGTCTGCTGTCTGTTTATATGTAGTGGCTTGTCCTGTCTGACTTTGGTGGGATGGGGTTTGTAGCTTGATGAGGATAGTGTTTCTTCCTTGGTATTGTTCTAGTAGTGTGTCCCGTTGACCTGGATAGTGGCTGCTTTTGACTTTGGATCTACAGTTGGAGAATCTCTGCTGTATGGATCTGAAATAGTAGAACAGCACTTAACAATAGCTCTTAGACTGCTTATATACTGCTTAATAGTGCTTGTTGTGACCTAGGCTTCCTGAGTCATTAAAACACACAAGTAGTCCCAAAAACCTCTTTTATTGCAACAGCTGTGAATTAGGTTCATTCACAGCTGAGTCCCAATTAGTTGCAAAAAGTCCTTTGGGAGAAGTCCTTCGGGATAATCCCCAACCTTTATCTCCCTTGACACTCTGCCAAAGACCTACTTGGCAAAGCCACACGGAGTCCAGAATCTAACAGAGATACCGACTGGGAACAGAATTAACAATGTTGCTTTCCTGCAAAGGGCCCATGTGCCTTTGTTCCTCTTTTAAGCCTTTTGGGAGGGGCCAATCATCTCCAAGCCTTACTCCCCAGTCGTCCCTTTAGTCTTAACTGTTCTTGCCTTCTGGCAGCTCTGCGCATGCACGCACTATGCCTCTCCGATGTCCGACTCTGGAGGCTCCGGAGTTCGTGCATAACTCTCTCATTTTACTGACCTCGGAAGGATGGAAGAGTGAGCCGGTCAGGATTGACTGCTGGCAATCAGCAGAATTAGCCTGCAATACGGCATTCTAACCACTGTGCCACCATGGCTTCTTGTTGTGTAGAGTAGATGTGGATGTAGATGTGGATCTAGGGAGAGGAAAAAACCTTGCCTATTCCCCCGACTGGCATTTGGGAGATTCACCAATGGGAGCTTTTATCCTAATGCCAGTTGTTGTGATGGGGTAATGATGGGAAATTTCATGGCTTTGGTCACTCCCTCCCACAGTCACGTGTCCCGGTTTACTGACTGTTCCTTGTGAGTTCTTTATACCAGCAGGATTGTCATAATGTCAACATACTGCCCTCAAAATACCTGTATTGATTTTTAAAGCACTTTGGGGGGGAAATCCGGTCTTCTATTATTGAGTTACATAAGCAGCTTTGGCCACTGTACCAGATTGGTTGGCTTTTGCATAGAGGAAAATAATAATAGAATACCTCCTGAGGCTCTCTCTTACAAGGTATTAGATGTTCCTGAGTCTCTTAATCTTCAGAAGTGATTTAGTACTAAAGGGGGCATAAAGAGATGAAGTAAAAAGGCTCAAAAAGCCTTCAAAATAATGGAAGCCCTTGAAAGCTTGTGATGGAACTTGAAGCAATTTGTGTAGTTATAGTCAATTTTAGGACTCTTACATGATTTTCTCTTCCATTGTTCATTATTGCATGTACAAGTTGTCCTTACCTTAGAACCATTTGTTTAGTGTCCATTCAAAGCTACAGCGGCACTGAAAAAAGTGACTTGTGACCATTTTTCACATTGACAATTAATTGTTGCAGCCTCCCCATTGATCATCTAATCAAAATTTGGACGCTTGGCAACTGACTCATCTTTATGACGGTCGCAATGTCCTGGGGTCATGTGATTCCCCCTTCTGCAACTTTCTGACAAGCAGAGTCAACGGGGCAGCCAGATTGGCTTAACAACTGAAAACTGTAGTGATTCACTTAACAATTGTGGCCCAGAAAGGTCATAAAATGGGGCAAGACTCATTTAACAACTTTGTCTTGCTTAGCAACAGAAATTGTGGGGTCAGTTGTGGGTTGTAAGTTGAGGACTATCTGTACTGTAAATACGGTTGTAAATACCAAGTGTGAAAATCGGTTGAAATATTAATAACTTGTTTTTATTAACGAGGTATTATAGAGCAGTTTTCTGTTTTTTAATATTGCATGGTTGCTGTAATATTTAAAAGGCAATGGTACTAAATTCCCTTCTCCTTTGTTCTAGATATGAATTGCGAATTCGATACTTACCGAAAGGATTTCTGAACCAGTTTACTGAAGATAAGCCAACATTAAATTTTTTATACCAGCAGGTAAAAGCAAACAGAAAAAAAATGTAATAGATTTTGATAATAGTTTTCAAGAATGGAAAATATATTTTGCTCATGTAAGGAATTAGTAAAAGCATTTTATTTGAAAGAATATTTTTAGGGAAAAAGGGATGTTAATCTTGCTATTTCAGTGCATTAACTGATTGATTATTTTAGACTCTTCCAGAATTCCAAGTTTGGGTGAATTCTTCAAATTTTCCAGACATTTATTGTGTAATGTTATTCATTTTTTTCAGATTTTGCAATGTTGTAAGTTTTAAATCTGTGAGAACTTCAGTAATAATTCAGGGGAAAAAACCTTACTTAACTTTATTGCGGTGATTAACCAGCACAAGAGAATTGATATTCAAATATTCAAAACATCCAAAACTAAATTGACAATGCCAGGATAGTTAAGAAAAGTACATATTGTACTGACAAAACAAGGAGTAAATTCTGATTAATTTGATTTTTTTTAAAAAATATTTTTCTGCAACTTTGGGGGAAAAAAGATACCACTGCTTTCTGTGATTTAGTTCTTAAAGCATTAACTCCTTTTTCTGAGTCTTGTGTGGAAACCTAGGAAAAAATTCTCTAATTTAATGGATAGCAAAGATATATTACATTTGGGCAAAATCCAAAACACTCATTTTCAAAGCATGAACAGCCATACAAAGTTCTGAAATATTTTTTGTGTGACACTTTATTACAGGTTTGATGAATACTTTATTTTTTAATGTTGATTTTTTTTTGTATGGATGAATGGTACGTACCCGTTTCTTGATTATTCCAGCATTGTATTTATTGTGATTTTTAGACTGTTCTTTTACTTGTTCTAGTATTTAAACCTAGGTGATCTATTATGCTCTTTAGACTGCTGCTCAGCTATGGATTTGAGCCCCATTCTATCTGGGTCTCAGTTTGCTTCAATTAACCATCACAACAGAGGAAAAGAAAGCTGTCAGGCAGCTCTCGTTTTAGGTCCTTTCTTGTCTAAGGCCATATTCTCTCTCTTGCTTTTGGAGAAGAGAACAAGGAGAAAGAAGTAGGTTTAATCACACAAATCCTGTAAATTAGGAAAAACAATTCAAATGTTTTAAGATCAGCTTGGTAGGTATTTTTATAAGGGGATGAGTTTTAATCCCTATCGGAGAAATATCTTGTCTTTAAGAAACATTAATGGTAAGTCATGATTGTTAAATAAACCGGTTTACGTGCTTATACAGTGGTTAGATAAACTTTATGAACTATCAATCCATACTTCTGCAGCATTATAACAAAATAGGAATTCATTAAGCGGATGAGAAGAATATTTGCATTGGAATCCTATCTTGAGTTTATACAACTCTTAACTCTTGTGAAATTCCTATGGAATCCTGTGAATTGTAGTTTGGAGTGAGCAGTGGAATGCTGTGAGTCCCCTAATTGATTTATAGATAATCGGTTTTGAGGATTGCTTGAGAAATCAATTTTCAAGCACCTTTTCTTACAGTTGTAGATATGATGCTTACTTTTTTATGATTCATTTAGTGATTGTTGGAAGTTACAACAGCACTAAAAATCAAGCTGGTCCTTGTATAGCAGGGGTGTGAAACTCACGGCATCACGTTGTCACGTGACGTATCACGACTGTTTTTCCCTTTGCTAAACCGGGGATGGGCGTGGCCAGCGCATGACGCATCTGGCCTGTGGGCTGTGAGTTTGACACCCCTGTTGTACAGCATCCCCGCTGTTGCATGATCAAAATTCGGGTGCTTGACAACTGTCTTGTATTTACAACAGTCCCGAGATCACCATTGGTGACTTTCCCAGTCAGCTTCGGACAAGCAAAGTCAATGGAGCAAATTGGATTTATTTAACATCTGCACAGTTCAATTAACAATTGCAGTGTTTGCTTAACAACCATGGCAAGAAAGATGGTAAAATTGGGTGCAACTCACGTTGCCTTGCTTAGCAATGAAAATGTTGGGCTCAAATGTAGGTGTAAGTTGAGGACTACCTGTAAGGCCAAGGGCCCTTAGAAGATTGCTTTAAAGGGTGGCATACAAAACTATAATATAAACAAAACATCATTTTATAAATGTATTAGCGTCATCTCTTAGATCCACAAAGCATACACAGGTAGTCCTCGACTTTCAACCACAATTGAGCCCAAACTTTCTGTGGCTAAAATAAGACAGTTGTTAAGAGAGTTTTGCCCCATTCTCCAACGCGCAGCTTGGAGAATCCAAAGCTTCGGGTTGTTCAGTTAAGTTAGTAACATGGCTGTAAAGTGAACCTGGCTTCCTCATTAACTTTGCTGGTCAAAAGGGCCACAAAAGTTGATCACATGACCCTGGGACAGTGCAACTGTCATAAATATGAGCCACTTGCCAAGCATCCGAATTTTGATTGTATGACCACGGGGATGCTGCAATGGCCACAAGTGTGAAAAGTGGTCATAAGTCACTTTTTTCAGTGCCATTGTAATGTTGAATGGTCACTAAGTAAATTTAAATCAAGGATTAACTGTATAAGATTCCCTTTCTTGAGCTAAATGTACAGGAAAATGTCGTGAGAAAATGGTAAGAATCCTATTGGTAGGCTTATAGGAATGTGAAATCGAATTTAGGTGGGTCACTGGAACCAGAGATTTACTCTTCCAATCTTTCCGACTCATGCTGGAGCCCATCCTCAGGGAACTTCTCTCTACTGAAACAAGTGCTTTGGGCTACTCTATGAGTCGTGTTTACGTGGTGCCTTCCTATTGGCTAATTGGTGTGTTGATGGCTGGTGATTGGCTATTGTTTCCTTGTGCTGCCAAGCCTTCGGCTCCTAACTATTTGATAGGCTGGAGGTAAATCAGCACCCCTATTAACTGACAAGGCGCCTGTTTCCCAGCCTTCAATCATTTTCCTGGCTGTTTTTGTACCTGCACGGCCAACAATCTTAGTTGCTGCGTAATGAAAGATGGGTTCCAGCATGAGTCAGAAACCTCGGAAGAATAAATCTCTGGTGACCGACTGAAATTCGCATTATTATCCTGGGACACGTATATTTGCCTTCATGTCAGGGGTGAAATTCAGCAGGTTCTGACAGGTTCCGGAGAACCAGTAGCGGAAATTTTGAGTACTTTGGAGAACCGGCAAATACCACCTCTGGCTGGTCCCAGAGTGGGGTGAGAATGGAGATTTTGCAGTATCCTTCCCCCAAGAGTGGGGAGGGAATGGAGATTTTGCAGTATCATTTCCCCTGGAGTGGGGTGGAAATGGAGACTCCTTCCCTTGCCATGCCCACCAAGCCACGTCCATGGAACCGGTAGTAAAAAAATTTGAATTTCACTACTGCTTCATGTGCTTCTGGGAATGATGCAGATCTGAAGATTCTGCACATGTCTCTTATCTGCTCCCCCCATGTGGCATTCTGAGTTTGACAACAACTTGAGGAGTGGAAGAACAGAGACAGCTGGGATTTCTCTGAGGGGGGGAAAGGACAATTTTAAAGTCATTTTGCGTTGCACAGTGCCTGTCAGCAATCAATTCCTGTCCCTAGTCATTAACATCCTTACTATTGTGTGACGCCTGTAATTAGGGAAAAATGTCAAAGATCAGCTTGTCTTAATGTGAAAACGGTGACCTTGTTGATGAAGCAGCTGAAGACAGATGGCCGATTGTTACTACTGTAAGGCAAATAATATTTTGAAAGTGCCACGAAGAAAAACAGCGTTAGTTGGTTTTATCGGAGGCACACGTATTTTGTTCAATTATTCATCTCATCACGAAGCAGGGATGGGGGGGGGGAGGCCGAGGGAGAAATGTGGTGAATAACTTTCTACACTCCATGTCTCAGAATTTATGGTGATTTCATAGAACAATAAATTCGCAGCCATTCAGGAGAAGGTATGAAATTAGATTAGCTTGCTTTTTGAGTGATTGAAATCTACAAACTCTATCAATGATTGAAATCTACAAACTCTATCATCAATCCAATGCGAGGGGTGTGATATTTAAGGAGATGACTAATTAAAATATTACGAGGACTCTTTGTTGATGAAAAAAGGTTAAACGTATAAAAGCATCACATTTTGTAGATAGTAGGTTTTGCAGCTATAGTCCTTTCAGAATTTCAAGAGGTGCTTCTCATAATGAATATTGAGATGTGGATGCAGATTTGCATGCCTTTAGAAATTAGATCCGGCTAAATTAGAATATTTCTGAATGTTACTTGTTTAGAATCGAATAATACCATGTATGTTTTTAAACATCTCATATCCAGTCCTTGAAACAGGGTTCGATATACCTGGTCAGTCTTTCATGAAGCTCACCTCAAAATTTAGAACATATAATAATAGGGTTGGAAGGGATGTTGAAGGTCTTCTAATCCAGTGGTTCACAATCTGTGGTCCACGGACCCCTGGGGGCAGAGGTGAAATTCAGGAGGTTTTGACAGGTTCGGTAGTGGAAATTTTGAGTAGTTTGGAGAACCGGTAGCGGAAATTTTGAGTAGTTTGGAGAACCCGTAGCGGAAATTTTGAGTAGTTTGGAGAACCAGTAGTGGAAATTTTGAGTAGTTCGGAGAACCAGTAGTGGAAATTTTGAGTAGTTTGGAGAACCGGTAGCGGAAATTTTGAGTAGTTCGGAGAACCGGTAGCAGAAATTTTGAGTAGTTTGGAGAACCGGTAGCGGAAATTTTGAGTAGTTTGCAGAACCGGTAGTGGAAATTTTGAGTAGTTCGGAGAACCGGTAGTGGAAATTTTGAGTAGTTCGGAGAACCGGTAGTGGAAATTTTGAGTAGTTTGGAGAACCGGTAGTGGAAATTTTGAGTAGTTTGGAGAACCGGTAGTAGAAATTTTGAGTAGTTCAGAGAACCGGTAGTGGAAATTTTGAGTAGTTCGGAGAACCAGTAGTGGAAATTTTTGAGTAGTTCAGAGAACCGGCAAATACCACCTCTGGCTGGCCCGAGAGTGGGGTGAGAACGGAGATTTTGCAGTATCGATCCCTTGCCACACTCACCAAACCACGCCCACGAAGCCACACCATGCCCATTAAGCCACGCCCACAGAACCGGTAGTAAAAAAAATTTGGATTTCACCACTGCCTTGGGGGCTGTGATGTTGTTATAGGGAGTACACGAAGGCTTGAAGAAATGTTATGTTTTAAATCTTGAGTTAATTCTTGGTGGTCAGTGGTCAGGCTCTATGGCCACAAAAGCTCTTTAAAGGGCATCCGTGGTGAAGAAAAGGTTGAGAACTAATGTTCTAGTCCAAGCCTCTGCTCAAGTAAGAGACCCTATACCAGTGATGGCAAACCTTTTAGACACCGAGTGCCCAAACTATGCACCCGCGCATGCCCAAACTGAAAGGTGTACACATGCGCATGAATATGTGCAAGCACTGACATGCGCATACGCCGACATGCACACATTCTCCCTCCCTCTCTCCCTCTCTCCCTCCCTTTCTCTCTCTCTCTCCCCTCCCCCCCCCCGGTTTTTGGCCTCCTGGGGCCTCCGCACGTCCCGTTTTTGGCCACCTCGGCCTCCAGAAGGTTGGTGGGGGCTGGCAGTTAGGTGGGGTGATGTGGCCAGGGCAGCCTTGTGGTCCCGCACGGGCCAGATTAATGGCTTCAGTGGGCCATATTTGACCCACGGGCCGTAGTTTGAGGAACCCTGGTTTAGCATATAGCAAAAAACCCAGTAAATTGTGATTATTTCACACTCTTATTTTGCTTATTGTGCTCTCTGAGTTCAGGGAAACCTAATTTCTTCTAGGCCAGGAAGGGCTGGGGAAGTATCTTCAAGGTTGCTGTGAAGATTGTTTTTGGCGCCCAATGGATAAAATTGCTCCGAGTTAGACTCCAGCTGAGTTGAACTCAACAATTTGGAGTTTCACAGAAGGAATTGCTTGAACATGATCTGAATCCTGCACAGATTGTAATCTACTTGGAAAAATGTTGGATGATTGCATCTGACCTTTGAATGTATTTGAAATAATTCTTGTCGTTCACTTGTATTTATGACCCATCCCTGCTTGCTTTGCTCTAGGTGAAAAATGACTATATGCTAGAGATAGCAGATCAGGTGGACCAGGAAATTGCCTTGAAGCTAGGTTGCCTTGAAATTCGGTAAGATCACCTTTTAAATATTTATTACTAAATAGAACAACTTCACTTTAATCTTAATGTCCCCATCGGTATGTTCAAGCAGAAATTTCAAAATTTATTGGGGGCATAAACAGTAGAATTTTAAAATTTGGATGGTTTTATGAAACGCAATGTTATGCTATATCTGTTCCATTCAAACCTACAATTAAGTAACTTTTTAGCAAAGCAGTTATTTGCAGGTTTGAAAGTAACGTTAAAACAGCCACGTTTATTCCACTAATATTGTGAGTTGATCCTAATTTGTGAATGGTAAACATTCTGGCTAATCTTTAAATAATAATTTGTTTCAACCTCCTGTAGTAACCTCCGGCCCAATGTTTCATAATTGTTTAAAGAAATTGGTTTACAGAGCAAAAGACAAAGAAAAGCAAGTTCAAGAACATTTGAAATTACTTATTACAAAAAATAGAACCTCTCGGAACCTAAGAAAAATCCATCAATCGCCTCTGACTTGGAACCGTTTCCTAAAAAGGGGAGATTTTGGAACTTCATAGCTTTTTCTATCACCTTTCCAGGCTTAAACTGAGCAAAAGAGATTTTGTGTCCCTAGTACTGTGCAGTGACTTATAAAAGTTATCAAGTTGTAGATTTTTCTTGCTATGAATGCGAAAGGCCACAACTTAATAGGAAAACAATTTTCTTTTGTGTAAAGGATCTTACGCATCTCACTTCCTGGTTGGGTTGGAGGAAAGTTCAGATTGAGGGCTCTAGCCAACAGGAGCTATTAACATATTTTACCAGTTTTAAAACCTTACACACATCACTCAATCAATTGTATACTAGGACACTGAGTAGAATTTAACACTGGGATTTAGGTAACCTATTCCCAACTTTCAAATCTAAATAAACAAAAGCATAAAAAAGAAGACAATGTTAGTAAGTTCACCTATAGTGCAAGAGCAAATTTTAGAATCCCTAAGGCGTATTTTCATTGTTTATTCTCTTGCAATTTACACCATTGTGTGAATTTTTCATCTGTCTTGTACAGTAAGGTTAGGAAAGCAGCAATTCCTATGAATTTAGGAGTAAATCAAGCAACAGAAAAAATAGGATAGGAAGGAGAGGCGGAATTGCAGTTTGGCATTAAAGTCTCAGAATAATGGTGCTTTCCAAGAATACTAACAACTACCGAATAGTGGTGGGAATTACGTATTAGAATTAAATTTTTAAAGGGTTCTACAGATAAGGGTCTAGGAAAGACTGTAGCTGATAACCCAAAATTTGATGTCTTAAAACCATTCAGTTGGTTATTCCCAGAAGTTCTGGAGCACTTTAGAAGGACCTTTTCTGCCAGAGCTAGAACAGAGCTTGGCTGCCTGGTCAGAGGAACAGTAGAATGAAAGAATTGGAAGAAATAAGCTCCAGGAACAAAAGTCCTTTATACCTGGTCAGAACTAGTTTAGTGGGAAGTATAAATTGTCAGTGAGATTTACTACAAAAAGAACTCAGCATAATTAGGGACTTTAGCTTTAAGAGTATAGGGCCACCATTTTCACTTCTTTTCCACAATGAATATTTCATATCACCTAAAATATATCAATTAAGTGACATCTGCATCCCTATGTCCTTTCAGATTTCTGCCTGACAGGTCCATCACATCACTCATTACCCATTACTCATCACTTTAAAAACATTAGCGTGTATATCCATAATCTGACATCACAAGAGAGAAACGGAATTTATTATGGGTTTTATATAGCTACATGTATTACAGCTATAATTTTAGATGTTTGAAAAATTTTCTTCAGTCACTGGAATGTGAAATACACATCTCCAGTTTGACTTTCAGAAATCTGCATAAAGTTTTAAAAACTTTATAATGATTGATTTCCTGTATGTTTAGTCCAACAACATGCGACTTTTATTAGGCATGTTTCTCAGTGTTCCCACTCGTCTATGATTTAGTTTGGATTTCCTAGGTAAGTACCGGTAAGTAAATAAATTAAATTTTACCCCGCCTTTCTGATTATATAAGCACTCAAAGCAGCTTTCAGAAATAACAGATAAAAGCCAAAAGCTGAAGTATAATTAACATCAGATTTGAAATCAAGACAGTTTGGCTTAGCATTTAAGAGCACTGCCCCCCCCCCTTTTTTTTTTTATAATTTCAGGAGATCATACTGCGAAATGAGAGGCAACGCATTGGATAAGAAGTCAAACTATGAAGTCTTAGAGTAAGTATGTGGTTGCATTTTTGTCAGGAATTCTTTCCATTGGAAGGAACACAATTGTTGCTCTTGGAAGTAAGAATGCAAAGGTTGCCATTAGTGTTCTAATTAAGGTGAGAATTTGTAAAACCTAGTAAATTTTTGACCTCTGAGCTTAGTGAGGAAATAAGAGCTCATTGATTCTGGCCTGACCAAGACAAATTGGGTGATATATAGGCTGGTGATACACAGGATCATCATTTTGGGGTGGGGGGAGGTGGCCATCTGCATTCTGTTAATACTTGTGGGATCAGCTGGTTAGAAGCCCTTTTTACAAAATGGTTTCTCGGTATGTGATTAATCAGTCATGGGACTAAATTATGCCGAGTGTTTAATTATTGATTAGTTCCTGGAAATTTACAGTCTATGACAGAGGTCTTCAAACTTGGCTGCTTTAGGACTTGTGGACTTCAACTCCCAGAATTCTTAAAGCAGCCATGTTTGAAGACCTCTGGTCTATGGCTTTGTCTCTTTAATCCTGCCCTCCCTGTCCTAACCTAGAATGCGGTTAGCAGAACAAACTGCCCAGCATGGGCTTAAAAAGCCATTGCCAAGGGCTGTAGAATACAGTTCTAACCACAGTTCACCAAAGGCCTTGAGGAGCTTTGTATCCAGTCCCACGAAAAGGACCTGTTTTGCTATGGCCATTAAAGAGTGGTTTTCTTTTCATTGGCTTTAATGAATTGGTACCATCACAAGGTTCCCTGGAATTTAAAGGGGTTCATTGCTAAAGCTTTTGTGGTGAGCAGGAAATCATTACACATGATGACTGCATTTATAACTTCAAGGGATCCTTTGTGGGTCTAGTACAAAGAATCACCACTAACCAGAACATTCAATCTGGACAGGAGAGAATAAGGACATATATTTTGAATGATTGATTGATTTTTATTGATTTAATTTGGTTTATATGCCGCCCTTCTCCGGAGACTCAGGGCGGCTTACAATGTGTTAGCAATAGCCTTCATCCTTTTGTATATTTTATACAAAGTCAGCTTATTGCCCCCACAATCCGGGTCCTCATTTTACCTACCTCGAAAGGATGGAAGGCTGAGTCAACCTTGAGCCTGGTGAGATTTGAACTCGCAGTAATTGCAGGCAGCTGGCAGCTAAAGGGCTTAACAGCACTTTAGTCTGCTGCACCACCAAGGCTCCTTACTTACTTGTAAGAGATGTATGGAATGACTTGGCCCTGATTGACTGGTTTAGAGAAGGGCTGGTTGAAGATCTGAGAGATGAGCTGGGAAGGCAGGGCACACTCAAGGTTTAATGGGAATAACAATTTTTTTAAATGAATTCGATTGAATATTGGCATCTGTATTTATATCCTAACACAACAATTCTTCTAAAATATAGTGTATTATTATTTCACATGATTAAAATGCACAACATTTTTCAGGCATCACTTATTTTTGCTTTGCATATTTCAGGAAAGATGTCGGTTTGAGAAGATTTTTTCCAAAGAGTTTACTGGATTCAGTAAAGGTAATGTTGCATTCTGCTCATACATTAGAAATTATTGGACCCTGAGTTTTGATCATTCTATTTTTGGCTATCTCCCAAGTATGTATTTTGATTCATCCATGTATATGACATTTCTCAAAAATGAGAGGTTCTTTTTCTAATGACTTAAAATCTCAAAAATGGAACTAAAGATTTGTGGTATTGTATCGAGTGCTTTCTATTAGTTCCTAGGCTAGGTGGAACCATGTTGGTACTATGGCTTGGATGTGGTGCATACTAACATCTGACTATTTCATTATGAAGGCCAAAAATCTTCGAAAAATGATACAGCAAACGTTTCGACAATTTGCCAACCTCAATAGAGAAGAAAGTATTTTGAAATTCTTTGAGATTCTCTCACCAGTATACCGATTCGATAAGGAATGCTTCAAGTGTGCCCTTGGAGTAAGTATGTTGCTTTGAACTACTGGGACATGGTATAGAATAATTCTAATTGTTAATGTTGAGTTAATGTTGAGTTTAGCCCTTTATTGTTAGCTTATCTAGGCAGAATAGGGATGCGGTGGCTCAATGGTTAAGACACTGAGCTTGTCGATCAAAAGGTCAGCAGTTCAGCGGTTCGAATCCCTAGTGCCGCCTAACAGAGTGAGCTCCCGTTACTTGTCCCAGCTTCTGCCAACCTAGCAGTTCGAAAGCACGTAAAAAATGCAAGTAGAAAAATAGGGACCACCTTTGGTGGGAAGGTAACAGCGCTTCCGTGTGCCTTTGGCATTGAGTCATGCTGGCCACATGACCACGGAGACGTCTTCGGACAGCGCTGGCTCTTCGGCTTTGAAATGGAGATGAGCACCGCCCCCTAGAGTCGGGAACGACTAGCACAAATGTGCGAGGGGAACCTTTACCTTTACCTTATCTGGACAGAAGACAGATGGGCTGGATCTTTGTTTTAAGATGCTACTAAATTTTCTTTACTGTGTGTACTATTTATTTTTAAATTGTTTAATTCTTTTACATTTCTGACAGATCAGGAATTTAGGAACTGCTAACTAGGTTAAAGAATTGCAAGGTTATGGGGATGTGGAATTATTTTAAAATGGTCATAGTGAGTTTAAATGCAATTTAAAGGCTAGCTAGAGCAATAGTACTGGATAATAGGTAACTATGTCTCACCTGTTGTTTTTCAATCCTATTAGAGGGATTGAGGAAATGATTTAATTTTGAAAAAAAATGTGCTATGGTCAAGCCCATGTGTGGCACATGTGTTGCAATGACCACTGAAGCAGGGGTGAAATCTATTTACTTTCCCTACCGGTTCGGAAGTGCATGTACTGCGTCACATGCGCGAACGGACCCTCTGCGCATGTGCAAACCCTTCTGCGCATGCGCAGAGGGTAAAAAGCAGGTTACTTCCTGGTTAAAAACAGGAAGTAACGATGACTGGGAGGGTGGGCGGAGACTCGCGCTACCATTGCTACCGGTTCTCCGAACCACCCACCGCTGTTGCTACCGGTTCAGTCGAACTGGTCCGAACTGGTAGCATTTGTAGCATTTGTGCCTTCTGCTTTTAAAATGGGGGCAGCTCCTCATGATGTTGGGAGTTATAGCTCAGGAATATTTATTTTATTTAAATTATTTATATTGCTGCCCATTTTACAATAGTGGATCTGGGTGGATTACAAGATTAAAATACAAACCACGACATATAATCCATTTTGCCCAAGGTTGAAGCAAGAAATCTAGTGACTGAAAAACGTGTCATCATTATCATCATCATCAGAGGTCCTGGCCCAAATGTATGGGAAATCAGATCTTCACTCTCTTGTGAAAGGCTAACATAAATTTCTCTATTAAGGTTTATCCAGTGTTTGAAATGTAATTTATTAGTCTAGTATCAATTTGTTTCATTGAGTGATAATAAAGATCTTTATTCAGTGTTCAAACATTTTCTTTCCAAATGTTCACTGCTTCTTTTTCATATTAACCATAAAAGTCCAGCTGGATTATTTCAGTGGAATTGGCCATCGGTCCAGAAGAAGGAATCAGCTACCTTACAGACAAAGGCTCCAATGTAAGTCCTACCATGGGATATGATGACTTCGTATCTAAGCAGACTTTCATATTTGCCATTACTTTCTGTGGGAACTGTTCAGGAAGTTTTTTTTTTTTAATCAGGATATAAAGAAACCTGTGAATAAAACATTTGGACCTAAGTCCAGAAAAGAAGCAGTACTTTAGTTGATACTGCTTTTTCTTCTTCTTCAATTCATGAGTGTTACTCATTCAGTATCGTTTTTAGATTTACTTCTAATTTACTGTCACTTGTTTTACAGTTAATGCATTTTTGCACTTTCAGTATATCCTTTTTCATCTTGTTTGAGAGGTTGGATTTTTATTTTATGGGGGCGGGGGTTGGTAACATGTTATTTAGATTAACTGTGATGGCTCAGCAGTTCAAGACCCTGAGCTTGTCATCTGGAAAGTGGATAGCCTGGGTTTGAGACCTAAGCTCTGGGCAACAGGGTGAGTTCCCATTACTTGCCCAAGCTCCGGCTCACTTAGCAGCTCAAAAGCATAAAAATGCAATTAGATAAATAGGTACCATGCAACTCGAAGCATGAAAATGCAAGTAGGTAAATGGGTACCACATAGCTTGAAGCATGAAAATGCAAGTAGATAAATAGGTACCACTTCAGTGGGAAGGTACAGCATTCTGTGTGCCTTTGGCATATAACCATGCTTGTCGCATGACCATGGAAAATGTCTTTGGATAATGCTGGCTCCCTCAGCCAAGAAACGGAGATGAGCACCACCCCTTAGAATTGGACACAACTAGACAGGAGAAGCCTTTACTTTTACCATTAAGGTATTTTATGTATTGGAAGCTGATCAAATCCCCGAAATGCATTATTTGTATTCCTGGGTAGGTTTACAGTCAGTTTTCATGTGATCTTGGCCAATATTACTATCACTAATCAGCAGTCTAATCAGGCAAACTATTGCCAGCTATTAATTGTTTCTTTTGCCCCTTCAGTAGTACGTAAGATGGACATAGATAGGGCATGAATAACAATGGAAGGTAGTAAAGTACCAGAATGCCCAGAAAAATAGAATTTATTTGCGTATCCTGTGTTTCGTCTCTGATAGCATTTGCATCTACACCGATTCTTCTTATATTTTCCTTTTATTTTTTTCTAGCCTACCCATTTGGCAGATTTCCATCAAGTACAGACCATTCAGTATTCAATTAACGAAGACAAGGACAGAAAAGGAATGCTACAGATGAAAATTGCTGGAGCACCAGAGGTAAGTCGCTTGATGTTTCTTCCAGGCGGGCAAGAAGAGTAAACAAATTCCTTCTGCATGTTTTATGAATAAAGCTAGGTGCAGCAGTTCCCGTTTCATATTATAAAAGCATGGGATATAAATAAATTAACTTCTTGCATAAGAGAATAATCTCAGAGACTTCTTTATCCAGAGACAAAAATGTTTCTGGTCTTTAATTATGAAAGATGCTATATAGCAGGGGTCGGCAACCTTAAACACTCAAAGAGCCACAAAGGTCCTAACCGGAAACCCCGTTCAATTCTGGAGCCGACCGGAAGTCTGGTTTCCCCTGTCATAGTTTCCTCCTAGCGCAGCGTCCTTTTTCCTCTGCCGATTGAAGTTGGTTTCCCACCATAGAGTCTCCTCCTAGTGCGGCATCCTTTTTCCTCTGCTTGTCCTAACCGAAAGCCCTATCAATTTTGGAGCCGATGGGCGACAGGGAGCTGCAGCAGAGGGATGAAAGAGCCACATGTGGCTCCAGAGCCTCGGGTTGCTGACTGATAAGGTTTTACATTTACTGGAGAATAGGATGAAGAACTGTAGAAGTTACAACATTCCTATCAGGATTCACGGATTACATATCTCCACTGACCATTGGTGTTATTATTTTTACAATCGTTCATGATGACGTATGGAATTTAAAACAGTACTTACTTGTCAGTACATTATTTTTCACAGACACTGCTTGGAAGTGTGTGGTTAACAAAGACCAATTTGGTAACTATAATGAAAATGTCTATGGAGATTCTCAGTCATCTGGGTCATGGTTGTCCCAAAGGTATTTTTTTCAAGAGGCACCTGTACTTTTTTTGTGACTTTCTGGTTTTTTTTTTGAAGACGTTTCACTTCTCATCCAAGAAGCTTCTTCAGCTCTGACTGGATGGTGGGGAATGGAAGGATTTATACTTCTTGGAGATAACTGGTCATTTGCATTTTTTAAGAGCAGGGGTATCACACTCAAGGCCCGCGGGCCAAATCCGGACCACGGGGTGCTTAAACCTGGCCTGTGGGGGTGGCCTAGAAATAGCAAATGACCGGCCCCCATTTTTGGCCGGCATGGTGCTGCAGGAGGCATCCGTCCCATTCTCCCCCCTCTCCCTGGCCTACGGAGGAGAAGTACAATGCTGATCCTGCCCTCGAAGAAATCCAGTTTGACAGCCATGGTTTAGAGAGTTGTTCAGGCCACCTGAAGGTTTATCTGTGTCCTCAGTGTCACTTGAGTGGTGCAAATGGGTGTGGAGCCTTCTTGGAACTGCTGAAAGGACTGTGTTGTAGACTGGAGAGAGATGATGTCATATCCCTCCCCCTCTGTTGAGAGAGGGCTGTTCATTTTGAGCCTCTTTGAACCCTCCTTCAAACCAGCGAGCCTCTCTATCCAAAATGTGGACTTTGCTGTCTTCCAAAGCGTGGCCTGTGTCTTTTAAAGGCAGTTGGGCTGCTGAATCTTGTCCTTTGGGCTTGTTCTCTTATGTTGTGCCATGCATTTGTGAAGCAGTATAATGAAAACAGTGGAATTTGGAATGTAATTTGCCTAATGTAGCTTTATGCCTGATATTAAGTGAATAAAAATGGCAAGGAAAAGGTAGAAAAGAATGATATTTGAGAACTACTGTAGGCTGTGATATTGTTTAAAACATGGGTGTATATTTCTGATTTGGAGGATTTTGCTTCTGTCGTGAACTACACAGCATTTATGGAACAGTCTGGGAAAAGATATCCTTCATTTAAGGCTGCCATCTACTTAGTTCTGCTCTCTGCTCTTCTTCTGCTTCTTCTTCTTCTTCTTCTTCTTTCTTCTTCTTCTTCTTCTTCTTCTTCTTCTTCTTCTTCTTCTTCTTCTTCTTCTTCTTCTTCTTCTTCTTCTTCTTCTTCTTCTTCTTCTTCTTCTTCTTCTTCTTCTTCTTCTTCTCCTTCTCCTTCTCCTTCTCCTTCTCCTTCTCCTTCTCCTTCTCCTTCTCCTTCTCCTTCTCCTCCTCCTCCTCCTCCTCCTCCTCCTCCTCCTCCTCCTCCTCCTCCTCCTCCTCCTCCTTATTATTATTATTTATTATTATTATTATTATTATTATTATTTAATCTTTAGTGAGATTCACAGCCTTTGAGGCAGGTTAATAGCTCAGCAGCTCGAGTCCTAACCAAGGACCTAGGAACTGTTAAGGTATCACTGTCCTATAGTATATCTTGGGAGTCCATCAAAAGGAGAAGAAAGTATTACAGGGGAATTTTGGCCAGCCTGAAAAAAAAGGCAATGCGCACTTCTTCAAGAAGGCCTGGTTGGGCCCAATACTTTTAGAAAACTGTTGCACAGTCTCCTTCCCTTTTTAAAGGAAAGATGATTAAGAAGATGATGGGTGTTGGTATCCTCATGGAGCCAATTATCTAAACCTATTTCAGTCTGGATTCAGAGCTAGTTGTAGGACCAACATGGCATTGGTTGAGCCGTGGTGGCAGTGGTTAGAGTGCAGTACTACAGGCTACTTCTGCTGACTGCTGACCGACTGCAATTTGGCAGTTCAAATCCCACCAGGCTCAAGGTTGACTCAGCCTTCTGTCCTTCCGAGGTCGGTAAAATGAGGACCCAGATTGTTGGGGGCAGGAGGCTGACTCTGTAAATTGCTTAGAGAGGGCTGTGAAGCACTGTAAAGCGGTATATAAGTCTAAGTGTTATTGCTATTGCTATTGGTTACAGGTAATCCTTGGCTTATAACCGTTCATTTAGTGACCATTCGAAATTACAACAGCACTGAAAAAAGTGACTTACGACCGTTTTTCACACTTACGACTGCTGCGGCATCCCCTTGGTCACATGATCAAAAAATCCAGATGCTTGGCAACTAATTCGTGACAATTGCGAGGTCATGCGATCACCTTTTGTGACCTTCTGCAAGCAAAGTCAGTGGAGAAGCCAGAGTCACCTAACAACCGTGTTAACTAACATAACAACTGCAGTGATTCCCTTAACAACTCTGGCAAGAAAGGTCGCAAAATGGGGCAACGCTCACTTAACAACCGTCTTGCTTAGCAAGAGAGATGTTGGACTCAGTTGTGGTCGTAAGTCGAGGACTACCTGTATCCTGGTTTACCCTTGTGGACATCAGTGTGGGACGAATGTACTCTCTGGTTTCAATTCGAAGTGCTGGTTTAAAACAATATAGCAATAGCACTAATATTCTGCTTCATAGCGCTTTACAGCACTCTCTGGACTGTTTACAGAGTCAGCATGTTGCCCTCAAGAATCTTGGTCCTGTATGTACCCAAACCTACAACCCAAATGTTGGAGATGTGATTGCGTTGATGCTACCTATTTTCATGTTTGGTGGACTTGTAAAAAAGTTAAAGCATTTTGGATAAAAATATAGTGGATTATTCAAAATATTTTTTTAAAAAAGGATAAAGTTTACCCCACAGTTGTTTTTGTTAGGTATAATTACAGATTGCACGGCTATAGAGACTAATTTGATTTTGAACTTAATAACTGCAGCAAGACTCTTGGTGGCGCAGTACTGGAAGAAGGAAGATTTACCTACTATTCAAGAATGGACATTAAAAGTAGTAAATTTAGCAGAAATGGTGAAAATTTCAGCATATCTAAAGGACCATTCAAATGAGAAATATATGTTAGAATGGAGAAGATGGATTGATTATATTCAAGGCAAATATCGGACTAAAAATCTTGAAATAGCTTATGAATGATCAAAGAGATTTTATAAAGTACTTAAATTTAGTTTAGTAAAAGGGGAGTTAAAAGTTCAAGAGGGGGATAGGAGGCTATAGATAATTAGCTTATGTTAGCTTATGATTGTCAAATGTTATACCCTGTATTTTTGCTCTGGGAAGTGAGGGAGGGGAAGGGAGGGGAAGGGGAGGGTTGGAAGGGGAGGGGGAAGGGGAAATGTCTGTAAAACTTTTTAAAACTTTTCAATAATAAAAAAAAAAAGAATCTTGGTCCTCATTTTACCAATTTTGGAAGGATGGAAGGCTGAGTCAACCCTGAGCCAATCAGAATTGAACTCCAGGCTGTGGGCAGAGTTAGCCTGCAATACTTCATTCTAATCACTGCCCCATGACCATATCACGGAATATATTACTTGGATCGCCTAACCCCCATAGAAGCAGCCCACCCAACTGGTAGCATCTTTGACATTCTTCTAGGCCAGAGGTGGGCAACCATGGCCCCTTTATGACTTGTGGACTTCAACTCCCAGAGCCCCAACCATAGTGGCTCAGGAATTCTGGGAGTTGAAGTCCACAAGTCATAAAAGAGCCATCGTTCCCCACACCTGTTCTAAGCCTGTAAGATAATGCAGGCAGTGCGTTTGAATTGCAACCTCCATATTATGGGGCAGCCCATCTCTGGATAAGCTAAGATTGGATTTCTGGCCCTAGGAAGCTACTGAAAACTGAACTGTCCCAGAAGGCATTGGGATTTGTTACTCTCATTCATTTGATTTTTTTTTTTTAAATGCTGCTTTCACATTTTGATGTCAACCACTATGGAGTGATTTTTGAAATCTGGAAGAACAAAAAGTAGAATTAGTAACCCGTTGGATACATAAGGATTAATTTCAAAATGTGTAGAGCAGGGGTGTCAAACTCGATTTCATTGAGGGCTGCATCAGGGTTGTGTTTGACCTCGGGGGGCCGGGGTGGGTGTAGTCAGGGTGGGCGTGGCCAGCTTGACGTCACTCCTGTCGGGGGCACCTGTGGTGGCCCAAGCACTCTGCCAGTGAAACAGGCTCTCGACCTCCGTTTTTGGCTACCACGGCCTCCTGCAACCCTCTGCAAGTGAGCTGCCCTCCCGAGCTCTGTTTTCACTGGCAGATGGTTGCAGGAGGCCGTGGTAGCTGAAAACGGAGCTCGGGAGCCCATTTTCTCTGGCAGAAGCACCACGGGCTGGTCCTTCGCTGTTTCCAGGGCAGCCTGGTGGCCAGATCTAAGTATCCCTTGGGCTGAATCCGGCCCCCGGGCCTTGAGTTTGACACCCCTGGTGTAGAGTCTATGGATGCATCTGTGCCTAGAAGCCCTCTCCTCTCATATACCTGGAATGGTTCTTCTGTTCCCTGAACAAAATTACTATGCTTCTGTTAGAATTGGCACTAATCTCAATGGCCACACTTTTCACACACTTTATGTGCTTTTTGGGAGTTCCTTCGGATGGAGGATTTTAAAGCATAAGAAAAGTAGCTATTTTTTCCAGCCATCCAAGTCCTTTTTTTCTCTCTTTACTGCTTCTCATTTGCATGCTCTTCTCTGATGTAATAGTTCAGCAGCTGTGCTAAATGTTTGTGTCTGCAAGAAGGCCTCTTTGTTCAGTGTGCTATTTTTTTCCTCTCTCTCTCTCTCTTGTAGCCTCTGACAGTGACGGCACCATCCTTAACCATTGCAGAGAACATGGCTGACTTGATAGATGGCTATTGCCGACTGGTCACGGGGGCGACACAGTCTTTTATCATCCGGCCCCAGAAAGGTAAGGGGAAGCATTTTTGTTAAGTGTTTTTGTCGTGGCTGTTTGCTGGGATGTCTTATAATTGAGGAAAAATCAGTGGCAGCATCTGTTCACGTGCAACTGATCAGACATATAAGCAGATGAAAGCCAGAAGGATTCTGGTACTGTGTTTTCAGATTTTCAGATGTTATTAAAAAGTATACACTTTCCTGAACTACAGCTTGCTTCCTCGGATGCATAACATAAGCTTATGGGTGTTTTAAAAACAAAATTGGATAAGACTGAAAAAGTGTGACCAGAGTCCTGAATGTTGACTAACATAGCTCTTACAATATAGCTAGATAAAAATACATACAATTTCCACAAGAGACTATATAAAGACAAAACTAAAACAGCTATTCTAGTAGTTACTGTGATACCGTAATTCTGTAAATTTAAAACACTTACTTATGGGTCACTCACTTATTGAATAACAATTGGTGCTCTCAATTCTCTTTCCACCCCCCCCCCCACCTATAATACAACTTGCCTACCTCTGTTTAGTTCATAGTTTTGTATAGATATGTAATTCATTAGGAAATACTCCTCTTGACACTGGCATTAACTGCTCAGATATAATTTTGTTTATGTTTATATTTTAATCTCCTCCTCCAAAGTGTTAGTGAAGCATGCCTGATTCTTCTGTCCCTCATCCCTTCACAGAAACCACGGGGAAGGAATTAGGCTGATTGTTCCAAATTGCCCAGTAATTAAAGAAGGATTCTAATTTTAGTCCTGTCATTAGAAATCCAGTCTTAAAAATTATGGTTGGAAAAATAAAAACTAATACAAACCAATAAAATAAAGAAATAAATAAAAAGGAAAAAAAATAGAAATGCAGAAAAAATAGGAAAGGAAAAGAATAAAGAAAAAAGATATAAAGAATGACTCTTATCACAATAACTATAAAACAATTTTAGTAATTTATCAGCTTTCTTAAAATATAAGAAATTATCTCTTTTTCCCATATCTGATCTCTTTATCTATAAAGAAATCCTTAAAGCCTTGCCATTTTAGTCCTGATCAGCACAAGTCCATTAAAGGTAACCAGAGATAATAACATATCCAGGGCCGGATTTAGATGAAAAGAGGCCCTAGGCTATTCCACTTATGAGGCCCTTTCACCTATAGTGAAAGTGTAATTTTAATTTTGCTAACAATTTGAATGTAGGCCCCTCTTGATCTTGAGGCCCCCTCTTGATCTTGAGGCCCTAGGCTGAAGCCTAGTTAGCCTATAAGAAAATCCGGCCCTGAACATATCTACTTTAACCTTGTTCAAACAAACCAGATTTATATTCCTTTGACTTTTATCAATCTTCATTTTTAGTCCCTTCAAATACTGTGCTAGAACTTGATTCCTTTTCAATTTTTTCTTTGTGTCTTCCACAACATTCTCTAAAGCTTTTAACGAATCTCTTTTGTAAATCTAATATAAGAAGAAGCAAAAAGATGACTATTCTCTTATCTCTCCCAGACTGCTGCCTTGCTGTCTTCTTGTGAGGAGTAATTGGCTAGAGCACTTGTGGGTGATCTCAGGTCTTCTCCTTATCCAGAGAGGAATTGTGAAGAACTGGTCTACTGACAGCTCTTCATTCTGCCACTGTCATTGGCACTGCTTTTAACGGAGCCATCTTTAATTCCCCATTTCTTCCCCAAAAGTGAGAAATCCAGCACTCTTTACTAACTATTATACCAGAGTGGATAGTGACTTCCATCAGTATACCATTTACCTTATATAAAACATACTTTGGCTAATAGCTTTGATTTTATTTTAAATTTGAGAAAGGAATGTTAGATTGCTTATTGACAATTTTACATTGGAATTTTTTTTAAAAAAAGTATGCAGTAGAATAATAATCTCCCAAATATGCTTATTTGGATTGGGGGCGATTAGTGCCATCATACACGTTTTGTCATTTCTGAAAATTTATTTTAGCTTCCCCGAGACCAAAGAGGTGGCTGTAACTAAAGGAGGCACAATTTGCACTGAATGTTTGTTACTAGCTTTTTTCCAATATTTTACTTGAGCTTCACTTTCTTCCGATGTATTGGCTCTACATATCTTTTGAGAAATAGCATGGCAATGTGAAAAAGAAATTGTCTGTTTCGACAGAACATAAATTTAGGTTCTTTAGAAAGCCCAATACTTCCTCTATAGTTTTAATTTTCTGAAAATATAACACATTTTTGCTCGTTTTCAGTTTTAAGCCGTAGTGGTACTTCATATATCATTCTTCATAAAGAGGTTTTGTGTAAATGATCACAAAACCATAATATTGTAAGGAGGTATCAAATACAATTACTTTAAGTTAGCGTGTTCTACTCTTAAGCAAAATACTGGTGTATGTATTTATTGATATGTCGCAATAAACTTGTTTTTCCTCTTCATTTAGAAGGTGAAAGAGCTTTACCATCCATACCAAAGTAAGTTTGAATGTTTTTGTTGGAAGTTTAAAACAGTAAACTGACTACATTATTATTTTGATTTATACTCTCCAACTATAAGTCTCCAACTATAACCAATTGCAAATGTTGACCATAAGACCCATACATAATTCAGTGTGAGAATGAAGACTTTGTACCCAGAGAACTTTACATACAGACCTCAGTTTCTATTGCTAAAAGGATTTTGCTAGCATGACTTGATAATGCCTTTTGCTTCAGAACCCAAGAGAATCAATTCTATAGAGGAGGTAATACTAAAAAAAAAAAAAAAAAAAAAAATAGAAATATAAGAACGGTATGCAGTATTATTCCAAATCGATATGGTATAATTTTTATATTCACCATTGTTTTAGGTAACTATATGTGCATATAAGTAATCCTGGACATAATACCACAATTGAGCTCAAAATTTATGTTGCTAAGTGAAACATTGGTTAAGTGAATTTTGCCCCATTTTACGACTTTTCTTGCCACAGTTGTTTTTTTTTTTTTTTTTTTTGCTTTAATTTATATGCCGCCCTTCTCCGGAGACTCAGGGCGGCTTACAATGCGCTAAGCAATAGCCTTCATACTTTTGTATATTTATACAAAGTCAGTTTATTGTCCGTACTATCTGGGTCCTCATTTTACCTATCTTTGAAAGGATGGAAGGCTGAGTCAACCTTGAGCCTGATGGGATTTGAACTTGCAGTAATTGCAAGCAGCAGATGTTAATAACAGTGCATTAGTCCACTGTGCTACCAAGGCTCTTGTTGTTAAGGGAATCACTGCAGTTGTTAAGTTAGTAACATTGTTGTTAAGTGAATCCGGCTTCCCCATTGACTTTGCTTGTCAGAAGCTTTCAAAAGGGGATCACATGACCCCTGGACACTGCAGCTGAAATTTTAATCATGTGACCAAGAGGATGCTGCAATGGCCATAAGTGTGAAAAACAGTCATAAGTCACTTTTTTCAAGGACATTGTATAAATGAACTATTGTAAGTCGAGGACTACCTGTATGTGTTTATTGCCTATTCATTATATCTTAATTTTGCTTGGGAAACCAAAATTAGACCTAATTCAATCATCTAAGGAGCCACCTCGCCCCAATGGGATTGGCCCAACCCACTCATTCCAGCGGAAGAGGTCTACTCTGGATCCCATCTGCCAAAGAATTTTGGCTACTGTGATCCAGGTGAAGAGCCTTTTCTGCTGTGGCCCCTGCTCTTTGCAATATTCTCCCACAAGAGGTGAGGTTGGCCCCAATACTCCTGGCTTTCAGGAAGAGCCTTAAAACCTAGCTCTGTTGGCTGGCATAAGGCCACAATATTTCTTTATTCTGGGGGTGGCTGATGGGTAGAGAGAAGATCTCCACCCCTATGTGGCTTGTCTTCTTGGTTTTTAGTCTTTTATTTAATCTTTCTTAAGTGTAGTTCTTTTTTATCATTTTGTAAGCCACCCAGAGTCGCTGCAACAGCGAGATGGGTAGCAGATAAATTTAATAAATGCGTACATTATATACCTAATTAAATGTCCATGGTTTTTACATTATCTGTTGCCAACATCAGCATCTGATACCTGATGGGCAGCTGGCAGGACTCGGTGCCTATTGCTGAGGCTTCAAAGAAATGTAGCCTTGTACTTCCACACGTTTGTTTTCACTGTATCAACTCAAGAAATCAAAATAAGCGGAATGGAAAACTTAGTTAAATTGATCAGAGATGATAATGATGTCCATCCACAAATATCACTGAATATTCCAATCTCTTCTTAACTCGCAGTTTCAGTCTATGTTTACTTTTTTAATCCAAATGGCTCTGTGCAGCGTATATGAGAAGTCCATGTGAAGAATACATTAAAAATATGACCAGTGCTCATAGAGTTATACCTGTGATCTGTCTTATAGATGTCCATCCATCCATCCATCCATCCATCCATCCCATCCATCCATCCATCCATCCATCCATAATCATTTCAGCTAAATAGTGCTTTTCTGAAGACTGATTACAGATTTATAGCGTGATTTTTGCATATTACATTTTTGTCAAACTACGGTAATTGTGGTCTTCTTACAACACATATATTACATATACACTGCTGAAAAAAAATAAAGGGAACACAAGCAGAAGACATCCGAGATCTGAATGAATGAAATAGCCTTATTAAATACTTTGTTCGTTACATACAGTAGTTTTGTGTTCCCTTTAGTTGTTTGAGCAGTGTATAAACTACTGTATGTAAAGAACAAAGTATTTAATAAGGCTATTTCATTCATTCAGATCTCGGATGTCTTCTGCTTGTGTTCCCTTTATTTTTTTTCAGCAGTGTATATTACCAGTACATATACAGTACTACAATATTTATAGCCATAATCTATTAAAATATGAATATTTTTGCTTGTAACGTCCTATGTCTACAAACAAGATTTTTTAAACAATGAAATTACCTTAAAGTTTGCTAATTGTTCTTTCCAGTAGTAAAACCATCTTTACATGGGGCTCCCCTTGAGGAGCACCCGGAGGCTCCAACTGATGCAGAATGCGGCCGAGCGGGGATTATGGGAGCGATGGGGCACTCCCAGGTGACAACCCTCCTGCGCGAGCTGCATTGGCTTCCCGTGGTCTTCCGGGTGCGCTTCAAGGTGTTGGTTACCACCTTTAAAGCGCTCCATGGCATTGGGCCTGGGTACTTACGGGACCGCCTTCTGCCACCGATGGCCTCCCACTGGCCAGTTCGCTCCCACAGAGAGGGACTCCTCAGGGTGCCATCAGCCAGGCAATGTCGGCTGGCGACCCCCAGGGGGAGGGCCTTCTCTGTGGCAGCACCTACCCTCTGGAACGACCTGCCCCGGAGATATGTAGGATACCAGATCTCCGTGCTTTTCACCGTGCCCTCAAAACTTTTCTATTTCACCAAGCTGGGCTGGCGTAAACCCCCACCACCACCACCACCTTAGATATTTTTTAATTGTAAATGGATTTTAGTCGGGAGGTTTTAAATTTTGGGCCAAAACTTGTTTAATACTTTTAAAATTGTAAATTTTGTATTGGGATGTTTTTTACTCTTGGCTGTGCACTGCCCTGAGTCCAGCAGGAGAAGGGCGGTATAAAAATTTAATAAAATAATAAAATAAAATAAATAAAATGGATAACTTCTCTACATTTAGCTCAGAATATAAAACTTCCAGATAACATGCTTAAATAACACAGTGTTTTTTCCCCTTCTTAATATAAGTGATGGATGCAATTCAAATGGTTGTTGCTAGATAGTAGATAATTAGAAGAAATGCAAAACTACAAAGTTGTTTGTTCATTCAGCTTTGAACATTGCCATTTTGAACATCTGGTGGAGTTTTAAAATGGGATTTTCAGATAAATTATTGTACTTTTGGTTCCGAGCTGAATTTAAGGTAGTAGAATCATTTTCTTCACTGCAAAATTTAGTTCTCAACCTTGGCAACCTGAAGATATAAGGACTCCAACTCCCAGAATTCTCCAATCAGCCATGCTGGGTGAGGAATTCTAGGAGGTGAAGTCCTCATGTCTTCAAGTTATCAAAGGTTAGAAACGCTGGTATAGGACATAGATCATTCACAGATTTGAACTATTGTGTTACAGGCTGGCCAACAATGAGAAGCAAGGAATACGATCACATACCGTCTCTGTATCAGGTAGGATTATTATTATTATTATTATTATTATTATTATTATTATTATTATTATTGGTTTTACTCACTTCCTGCCAGCGAACCCTCAAAGAGAGAAAAAAAGACTGGAGGAGCTTTTGTGAGAAACGAATTGGAAGCAAATATTATTGAAAATCCTTTAACTTGAATTTTGATATTAAAAGCCAGTGTAGGTATTGGATGCCGATTGTTTTCATGTGGATTAATTTCACAATCGAGGTCTGGGAGCTATCCTATAGGAGAAATAGCTGTAAAAAAAAAATCCAGCTTTAATGTTGTTATGAAAAAAAATATTGTATATCTTGTTATGTAGGGCCTATTGATCGTTGACTGAAAACGATAGAGCGTGAAGTAAGAGTTTAATGCTTCATTTTCTGCTTGTCAATTCTCTTGTTGCTTTGAGTCACAGGATTTAGGATTGTTTCAATATAAATAGTAAGTGAGATCTTCATGAAGTGGAAAGCTGTGTAACATCGATAAATTAACCGCTCGGAAAGAAATTAATAGCTGTTGTTGTATATTGCAGTTCTGCAGAGAGTGCGTGTCAGGTGTAGGAAGTCAGGAAACAGGATAGATTTACTACAAGTTTACTTCATGCTACCTGTCCACAAGAATCTGAACTACTAACGGTCAAGGCAAATTGGTGCCAGATAAGAGTCAACAAACTTCAAGGGGTGGGGGGCAGGGGAGGCTGGACTTGGATCTCTTAAGGGGGTGTAGGGACTCCAGACTGATGATGCATTTGACCCCTCCCTCAGGCTCAGCCTGGTTGCCTCCTACATTACAAGATACTGGACCAGGGCTTAGAACCCTAAGTTAACCACTAACTAGTAATTACAGGTAGTCCTTGACTTATGACCAGAATTTCTGTTGCTAAGCAAGGCAGTTGTTAAGTGAGTCACAGGTGATTTTATGACTTTGTTTGCCACGGTTGTTAAGCAGACTACTGCAATTAAGCAAATCTGGATTCCCCCATTAATGTAGCTTGTTGGAATCCATCTGGGAAAGTCATCTGACACCCCCCCCCCCCCCGATGCTGCAACCGTCATAAGTACATGACAGTTGCCAATCATCTGAATTGTGATCATGTGGGGATGCTGCAGTGGTTATAAGTGTGAAGTCCGGTCTTGAGTCCTTTTTTCTCCAGTGCCGTTGTACCTTCAGACAGTCACTGAATGGTTGTTGGTTGAGGGCTATCTGTACTTTGTTTGACATCCCTGTGAGTATGTGATAATGATCATACAAGACTTAATTCTACAGAATCCTCCTGAAATTAGGGTTTCAGATGTTACACATGTCAGGATACTCTTTCGAGCATTGCAATTAAAATTCAGGCTGCCGATCACGACTGAGTCCCCATTCAGCTTAAGGTGTTATCATATAAAAGCAAAGCGAAAAAGGAGAAAGGAAGCGACCATCTTCGGGCTCTGTCTAACTGTGCAGTTAATTTTTCTGTCTTTTATTTTTTTTCTTTTTGCCCGTCTTCCTCTTTCATTAGTTTCTCTGGCTTGATTCAGGAAAAAGAGAATAGAAGAATAGAATAGAGCTGGAAGGGACCTTGGCAGGGGTGAAATGTAAAATCTGTTACTACCGGTTCTGTGGACGTGGCCCTTGGTGGGGGGGGTAGTAATGTGACGGGGTGGGCATGGCCAACTTTTTTTTAAACTTTTCAAAGTATTTTTTCTAATGCTTTGAAAAGCCTCTCTGCCGATCAGGCAACTCAGCTGGGATCGTCAGAGACTTTTCAAAGCATTTTTTTTACCACCTCTTTGGCCAAGAGGTTGCAGAAAAAAATGCTTTGAAAAGCCTTTGACGATCCCAGTTGAGCTGCGCGATCATCAGAGCCTTTTTTTTTTTTAATTTTAAAAGCATTTTTTCATCGGAAGAGGTTGTAGAAAAAATGCTTTTAAAAGTAAAAAAAAAAAAATGACTGTGCAGCTCAGCTGGGCATGGGGGTGGGGGGGCCAGGGATTTTTGCTACCGGTTCTCCGAATCACCCGCCGCCATCGCTACCGGATTGGGTGATCCAGTCCGAACCGGGAACATTTCACCCCTGTACCTTGGAGGTCTGATTTCATTAATCAGATGGAGAGAAGTTGAACTCTGATGCCATCCTGCCCCACATGAACCAAATTTAGCTTTTTTACGGACTCTTTTGTTCAAATGTTATTGGTCATGATTTAGTGGAACGGTTGGAATAGTTTCCCAGTGTACTTTCTGTATGTCTTTCTGTATAAATAGAAAATTCATCCTCCTTGCCTTATTTCTCTAGATCAAAATAATTTGTTCATTATCCTGTTCTGTTAGTATGATCTAGCATCAGTTCGGTCAAGTTTGTGCAAGAGAAGGATGGGGGAATAATTTGGAAGTGAACGAGCCAAGTAATATCAGTTGTCCAGTCCTTGAATTGAGATAGCTTTACTATACTAAGGAGCTTTCTGAGACACTGTTTTCCCAAAATATTATTAAAGTAGTTTAGAGTGAACTTCCTTCCTTCCTTCCTTCCTTCCTTCCTTCCTTCCTTCCTTCCTTCCTTCCTTCCTTCCTTCCTTCCTTCCTTCCTTCCTCCCTCCCTCCCTCCCTCCCTCCCTCCCTCCCTCCCTCCCTCCCTCCCCCTAAGGACCATTACTTTTCAATATCTTCATAAACGACTTAGATGAGGGAATAGAAGGGGAACTTACCAAATTTGCAGATGATACTAAGCTGGCAGGAATAGCTAAACACTCTAGAAGATAGGCTCAGGATCCAGATGGATCTTGGCAGACTTGAACCCTGGGCCCTATCTAACAAAATGAAATTCAATGTAGAGAAAAGTAAAGTCTTACACTTAGGCAAGAAAAACCAAAAGTACACATATAGACTGGGTGAAACCAGGTTTAATAGCAGTGACTATGAGAGGGATCTTGGAGTCCTAGTGGACAACCAGATAAATATGAGCCAGCAGCGTGTGGCAGCAGCCAAAAAAGCCAATGCAATCCTAAACTGCATTAACAGAGGGATACAATCAAGATCACGTGAGGGACTAATACCACTCTATAAAGCCTTAGTAAGACCACAACTGCATCCAGTTTTGGTCACCACACTATAAAAAAAATGTTGAGACTTTAGAAAGAGTGCAGAGAAGAGCAACTGAGGTGATGAGGGGACTGGAGACTAAAACATACGATGAACGGTTGCAGGAACTGGGCATGGCTAGTCTAGTGAAGAGAAGGACCAGGGGAGACAGGATAGCAGGTTTCCAATATCTGAGGGGCTGCCCCAGAGAGGAGGGGGGGTCAAGCAATTTTCCAAAGCACCCGAAGGCCAGACAAGGAATAATGGATAGAAACTGAATGAGGAGAGATTCAATTTGGAATTAAGGACGAATTTTCTGACAGAACAGTCAAACAATGGTACAGAAGTTGCCTTTGGAAGTTGTGGGAGCTTTATCACTTGAGACTTTCAAGAAGAGATTGGACTGCCATTTGTCAGAAATGGTGTAGGGTCTCCTGTTTAGGCAGGGGGTTGGACTAGATGACCTACAAGGTCCCTTCCAACTCTGTTAATCTGTAATCTAAACCTTCCCCCCATCCCATCCTCTCTCCCTCACTCTTATAACCAATTCTGTGCAGTTCCCAATCAATTAAATATCCTCTATTAAAACTTATGATATATATTGTTTGCATCTTGTTTAGTATATACACCCATATGAAATTCCAGAGTTGGATAAATTGTATGAGCTGTTATAGTTTATATCTTAAGATGTCTTAATCTTGTTGCACTTCAGAAAGGGATGACCGACTTTTACATTTTCCATAGCTCTTCTTAGCTCCTCTGCTTTTCAGAAAGCCAAACGGAAGTCAAAGCTACACTCCTGTAACAACAGATAAATACAGATATTATTTAGATAAATATTCATTAGAATCAACCGACTGCCCTATTAACCTTGTGCTTGCTTGTGTTCACTGCTTGCAGGTGTTCTGACAACTTTTGTTCTTTCTTCCTTTCTATTTTCTGCTTCTTGATAAAGGAGTCAGTCACTGTCAACATAAAGTAAAGCGAGCCAGACACTTTCTCCCTTTTGTCTTGTGTTCACATGAATCACCAGCTAAGGGTATTTAGCCTTGCGCTTTCTTTAGGTTGCCTGATCCGTTCAACAGCTGCGCTTTGCTAACCATGTTAAAATTTGGTTCCCTTGAGGCTACAGTAAAATTGTAAAGTACCAAGAACTTAAAACCTACGTTGCTAAAATTTTGAATCTGCGTGCCATTTGGTTTTGGTTTTTTTTTTCTCCAATTGTTCAGTGAGTCCTAGGAAATATTTCGAATTGTGCAAAGCTGGAACTTTGGTGGTGCTGAAAACCTATGGAATAATTCCTGTGGAGGAAAAAACTCCACATTTTTTTTTACTTAGTAGCCTGCTTGGGCCAATGCATGAACCCCTGGCATGATAAACAACTGTGCTTCTTAGAGCAGCATCTATACAATATATTGAAGTCCTGATTGTTGTATATCGATCTAAAGGATGTTTAGGCATTAAGTTGGATAACGGGGATCGAGCGTTGGCAACCTTAAGATCTGTGGACTTCAGCATGGCTGGCTGGGGAATTCTGGGAATTGAAGTCCACAGGTCTCCCAGTTGCTGTGATCTAGTCCATTGGCAAACTCAGCCCCACCTGTTGGTACCAATGAAATAAATTCCAGGAAGAAAGCCAAATGCAACACAGGGAGTCCTCTACTTACAATGACAGTTGAGCCCAACATTTATGTTGCCAAGCGAGACGTTTGTTAAGTGGCTTTTGCCCCACTTAATGACCTTCTTGCCACAGTTGTTAAGTGAATCACTGCAGTTATGTTCATAACATGCTTGTTAAGTGAATCTGGCTTCCCCATTGACTTCGCTTGTCAGAAGGTCGCAAAAGGGGGATCACAGTTGCCAAATGTCTGACTTTTGATTACGTGACTGTGGGGTGCTGCAACAATCATAAATGTGAAAAAAACGGTCATAACTCACTTTTTCAGTGCCATAGTAACTTTGAACGGTCACTAAATGAACTGCTGTAAATCGAGGACTACCTATATTTGATTGTGCCCCACTTGGACACTTTTTCAAAAGGCCCTGAAGTTGAGGTTCTGACAACGGCCCCCGGGGACCCCAGTGTGATAAGTGGTCCGTCTGATTGTTGTTACGAAATGGATGGAAGTTTATTGATTTCTGTCTTGGGGTTTTATCTTTGTAAGCTGCCCCGAGTCACCGCGAATGAGTTGGGCAGCTGTATAAATGTTCTTAATCAACTAAAGATAAAATAAATAATCATTTTGTTGAAGTGCAACCTTGGGACAATCCAGAAAAGCCTCAGAAATAAAATGGACAAGTCACATGTCCCCAAATACTGATGATTGTTCTCAGTACCAGAGGGAGGGATTTATTTTTCTTGTGTGTCTAATGAAAAAGAAAAATCAATTTTCAGTAAAGTGTCTAGTTTAACAACTTTCAAAATTAATTCAATGCCTTCTACCTTTAATGGCAACTTTTATTTCATTGACGTTTAAAAGAATATCTAAATCGTAGAATTGGATGCCTTGGTTAAGGTTTATCCAACAAATTCATCCTGTTGGAAGGGAGGGGAGAGGCTATAATGGAGAGAGAAAAAACAATGGCCTAGTTTTTCTCCCCAAATTGTACTAAAATGAATGTGTTGTCGGCTGCCTGCACGTTCTGATGGGCTGTATCGAAATACACTATTGGATCCCAATAAATGCCTTAATTACCACTGCTTTGTCACATTTCCTTGGAACTGGGCATGTATATGACTGTAACAATATGTTTTTTATCCTCTTTGGCTTACTTGTGATTTTAATACTGTATTTTCTGATTTTCTCCCCCCTTTTTTCCTCTGTCCGTTCCCCTCCTGCTCTTTACCTTCTGCTTTCTCTCTCTTTTTTGCATGCTACCCGGATCGACAGATGAAATTAGTGGGGACGGTAATATGTGGTTACATTTCCTTTTAAACAATTTGTGTGTGATGAAAGTACCGCTTGCAACCTCAATAACTCATTTGCCACTTCTGTTGTTTGTAATGAAGGCACATGCCTCGGCCTTATGTTTATTTATTCATATTAGACATATTCAGCTATGCCACAGTCATACAATTCCACAACATGGTGCGTGCTTCCTTGGGGGAAAAAAAAACGAAGACACGAAGGAAAAGAGATGAAAGGAAGGCAGTTGAAAATGTATAGCTGTATATCCTAGAGCCCTTTCTTCCTTTTTAAATATCTGGTGTAAGTTACATTTTTGCCATCACTTCATAAGCCTGTATGGCTACAGATAGTCCTTGACTTGCGACCACAATTGAGCCCAAAATTTCTGTTGCTAAGCAAGTCAGTTGTTAAGTGAGCTTTGCCCCCATTACTGAACCACTGAGGCTGTTAAGCTAGTAACAGGGTTGTTAAGAGAATCTGGCTCCTCCATTGATTTTTTTTGTCAGACGGTCGCAAAAGGGGACCACATGATTTCTGGACACTAAAACCGTCATAAATATGAGTCAGTTGCCAAGCATCTGAATTTTGACCTTGTGACCACAGAATTGCTGCAATGGTCATAAATGTGGAAAAATGGTCATAACTCATATTTTTTAGTGCCGTTGCAACTTTGAACGGTCACTAACTTGTGGACTACCTATAATGTTTTAGCTCGTGGTAGAGAGAGAGAGAGGGGAAAAAAAGCTATACTATAATATTCAGAGCAGGAGTGTCCAACGTTGTCAATGGCAAAATTTATAGCCTTCAAGTCCCAGAATTCCACAGCCAGCCGTGGCTGTGGAATTATGGGAGTTGAAGTCCACATGTCTTAAAATTGCCAAATTTGGACACCCATAATCCAGAATATAAAGAAGAAATTAAACGCCCAACTGTCAGTACGGTTTGGTTCTAGAACATGCCTCTTTCCCTACCCCATTAATAAATAAATATGCCCCTTTTTCTTTCTGAATTAAATCAGCTCTAGTGGATTTGCATGGGTGGCTTCTGAGATTGTCCTGAGCATTTTGGTTCTCTGTTGCCTTTGTTGGTCTGGTTTAAATTGAGAGAAACAGATTAGAGATAGTTCTTGAGTTACGACCCTTTGTTCAGCCACCAGTTCTTGCAGAGTTCAATGAATGGTACTGATACCAGTCTCCAGAGTTTCAGCCTTTGCAAGGCTGCAGCAGTCACGTTATTAAAATTTGGCTTGGCCTGGCCGTCTACCTCAGTCAGACCATCTGAAATACTAGCATCGTGTATCCAGAGGTGAAGATGCTTCCTTAACTCTGATTTCCTGTCCCGACCCTGATCGGCCTTAACTCTGCAATTCGTAGTTTTTTAAAGCTTTGGCAATAAAAGTCAAACATGGCCATTGGTCTCAAATTTAACAGCATCTTAGGATACCAGTTAACAGCGGTGTCCCCCAAGGCAGTGTTTTAGGACCCACACTCTTTCTACTTTACATAAATGACCTTTGCGATCATATTATAAGCAGCTGCGTTCTCTTTGCTGATGACGTAAAACTATTCAACACCACCGACAATACTGTTGCCCTACAAAGCAACCTAGATTATGGTCAAACAATTGGCAACTACAAATCTCAACCAATAAATGCTCTGTCTTACACATTGGCAACAAAAATCAGAACACCAATTACAAACTGGGTGGATCCGACCTCGTAAACGACCCTCACTCTGTCAAGGACCTTGGAGTACTCATCTCAAACGATCTTAAGCGCCAGAGCTCATTGCAATAGCATTGCCAAAAAGGCATTAAGAGTTGTTAACCTAATCTTGCGAAGCTTCTTCTCCAGTAACATTGCACTGCAAACTAGGGCATACAAAACCTTTGCTAGACCAATTCTCGAATACAGCTCGTCTGCCTGGAATCCACACTGTATATCGGACCTTAATACATTGAGCGAGTCCAGAGGTATTTCACGAGAAGAGTCCTCCACTCCTCTGCTTGCAATAGAATACCTTATACCACTAGGCTTTAAGTTCTGGGCTTGGACAATCTAGAACTACGCCGCCTTCGGTCTGACCTAAGCGTAGTACATAAAATTGTCTGCTACAACGTCCTACCTGTCAATGACTACTTCAGCTTCAACCACAACAATACATGAGCACACAATAGATACAAACTCATGGTCAACAGCTCCAAACTCGATTTCAGAAAATATGACGTCAGCAACAGAGTGGTCAATGCCTGGAATCCACTACCTGACTCTATGGTTTCTTCCCCAAACCCCCAAAACTTTAACCTTAGACTGTCTACTGTCGACCTCACCCCATTCCTAAGAGGTCTGTAAGGGGCGTGCATAAGAGCACTAGCGTGCCTACCGTCCCTGTCCTACTGTCCCCATTTATTCATACCCATTTCCTGTGTTCATATCCATGTTTATACTTATATCTGTTATCTCGTACATGTTTGACAAACCAAATAAAATAAAATAAACTTCCTTGGTATAAAAAAGTTTTATAGCAGATGCGAAACATTAAAGAAAAGAAATGAAGAGGGTGGGGGAGGTAGATAAATCAGTGGTGCGTCCTTCCCTCCCACTTAGAGCATTAGCATTTTCTTCAAAGTCTGTGAGCTTCTTTTGCATCCCTCAAGTGCTCAACATTGGAACATTTGCAACTTTTGAAGTGTTGATGCCTTGAGCAAAAATATTATATTACGAGCTCCCCACCCCCCTTCTCCAAGTGGGCTCAGGGTGTCTGGCTTTAGGAACATCTCTTAATCCAGGGGTCTCCAAACTTGGGAACGTTAAGATTTATGGACTTCAACTCCCAGAATTCCCCAGCCAGCCATACTGTCTTAATCTGACCCCTGTCTTAATCTGTTGAAAATGTCTGCTAAAATGAGTTACACTAATTTTTGTTGATGGTTAAAATTGATTCTGCATTTCCCACGTGTGCTTGTTTTCTCAAAAGTGAACGAGGAAAAAGTGAATAATAAACTCAATTAGGCTGAGAGGGAGGTTTTAAAAAATTCAGTAAACCAAATAAATAATTATGGAACTAGGTAACGTTAATTGTAAACTGGCTAGAAAATTCTTCTTTATAGCAAGTACTGTACAGAGATGTTTAATTAAATTAAGCAAAATTTAAATAATTCAAAACCATTATAGAGACAGAGAGAGATCAATTTTATTTTGCCAGAAAAAAAAATCTTATCATTTGTCAAATACGAAATACAGGTAGTCCTCAACTTATGACCACAATTGAACTCAAAATTGCTGTGGCTAAGTGAGCCATTTGTTAAGTGAATTTTGCCCCATTTGACGACTTTTCTTGCCACATTTGTTAAGTTCATCAGTGGAGTTCTTCAGTTAGTAATATAGGGTTCTTCAATGAATTTGACTCCTTTGTTGACTTGGCTTGTCAGAAGGTCCCAAAAGGGAATCACATGACCCTGGGAAACGGCAACCGTCATAAATATGAGTCAAGTTGCCAAGTGTCTGAATTTTGATCACGTGACCCTGGAGATGCTGCAGCGATCATGAGAGTAAAAAAACTGTCATCGTGCGAAAGGTCACTAAACAAGCTGTTGTAAGTTGAAGACTACCAGTTTCGCCTTCAGTGTCTGGGCCATTAAGTCCTGGATCCTCTTCAAGGACAATGTCACATGAACCACATCACAGCAGTCTGTATGGGAGGTGACTAAGGCATGGGTGACTTCCTGGTCCAGGAAAGGTTGTTAACTATCAGGTGGAACTGCAGGAGTCCTCCTCTAAATCAGTTCCCAGTTCAAGTATAGCAGTTTCTTGTACTTTTTCCTTGGAATTCTGCCCTTTCTTTTTTTCTAACTTTTTAAATGATCTAGGTGAGGATGGCTTGAGGAAATCTTACAAGTGACCAAAATCCTGTTCCTGAGAGGAAGGGATTGTTTAAACTCAAGTGCTATCAGATGACAGGGAGGATAGATATTTTGGGTTTGAGCTAGCAATTCAGAGCAGAAGCGATAGTGCAGTTTTGGGTGTTTGTGAATGTTAAGCATATACGGTACATTTAAGATTTCTAGCCGGAATGACAGTTATACACATAAAACTAAGCTCTTTGCATAATAAAAGCTAAATCTTGATGAAAATATTGAGGATGGAGTAAGGATAAAATTGAACAATAATATTAAAATAATTAGAATTTGTTAAGAACAGACTTGTAATACATAGATTAACAGAGTTGGAAGGGACCTTGTAGGTCATCTACTCCAGGGGTCTCCAACCTTGGCAACTTTAAGACTTGTGGACTTCCACTCCCACAGTTCCTCAGCCATTTACTCTGGGAGTTGAAGTCCACAAGTCTTAAAGTTGCCAAGGTTGGAGACCCCGATCTAGTTCAACCCCTCTGCTCAAACAGGAGACCCTACACCACTTCTGACAAATGGCAGTCCAGTCTCTTCTTGAAAGCCTCCAGTGATGAAGCTCCCACAACTTCCGAAGGCAACTTCTGTACCATTGGTTGATTGTTTTCACTGTCAGCAAATTTCTCCTTATTTCTAGGTTGAATCTCTCCTTGGTCAGTTTCCATTCATTATTCCTTGTCTGGCCTTTAAAGATGATCCTTTAAACGACTGGATTGGTTAAATGTATATAACTGCTCATGACTCTCGGTGGCCAACAGTACTTAACAACGGAATAAAGCAATGTAACATTTTAAATAGCATAAATAGCAGCCAAGAAATACAACCGACAGCAGCAATTAATAATCCTTCATAACAGTTAATGGAATCAAGGAATGGGCTCGCCCGCACCATCAGGCCTCCATGCTCCCAACACAAATCTAAGTCTTCAAGGCCTTAAGAAAGACCAGCAGCGTCTCATCTCTTTCGTATAAAGAAGTCATAGAGAGAGAGAAAAAAGAGAATATCACAGACATTGCTATTTTGGGTGCAAATGTTCACAGTGCAGCTGTGTATTGAGTTCTGCCTTGTTTGTCTACGCTGTGCCACTCTACCCTTGCAAACTCTCTCATCCGTTGGCTTTATTGTGAATTTTCTTAACGGGGAATTTGCATTGACGATTCAGACAGGATTACTCATGTTTTGACTGCTGGGTCTAAATAGGGGGACTGTCTCCTGATAATAAAGATGCCGTTCAGTTTCTCTCTCTAGTCCCTGAAAAACAAACTTGGTTATGTAATGTAAGGTGGTAATGAGGCCATCTTCATGTCCCTGAGTTAACCTTGTCTGGAGAGAAGATTTTAATCACGGTGGCAGATGGAGATTTATATCGGTGAAAAGGTTGCAGGTTTTTGGATTTGGACAGAAAAGCAGTCTCTGTGTGTATGTGTACACACACACTCTCTCTCACACACAAGTCTTTTTGCTTTGTTTTGCAATACGGTCATTTCCTTCAGATTCTCCCATTCTTTTCATTTCAGAAACCGATGACTATGCAGAGATCATAGATGAAGAAGATACGTACACCATGCCTTCAAGTAAGCCATCCTTTTCACTCTGGACACCTGATAGACTCGATAAACATAGTTGTAGCTCTATTTAATCAAGGATATTTGAGATGCATCCTTGTGGGCCTAGAAATTGGAAAATAAAAGGTTTTAAGTGTCATTTGAAGAATTGACATACCTCCACTGGGATTATTATTATTGTTTTTGAAATAGTAGATGTAGAAGCACAGACTCATGTAAGCAACTGAGAGAGAGCAATTTTCGATTGATGGCCAGGTGGGAAACTGCGAGTAAGTCCAGGCACTGTGCTGTGTCTTACTCAGAAGAATAAACCCCTTTTAGCTTTAGGATTATCTGTGCTTCTCTCCAGGTTCTTATACTTCTGTGCATTAAGGAAAGGAAGGAGGCAGGAAACTCCCACTTTCATCCTCAAAGTTTCCCTACATCTAGTAGTTAAGGCACCAGCCTAGAACGTGGGAGACCGTGAATTCAAGTCCCGCTTTAGCCATGAAAGCCATCTCAGTGATTTTGGTGCTGATCCACCTGACAAAAGCTTGTTGCTGTGGGAAAAATAGGAGGAGGAAGATGCGTTGGATACGTTTGCTGCCTTGGGTTGTTGGTAAAAATAATAAAGGTGGGATACGTATAAATAAATAAATGGCAATAAGAACAAAATCCAATTTCCAAAGTGCAGGTATAATGGAAAATCTCAGCTTGCTCTAAAGCAGGTGTGTCAAACACAAGGCCCGTGGGCCAGAGCCAGCCCGTGATGTGGTCGGATCTGGCACGCAGGGCTGTCCTGGAAAATGTAGGGGGCGGCCTATATAGCTTCGGCCCGGTCTACCCAGTGCGAAGAGGAAACATGCCAGGAATTTAGGGAGTGCCGTCAAGCTGGCCACTCCCACCCAGTTGACCACACCCATCCAGTTGGCCATGCCTGGAACCCAGCACCGCTCCTAGGGCAGTGATGGTGAACCTTTTTTTCCTCGGGTGCCGAAAGCATGCGTGTGAAAGCACACACATGCACACAATAGTGGGTGCATATGTGCCCACACCCATAATTCAATGTTCCCCCTGCGCACAACCCCCCGCGCATGCGCACACGACCCCCCCCCCGTGCCCCGTTTTGAGCCTAGCAGGCCTCCCTGAAGCCTCCAGAGGCCGGAAACGGCCCATTTCCAGACTTCTGGTAGGCCCAGTAGGCCTGTTTTTTGCCCTCCCCAGGCTCCAGAGGCTTTCCTGGAGCCTGGGGTGGGTGAAAATGTCCTCCCCTACTCCCCACGGAGGCCCACTAGAGGCCGGAAATGCCCTCCCAGAGCTTGCGTGCGAGCCCTGTACTTACCTGCCATCCAAAATGGGCCACATGGAGACTCCTGGGAGAGGAGGGGTGGCATGGGCACGGCTCTGGGTGCCACAGGTTCACCATCACGGTCCTAGTGGTTATGCAGACACATCCATTTGATTTTCTTGGCAACAAGATGGATGTGTTTTGTTATGGCCCTTTTTTTGGATATGTTTGGACAGCCTGGTCTTGCCCGCAGCCTCAGTATCCCATTGAGATCTTCTTCCAAGTGATAATCATATCGGCCTGGGCTTAGCACTTGAGATTAACCAGGGATAATAAATTATTTTTTAAAAAGAGTATTCTTTCAGGGGAGAGGGAATGAATGACTTTTTAAAAATTGTTAGCCATTGTTAATGAAAAACATAGCTCATAATAGTCAGTACGTAAATGGATAAATGTAACCACCTCATCCTAAATTGTGTTATAATATACAAAGTAAAGTTGGATGGCATCTGTGCCTCTACAGTGTTTTGAAGATGATGTCATAAATGTAGATCATGTATTTTGGGGTATCTGCAGAAATTTCAAATGCAATGTCTGTGTGTGGGATTTTGAATACTGGAATTTATTTATTTTTTCCAAATGTAATTTGCATTTTAAGAAGCATTTTCTAAGCCGGTGTTTGATTTTTCTCTTAATTGCACTGCAGAAAGCTATGGAATAGATGAAGGTAACAGGAGATCCTTTAATTATCTATCTGTTTACAATTTTGGAGATACCTTAAAAAAAAAAAAAGGAACGGTTGACTTTCTATTAATAAAGTGCTGGCTCAATTGTGTATTTTTAAGCCAACACGTTTGATAATTATGAGATTATAAAGAAAAAAAACTGCTTTGTTCAAATAAAAATGGATATATAAACTACAGAAGATTTTATGCCTATTCTTACTTTTTTTTTTTAACTCATCATAATAAATCATTTCCACTTCTCCCTTTGGAAACAAAAAAGCATGTTTCCCACTATTTTATTTGAAATTCGGAAATAAAAATAGACAATTCAGTTGGCAATGAATGATGCCTAATGATTTTAGGAATAAGCAGTTTACTAAAGAAAAAATATAATAAAATATGTATGAAATGTCAGCAGAATACATTGCATAGGTATTTAGGGTAGGTCTTTTTCAGGCTTATTAAAACTGTTCTTGGCCTGTTTCCTGATTAACAGGAAACGTAATATTTTGTATTTTTACTTGGCTGTAAATTTCACTCTAGAGTGGGGTTTATTTCCAGGAATGTATGCATAGGATTAAAACCACAAGCCCCTAAAATATCATGTAATGGAGACCTCTTAAATATGCCATTAGCAGGAGCTAATCAAAATAACCTACCCTTTTTGCATTTCTTTCCATGTGAACCATTGGTCATAATTCAGTTAAGATGCTTTAATTACATTGCTTGCATTAATGTAACTAAACACACTGGAACTAATTCAGAACTAGACGTCTCATATATCTTTTCCAGGATTTTCGTTTGAATGAGTGTTTAAGAGGATTCCACTATAGAGAATGGTACTTATATGGCTTGCTTGTGGGGCAAATATTGGTCTATTTTTCATGCGGGTAATCATTTTAAGCAACCTTTGATGGTGTTTTTGTCTTTTGTGGGGTCTTTCATGGGGAAGCTATTTCATCATTGGATTTAAATTTAAATGGATTGTATTTTAATAGCCAGGGATTATGAGATTCAAAGAGAGCGGATTGAACTGGGACGCTGCATCGGTGAAGGGCAGTTTGGCGATGTCCACCAAGGAGTTTATGTCACTCCAGTAGGTATTCGTAACGTTTTCATGCTTTTTTCGTAAGTAGAATTCGCTTCCTTCCAATTGTGTGAGATTATCCACTATACATTCTTACGTTCTAGTGAAAATGCAAATATGTTGAGTTTTGAACTTTCTTCTCTTATGCGGTAATGGAAAACTTCTTAACCCAATGCATAGTGTCTCCACCAACCTTTTATCCTTATTGAATAAAATTCCTTAAATTACACATCCTCACACATTCATATTTATCAAACTATAATACTGGCCAGGTGATGTAAGTGGTGTTGGAAAAGACAGAGTTCTTTATAACCACAGTTGTGTGTATGAATGGTTGAATTTTGTTTCGTTCTTGCAAACCTTCATATATACAGTATGCTCACTTATTTTTTTCCTGTGGGGTTCTTGATGCTCTCTTAGCTTGGTTGCCAGCATTTCATTACCAAACCCCATTCCCTTCTAGTGCTGATGACGTTACCCATTTGGGTCATGAAACGTCTGCAAGAACACCACCTCAGAGAGCATCAAGGACCCCACAGTTTAACCCTGAACTACTAATATTCTCTTTTGATGGAATTTTCTTCATGTTCGCTGGCTGTTTGTTTGTTTATTTTATTTTATTTTATTTTATTTTATTTTATTTTATTTTATTTTATTTTATTTTATTTTATTTTATTTTATTTTTATTATTTTATTTTATTATTTTATTATTTTATTATTTTATTATTTTATTATTTTATTTTATTTTATTTTATTTTATTTTTTTTATTTTATTTTATTTTATTTTATTTTATTTTATTTTATTTTATTATTTTATTTTATTTTATTTTATTTTATTTTATTTTATTTCTATACCGCCCTTCTCCCGAAGGACTCAGGGCGGTGTACAGCCTGATTAAAAGCACAAAGACAGACAAAATTTAAAAATAATTAAAATTATTAAATAGTTGGCTCAATTATAAAACCCCCAAATTTAATATCCCATATTTAAAACCAATTAAAATCTTTACATTGATAGCCCGGCCTGGTGGAACAACAAGGTTTTGAGGGCACAGCGAAATACACGGAGATCGGAGATCTTACACATTTCCAGGGACAGTTCATTCCACAGGGCAGGGGCTCCCACAGAGAAGGCCCTCCCCCTGGGTGTCGCCAGCCGACATAATTTGGCCGATGGCACCTTGAGGAGCCCCTCTCTGTGGGAGCGGACTGGCCGGTGGGAGGCTACTGGTGGCAGAAGACAGTCTTGAAGGTACCCAGGTACCCAGGTCCAATGCCATGGAGCGCTTTAAAGGTGGTAATCAACTTTTGGTTTACTGTGACTGAGTTACGTAAGACTGGTTGCTTAATGTCTATGGAAAAAGAATCTTTTTTGAAAAAGCATCTTTCGGACAATTGGTTGCTTGGAAACTATTTTCATTCCTTGTTGACTTGTCATCTCATCTTGATTGGTGTCAGCCAATTTCAGCTGGCTGCTCTCATGCAAATACGTCAGATTAAGGCTAAATCATTTCCTCACTTGACCCTGAAGCTCATTGTGCCATTCCGTGTACCTAAGCTCTTTCACAAAAGAAAAAAAACCAGGATAATGCTAAGAAGGAGCAGTGTAGTGTGTAGGCGAACTCCAGTTCCTGGACTTTAGATACACACTGGAATTAAAAATATTTTGGAATAAGGGGAAATCTTTTTGGTGTTAGTTTTCCAAAAAATGTACATATTGGAAGAAACATGTACCAAGTCTTTGGTGGAGACTTGTAAGGCAAAGTCACAAACTGTTGGTTTAAGTGGAATAATAAAAACTTAAGATGGGAGATTAACTCATCATCTCCCTGATAATATCAAAGCCTAAATGCTCTGATAAACATGCCCAGCTGTTACACGCAGTTGTTAAATCGTGACATGGTGGGGATGTGTGTGGAGGAGATGCTGTCCAAGGAGTAGGGAAGTCTCATTTGGCCTGAGGGTCTAATTAGCTGTTGGTAATGTGTGAACGTTTTAAAATCAGAGAACCGCTGCCTACCATCAGCTTCTGATTTAAGCCTGCTGTGGGATACATTTGAACTTTTCAGCAGGAGCTTCAGTTTCCAGTTCCTTTGCAGAGACGCATGAATGCGCCGAGAGAAATTTGTTTGTCTTCTCATATTTAGCAATTAGGTTTTAATTAGCTTCCTTTGATCGGTTGAAACCTTGAAGCTTTCAACCCAAAAAAGTTATTTATGAAACTCTTGACACTTGAAACTGGGGTCTTCGAAGAAACATAAATACTGTACATTTGAGTGTAGGGCTGTAAAAATATTTGGCTTAGAGGACGAACAATAAGATTAGATTTAGACGTAGAATAACTTTATTGTCACTTTGAATGTACACTGATCGGCATAGATTAAAATGAAATTTCGTTGCATACAGCTCTCAAAAGATGTTCATTTAACTTTGCATTTGCACATGGTTTCTGCAATTTTAGAAGCGATAAGGGATTATTTGTGTTTCATTAAATCCTGCAAATATCTTCGTGTCACAGGCAATCTACTTTTCTCTTTTAAAAGAATGGTGTTATATGATGCTGGGTATGCAGCTCAACTAAACAAGTTGCTCATGGGCAGATTGAAATTACCAGAAAAAATAGTTGGTGTGCAATGCACAATTGATCACTGCAACTTTTTGGTATGTTTTCTGTGTAGTCTGAGACAAATCTGGCTAATTTAAGCTGAGGTTGAACATAGTGTTAATGGAATAATAATGAGAACTCTATTCCTTCTTATATAACAAAAGGACAAAGTTAATTTCTAATCAAACTCAAGCTTACTCTTAGAAACCTGAAATTGGCCAATGCCATTTTAAGATTAATGTCTTTTTATACTTTTGAAGAAATGAGTGCTAGCATTATGCACATAGCCTTTGAAAAAAACATTTAGATATATCTAATATAAAACAGAAACAAAATGTTCTTAAAAACCCTTTCACAATATTAAATTAAAGTTAAACATTAATAGTTTGGTCAGGTTTGTTTATTTTAGTATTTACAGAATTTCAGATTACTTTGTTATAAGCATTAATTAAGGGAAGAAACCAGGGGTGAAATATAAAATTTTTCCCTACCGGTTCTGTGGGCGTGGCTTGGTGGGGGGAGGGTGTCATGTGACTGAGTGGGCGTGGCCAACTTGATGTCACTCACAGCCATGCCCACTCAGTCACAAGACCCCCTTCCACCAAGCCACGCCCACAGAACCCGGTAGGAAAACTTTTTAAATTTCTTTCTCCCGCGGCTCCGCCCACCCGCCCCATTCCCCGGATTCCTACTGCTCATCTTTCTCCTGCAGCTGGCTGTCAGGGAAGGCAAGTGCCCGAAAGGTACTGGAGTCGCTCACTCTCCTTCTTGAATGAGCCACTCTGGTCCATGTGCCAGCTGTGCAAGCGCACATCGTTTATTTAATTCAGCGGCAGGTTGGATGTCATTCAAGAAGGAGAGTGAGCGACTCCGGTACCTTTCGGGCGCTTGCCTTCCCTGACAGCCAGCCGCGGGAGAAAGGTGAGCAGTAGGAGTCCGGGAATGGTGCATTCCCCGAGTCCGGGGAATGGGGCGGGTGGGCGGAGCCTCCAGCTGTCATTGCTACCGGTTCTCCGAACCACCGGCCATCATCGCTACCTACTCGCCCGAGCCGGTCCGAACCGGGAGCATTTCACCCCTGGAAGAAACCATTCCCAACCCATTCCTACCTTTCATATATAAACTGGCAGCCCTTTTTCATATACAGTTACATAGTTCATGAGAAAATGCTAACTGTAGAAAACTGCCACCTTTTCTTTGCAAAGTCTATGAAACACTGTTTTTTTTTTTAAAAAAAAAACCAACTTCATAATCAATGTCTTTATCTGTGTGATTCCTTTCATTTGTATAACGTGGGCTTTTCTGTCTTGTAGGAAAACCCTGCCATGGCAGTTGCAATCAAAACGTGTAAAAACTGTACCTCGGACAGCATAAGAGAGAAATTCTTGCAAGAAGCCTGTAAGTTATAAAAAAATGTTCTTTTTTCCCCCCAAGCTTTGGTAGATTTAGGGTGAACGTGCGAGGAGTTCTTTGTGCAAAGGCTGGAAACAAACACCACGACTTAGCTGAAAACTGTACACTGCATCGTAGCACCCGCCATCCCCAAGCATTGGCGCTTGCCCTCTTAAGCAAAGTTCTCAGAGTGGCATCTAGTCCTCGTTTCCCCCTCCAGAAGTGCTTGCACTTAGAGGGGATTATGCGCTGCCTCGGTGGGGGTTTCTCCTTTTATAAACACAGCTGCAGAATAAAGCTTCTGCAAAGCTCCCAGCTCTTTTTCACAAGCACTGTGACTACTGAGTTGCAAAGCCAAGCTGGCATCAGACAGGGATCAAACCAAGGTGGACTGTTTCCTGTGGCTTATGGTCTTGGCAGTTGACCGTTGGCTCGCTTGCCTGCTGTTTGTCCTGGCCCAAATTTTGCTCCCCCACTTCCACGGCTGCTTGTATCTCTTCCTCTTCTTCCACTTACCCATACGCACTCTGGCTTGACCTTCCTTTTTCCAGGCATGGGTGAAGTAAGGTGTGCTAACCAGGCTGCCTATGGATGTTGGCATGTGTTTGAAAAAGCCAGGATGTGGCTCACCTGGCCACTGGGGGCGCTGTTACACCAGTCCAATAGCTGGGGAATTCGGGGAGTTGAAGTCCAATCATCATAGAGTTGCAGAGTTTGAGCAACAGTGCATTAGAGCAGGGGTCACCAACCTTGGCAACTTTAAGCCTGGTGGACTTCAACTCCCAGAATTCCCCAGCCAGCAAAGCAAAGCTGGCTGTGGAATTCTGGGGGTTGAAGTCTGCCAGGCTTAAAGTTGCCAAGGATGGAGACCCCTGCACTAGAGATTATTCTGTTCCATCAAGCTTTGGGAGGTTGTGTGGATGCACAGGGTTGTCCTCATTAGATTTTATAGACCTTCATTATAAATAAGAGTTTATAATAAAATATACATATTTTTGGATTTATTTGGATGGCTTTTGCTGAGATGCTTTTGTTAGGGTTTTGCATTTATCCTTTTTTTCCCTTTTTGCTAGTGTGATCTCCCCAGAGAATGGGAAGAGAAACACATGAGTGCCTAAAATTAAGCAAACAGTCAGACAGGTTTGCATTTCTGTCCTTGGATAAAAAGTCTCTCAGTTGAAAAATACGGGCTGAGATTCGATTCATAAATCCAGATTTGTAATACTCTGTCCAAACTGAAGAACGACGCACGTTGTTTAGAACGGGGATCAAATCACGAGCAGCCAAGATAAATCTGCTACTCTAATAATGCATGTTTTTTTTTTAGAATGTTTGGCTACGGAGTTGCTATCTCTTCCACAGCACAAGCAAACCAATTTCCATTTCATTTGGTGCGAGCTTTTTAACTCCTGTGCTCTTGAGACAGATAATAAAGCAATTATACTCCTCGTCAATAAGGCTTGATGCCAGCCAAAGAAGTAAATGAGATTTTCTTGTGGACATCATATTCATGTCAGGGTTGTACTCCATCACAACTCAGTGCATCTGTCTGAGTAGTGTTCCATTTGTCTTCTTTCTGCTCTAATGAAGAAATGCCCAAATGAAGCGGAGACATTGTGAATCAATAAGATTTTTTTTTTAAATAAGGCGGGTTGGAAGCTTTGAACCATAGTTAGTGATAATTGTCGCCAATTTATATTTTGCAAGCCATCTGTTCTTGAACTGAATCAATTTAGGTGGATCGAAAGATATTAAATTGTTGTCACACTTTAGTGGCTCCCTCAGAAGGAAAATTCTCGGCCTTTACCTTTTCAGCATGGTTGTGAAATCAAAAGTTTGTGTTATGCTTCTGCACCTCTCTTCCAGTGTCTACCTCTAACCCGTTTTAGTGTTATTTTTGTGCTTCGGATACTGAAATCGGGGCTAAATATGCTTTCGTTTCAAGAGCTGGTGTAAAAGTAATCATGATTAGCATTAGTATATCTGCAAATATAGTAGATATCACATCACAGTAGATATTGGAAATGGAAGAGAAATTAAAATAGATAGCTGAGCTGCAAAACAGACAGTACCTGGAATGGTGAGAAGGTTCAGCCACGTAGCCCATTTCCCAGAAAGAATGGTAGTTTACTCTGAAAACAAAATGATTTCATTATTATTATTATTATTATTATTATTATTATTATTATTATTATTATTATTATTATTTAAATTTCTATACCGCCCTTCTCCAAAATAGGACTCAGGGTGGTGAACAGCCAAAGTAAAAAACAATACATACAAAATTTAAAAGCAATTTAAAATAATTAAATATTTTGGCCGTAAATTAAAACAACCCAATTTAAAATCAAATTAAAATTAACTCAAGCCAGCCCAGCTAGTTGAAATAAATGGGTTTTCAGGGCCCTTCCTAGGAGCCTGAGTGGCGTAGGAGGTTAATGCCTCCTACTAAGGCAGCATTTAACATCCAGCTGCCTGCAATTACTGCGAGTTCAATTCTCACCAGGCTCAAGGTTGACTCAGCCTTCCATCCTTTCTAAGGTGGGTAAAATGAGGACCCAGTTTGTTGGGGCAATAAGCTGACTTTGTATAAATATACAAAAGTATGAAGGCTATTGCTTAACACATTGTAAGCTGCCCTGAGTCTCCGGAGAAGGGCGGCATATAAAAATAAATAAATAAAAATAAAATAAATAAATAAATAAATAAACCCTTTACAGAGAGTCCTCAGTTTATGGCCAGTCAGTTAGAAACTGTTTGAAATTATGACCGATCTGCTGTCACCCAGGACACATTAGCAGCTGCTTGTACCTTCCTGTGCTCCTTTGATAGTATTTTACATTAGTTTTACTAAAAATTGACATTTCTGCTTTTCGGCAGCAAACCGCGCCCGTAGTAAGCCATCGATTCACTTAATGACCACCACAAAAAAAAAATCAGGTTGTTCATGTGACCGACCCACTTTACGCCTGTCATAAAACCATAGGGCTGGAAGGGATCTCAGAGGTCTTCTAGTCCAAACATCTGCTCAAGCAGGAGACTCATATACCATCCCAGTTAAATGGTTCTCCAGTCACAACTTAACAAGTTGATTAACGGTCGTAAATCGAGGACTGTCTGTAGGTGGGAAACGTGTTTGAGGAAGCATTTCTAGCTAACCTAAGTTAGAGCCCTTGGGGGCACAATGTTTAGAATACAATATTGCAGGCTAACTCGACCCACAGCCAGGAGTTTGGCCATGGCTGATTCAGCCTTCCATCCTTCAGAGGTCGGTAAAATGAGGATCCAGATTGTTGGGGGCAGTGGTGAAATCCAAATTTTTTTACTACCGGTTCTGTGGGCGTGGCTTGGTGGGCATGGTGTGGCCTGGTGGGCATGACTTGGTGGGCGTGGCTTGGTAGGCGTGGCAGGGGAAGGATACTGCAAAATCCCCATTCCGTCCCCACTCCTGGGGGAAGAATACTGCAAAATCTCCATTCCCACCCCACTCTGGGGCCAGCCAGAGGTGGCGTTTGCTGGTTCTCCGAACTACTCAAAATTTCCGCTACCGGTTCTCCAGAACCTGTCAGAACCTGCTGGATATCACCCCTGGTTGGGGGCAATAGGCTGACTCTGTAAACTGCTCTGAGAAGGCTGTGAAGCACTGTGAAGCGGTATATAAATCTAAGTGCTAGTGCCAGTGCTATGGATGAAGAGAGCTTGACTTCCTCAGTCCTGGACAGTCTCTGTGTGATCTAAGACAGGGGTCTCCAACCTCGGCAACTTTAAGACTTGTGGACTTCAATTCCCAGAGTTCTGGGAGTTGAAGTCCACAAGTCTTAAAGTTGCAAAGGTTGGAGACCCTTGATCTACCCTGTTTCCCTCAAAATAAGACATCCCCTGATAATAAGCCCAATCTGGCTTTTGAGCGCATGGCAATAAGGCCAAGCGCTTATTTCACGGTTCAGAAAAATATAAGACAGGGTCTTATTTTCGGGGAAACACGGTAAGAGAAAGGGTGTCATTCAATCAAGCCATCAAATGTTGGCTCCTCAATCACTGTTTTTAATAGCAGAGGAACCCCGGCCTCAATTCTGGGAAGCGGCATGTAAGTCTTAAGTGCTAGTGCAGTGTTTCTCAACCTTGGAAGCTTGAAGATGGGTGGACTTCAACTCCCAGAATCCCCCAGCCAGCGCTGCTGGCTGGGAGATTCTGAGAGTTGAAGTCCACCCATCTTCAAGCTACCAAGGTTGAGAAACACTGTGCTAGTGCTAGTAAGTCTAGAATCTTGTTTTTCAACCCTTTGCTACAAAAAGAACCCTTTCCCCCCTGTTTTCAGATTGCCCGTCACCCAGCATGCCTCTGTTTAACGAGAACTTTTGCTTTCCCCGTTGCAGTAACGATGCGTCAGTTTGATCACCCACACATTGTGAAGCTGATTGGCGTCATTACGGAAAATCCCGTCTGGATCATTATGGAGCTCTGTACCCAGGGAGAGGTGAGAAGAATCCATCAAGACGCGTCCGTCCTCAGGGGTTCGATAAAGACTTTGGGGGACGTGGAAGGATTGTGTGGACCTCTTTCTTGAAAGGAAGAAAGAGTCATCAGCCTTTGGCAATGGAAGAATCATAGTTTCGAATTGAGCCCCGGGTGGGTGGGGGTGGGAGAATTGTGGAATTGGAAGAGGAGACCTAAACCTGTTCTTCTCAGTGTGGAATTGAGTGAGAGCTCTCTGCTTTTCCACTGGGAAGAAGAGAGCGGAAAAGGATCGTAAATAAAAATCTTTGCGCACCGTACATGTAGTCCTTGACTTACAACAGCAGCCGTTCTAAGTGACAGCAGCACTGAAAAACGTGATGTATGACCATTTTTCACATTTATGACTGTTGCAGCATCCTAAAGGGGTCATAATTGCCCACCCCTGGTTTAGAGTATGACCGTCCGAGCTTTTGTAAAACATGTATGTTTTGATTGGAAGGAAAGTCATTTAATTAACCCAAGCCGGGCTGAGTTAAAAATCTTTTAATTGGGGAATTTTATGGGTAAGGGGTTTTAAATTGGGGAAGCCAAAGATAAATTTAATTTCGTTTAAATGTATTTTAAATATTTGTATTGTGTGTTATTAATTTTGGCTGTTCACCGCCCTGAGTCCTTCGGGAGAGGGGGCGGTATAAAAATTTAAAATATAAAAATAAATAAAATAAATAATAATTCTAAAGATCAACAGCCCAATTTGAATATTGTCATCGCTTTCCTTTTAATAGTTGAGCAACCCAATGATTGAGGCCAGAGTGATGGCCACTGCCAGGACTGCTTGCAGAAGCCCAGTGACTCTTTAGAAATCACAGTTTCTCTGCAACAGCCCAGTGAGAATTGAGCATGCTCAGTAGCCATGAAAAGGAAGACAGTGGAATGGAGAAGAGAGAGAGAGAGAGACGAGGCAGTTGGGATTCTTTACGCTGCAACATGTTGAATCGAGATCCTTTATTTTATTTATATATTTATTTATTAGTTTGTCAAACATGTACAAGATAGCAGGTATGAATATGAACATGGACATGAACGAAGGAAATGAATACAATAAACAGGGGCAGTAGGACAGAGACGGTAGGCAAGCTGGTGCGCTTATGCACGCCTCCTTTACGGACCCCTTAGGAACGGAGTGAGGTCCATGGTAGACAGTTTGAGGTTGAAGCTGTGAGCGTTTGAGGCTGTAACAACGGAGTCAGATAGTGCATTCCAGGCGTTGACCACTCTGTTGCTGAAGTCGTATTTTCTGGAATCGAGTTTGGAGCGGTCTACCTTGAGTATGTATCGATCGTTTGCCCTTGTATTATTGTGGTTGAAGCTGAAGAAGTCATTGACAGGCAAGACGTTGTAGCAGGCAATTTTTTTTTTTTTAATTTGATTTATATGCCGCCCTTCTCCGGAGACTCAGGGCGGCTTACAATGCTCTAAGCAATAGCCTTCATCCTTTTGTATATTTGTATACAAAGTCAGTTTATTGCCCCCACAAACTGGGTCCTCATTTCACCTACCTTAGAAAGGATGGAAGGCTGAGTCAACCTTGAGCCTGGTGAGATTCGAACCTGCAGTAATTGCAGGCAGCTGGTCTTAATAACAGGGTGCTTTAAACCACTGTACTACCAAGGCTCCTTGTGTACTATGTACACAAGTTACTAATTACTATACTAATTTTGTGTACTATGCTTAGATCGGAGTGCAGGCGGCGCAGTTCCAGATTGTCCAAGCCCAAAATTTCAAGCCTTTGCGCTGCAACATTCTGCTGCTGGATTCCTTTTCGCTTAGTCTGACTTTCCCCTCTCTCTCCTTTATCCTGTAGCTGAGATCGTTTCTGCAAGTCAGAAAATACAGCTTGGATCTGGCGTCCTTGATACTTTATGCTTACCAACTTAGCACAGCACTGGCCTACTTAGAGAGCAAACGGTTTGTACATAGGTAAGATCATCACCTCCCTGCAAAATACTATCCTCTAAAAATTGTATACATCGCTGCCTGGTTTAACAGCCACGTTGGGTTCGGTTTTCTTATCCCGAACTCCCTTTTCCATTATTCCACGCGTTGATAAAATTTGCATAGCTGCCCATCTCACCAAAAGCGATTTCCTTTATGTTGATTTAATGAACAAGGGAGAGCAGTAATTTTAACATCTTAGAATCCACTTATTTTCATCCTTGATTTGTCAGTCTCTTTGTGAGCATTAACTGTTCCGAATCCAGCAGCATGTGAGAGACTCAGCAAAGGGTGACATCTGCTGGGCAGCCTCTTCCAGTGTTTGTTAAAATAGTAGCAGCAATTTCCAATTTCCATTTTGAAATCACTTGCCACCTCCAAAGCATGAGATACAGTGGTGGGTTGCTATCGGTTTGCCCCAGTTTGGGCGAACTGGTAGTAGCGGCGGCAGGAGGCTCCGCCCATCCGCCCGGATGTCCTCAAATGCGCTCTGTGCATGCGCAGAAACTTCTGCACATGTGCAGAAGTGATACGTGCGCGAGCGAATCAGTAGCAAAGGTAAGTGAAACCCACCACTGATGAGATAGCAATAAGAGTTTCCCTGAAAACTGTTTAACCAGTGAATGGACTGCTAACATTTTCATGGTAATTAAAATGGAAAGCAATCGGAGGAATACTTGACATCTTTAAGAGTAAGGAAAATACTCTATTAAAAATGGAGGTCAAACACACAGTATAAAACTTGGAGTTCACGCATACTCGTAAAAGTTTCAAGGTGGTTTTGGATGCAGTATCTTCTAATCCTTGCAACACCCTTGTACAGTAAGGTAAAGGTAAAGGTTCCCCTCGCATGTATGTGCTCGTTGTTCCCGACTCTAGGGGTCGGTGATCATCTCTGTTTCAAAGCTGAAGAGCCAGCGCTCTCAAAAGACGTCTCCATGGTCATGTGGCTGGCATGACTCAACGCCAAAGGCGCACGGAACGCTGTTGCCTTCCCACCAAAGGTGGCCCCTATTTTTCTACTTGCATTTTTTACGTGCTTTCGAACTGCTAGATTGGCAGAAGCTGGGACAAGTAACGGGAGCTCACCCCATTACGCAGCACTAGGGATTCGAACCGCTGAACTACCGACCTTTCGCTCGACAAGCTCAGTGTCTTAGCCACTGAGCCACCGCATCCCCCCCTTGTACAGTAGATTATTTTTTTTAATAAGAACCTGACATAATACTAAGGCAAAGATGCAATCAAGATTCAGAACTCAGATTCAGATTAGGTTCTGCCTGGTTTTTAACTAAAGGGGTCAAGGAACCATAAATTAGTCTTGTTTTTCTAAACACAAAATCCTGGATTTTTTTCCCCTTGGTTTAGTTGGAGATGTCTTAGTAAGTGCTAAACTGTGTAAAATTTGGTTGCCCTTATATTCAGCTACAACTATCTAATCCAGCTAGATTTTCATACTATATGTAACGTGATATATTGTGCCTTTTTGTTGGAAGAGAGCAGGAATGTGATAGATGTTTGATATGAAAATAATCCGATTAAACGTGCTCCAGATGCGCTCAGGTGCTGATGCCTTAAACGGGAAGGATTAACGTTTTATGTCTTCCACCAGGGATATTGCTGCTAGAAATGTGCTGGTGTCCTCTACAGACTGTGTGAAACTGGGTGATTTTGGTTTGTCTCGGTATATGGAAGATAGCACTTATTATAAAGGTAAGTAAGGGATGTGTCCACACAATCACCGTCTACAGCCTCTGTTGAGTAAAAAGTCTATCCTGTCCTACTCTTACCATAGGACATTGGCCAGCAGTCCAGAATTAAAAACCAGTATAGTCAAAGTCCATTTAAGTATTTTATTTTTAAAAGGTCAGTAATTGTGTTCTCAGGTCTAGTTCAAATTTGGCATCAAGTAACCAAGTGAGGCTGCCACAGAAATGCTGAGATCGAAGTCCAGGATTGTAGGGTTAGAGCAGGGGTCTCCAACCATGGTAAAGCTGGCTGGGGAATTCTGGGAGTTGAAGTCCGCCAGGCTTAAAGTTGCCAAGGTTGGAGACGACCCCTGGGTTAGAGGCATTAGAAAATAGCTTATGAAGATCTCACTGGTGGTTGGATCCTGGCACCACTAGATCAGGCTCCAAAGATTCTTCTTCCTCCTTGACAGAGGACTTGTATCAGGGGTGAAATCCAGCAGGTTCTGGAGAACCGGTAGCGGAAATTTTGAGTAGTTTGGAGAACCAGCAAATACCACCTCTGGCTGGTCCCAGAGTGGGATGGGAATGGAGATTTTGCAGTATCCTTCCCCTGCCACGCCCATCAAGCCATGCCCACCAAGCCACACCACGCCCACCAAGCCACACCCACAGAACCGGTAGTAAAAAATTTGGATTTCACCACTGACTTGTATAAAGGAGCCATGGCAAAGAATTGATCTGTTTTTTCTAAATTTATTATCAAATTGATTCTATTCTGTTGAACAAGAAGAACTGGAAACCATGCAAGTGTTCTCCATGTGCAGTATTATATATCTGTAAAATATGCTATTTTACAGGTAGTCCTAAACTTACGACTGCAGTGGAGCCTGCCCATAACGGTCGCAAGTTGTGAAGGTAGTTAAGCGAGGCGCCCATTGATTGCCTTGCTTAACAACCTCCATCCCTGCTCTCCCTGTTGTGTCGTTAAGCAGAGTATGGGGGTGCCTCAGAGATAGCACAGACATAGGCCCACCTACCCCAGACCTCCCATTGCCTCCCCTACCCCACTGAGGCACCCCATGCTCTGATTTCTACCCCTTGAGGTCCCTGCAGGCCACTGATTTTATAGTCTTGATTACATTCGATAAAAATTGGGGCATGTATTGAATTAGGCATATTGTATTTGGTGTGTAAACATCTGGATGACGGCTAGATAGTATTCGATAGATGCTGAACACTGTTAACTCTTTACTGCCATCTTGTGGTCATTCATATTTTTGCAGCCCAACTATTTTCACTTTGTGAAAATTGTGCTGCTTTCTGTGCAACACTTTGTGGCTAGGACATCTTTGATTCAGGTCATCTTTATTCACTTAATGTTCAAATGTCCAAGAGATACGACAGTATATGGTGAAGACGAGGGTGAACCCTACACAGCTCATTTATAAGAAACAGTAGCATAGAGTGTATTTCACTGTTATGCCTGCCTGCTTTTCAGCAATGATGGGGCCCAAAATTCATTTTGATTGCTCTATGGCAGGGGTCAGCAACCTGTGGCTCTGGAGCCGCATGTGGCTCTTTCACCCCTCTGCTGCGACTCCCTGTCACTCAAAATATGTGTCACAACCGCCAATGTGCGACACCCACCGACACACGATTTATTGAGCTTTTCAACCCCCGGTAGGTCAACCATGGATAAATCCAAGAAAAGAAAAGTTTCAGAAGAAAACCGAACATTTAATTCAACTAAACATGCTAGTTTTGTGGCCGCTCAAGAAATAGTCAGGCACGGGAAGGGTTTTGTGGCTCCCGGTGTTTTCTTTTCTGTGGGAAACGAGTCCAAATGGCTCTTTGAGTGTTTAAGGTTGCAGACCCCTGCTCTATGGTATATTCAACAATAACAACCCAACGACCCAAGTTGGCGAAAAATTCACCCAGCGCATTTAGATATGGCAAACATGCATGTGGATATACTCAACAGTGTAAAATATATTGAGTGGAGCAGAGTAATGATGTTTAAGATGTCCTGAATAGATTTCATTTGTGCACTTTAGCTTCAAAAGGCAAATTGCCCATCAAGTGGATGGCCCCAGAATCCATCAACTTCCGACGTTTTACCTCAGCCAGTGATGTCTGGATGTTTGGTAAGGGAAGATCAGCACGTTTCCTATATCTCTGCCTCCATTTTAAAACTGTTTGTTGAATGTGTACAGGTAGTCCTCGACTTACGACCACAGTTGAGCCCAAAATTTATGTTGTGAAGTGAGATGCTTGTTAATTGAGTTTCGCCCCATTTTATGACTTTTCTTGCCGCCGTTGTTAAGTGAATCACTGCAGTTGTTGAGTTAGTAGCACATTTGTTAAGTGAATCTAGTTTCCCCGTTGACTCTGCTTGTTAGAAGGCCGCAAAAGGGGATCACATGACCCTAGGATTCTGCAACGGTCATAAATATGAATCAGTTGCCAAGCATCCGAATTTTGATCATGTGACCATGGGGATTCTGCAACGGTGGTAAGTGTGAAAAGGGGCCCTAAGTTATTTTTTTCATTGCTATTGTAATTTTGAATGGTCACTAAATGAATTTTTGTAAATCAAGGACTACCTGTATCACCCTTGCCTGTTATTGCATGGCACTCAAACAAGTGTACAACATGTACATTTACCCAGATGTAATATTGAATTAAGGGACACGGTGTCTCAGTGGCTAAGATGCTGAGCTTGTCGATCGAAAGGTCGGCAGTTCAGTGGTTCGAATCCCTAGTGCCGCGTAACGGGGTGAGCTCCCGTTCCTTGTCCCAGCTTCTGCCAACCTAGCAGCTCGAAAGCACGTGAAAAATGCAAGTAGAAAAATAGGGATCACCTTTGGTGGGAAGGGAACAGCGTTTTGTGCGCCTTTGGCGTTTAGTCATGCCGGCCACATGACCACGGAGACGTCTTCGGACAGCCCTGGCGCTTCGGCTTTGAAACAGAGATGAGCACCGCCCCCTAGAATCAGGGACGACTAGCACATATGTGCGAGGGGAACCTTTACCTTTACCTTACTAATATTGAGTTTTGCTACTCCACCTTTCATTTTCTATTGACATTCTAGTTGTTCCCTCTTGTTTGTTTTTCTGCACTAGATTGCATTTAGAAGATTTTATTCACGAAACAGATTGTTATACAGTTATGCAGTCTTGGATTTTTTTTCATCCAGCAGTGGTATCCCTATTTACTATACATTGCTTAAATTTATTTCACCCCCTACTTTTGTCTCTAAATGAACAGTGGGCTAGAGGTATATAAGTAAATATAGGAGAAGGAATGGCAGAACCTGGGGACAGAATTAAAAGAGGGATCAGCCTAGAATCTCTACATAGCCACAAGCGACCAACCTCTCTTCAATTCCAGTGACCGTTATCTAATTCCTAGCTAGGTGCTAACCATTAGTTGAGAAGATTCCTGTGAGTAGACACGATTAGCAATAAATCAGTTTAGCTGGATTTTCACATGTGGACCTGATTTTTCACACCTGACATCATACAAATTTTATGGTAATTAATATTTAATGAGGATGTAGTTGATTTGTAATAGGAACCTTCTTTATATTTTAAGATCAGTATATAAATCGCATAATAGCATAACCTTTTGGGAGTTGAAATCTACAGATTGTTAAGAGGCCATAGTTGCCCATCTCTGGCTTACAGACAAGATGAAGGCCATCTACATACCTTCAGCTTCATTAGAAAAATGCTCTTAGCATGCATGGAAGCTAGCCAGCCAGTTTAGAGATCCTCCCTCCAACCGCTAGCTCTGACTGCCTTAGGCACGACTGCAGGGTACCCCATGATCCTCACTGAAACTGGCCACAGGGGTGCCTGAGACAAGCAGCCAATGACGCATCATCTCACTGAACCCCCTCCTCACCGAAAGTATGCCATAACTCAGACCAGTGGTGGAGAAAGCTGAAATGGCCTTCTCCTACACACCTATGGAGATTCTCAACCATTCAGGTCATGATTTTCCCAAAGGGTAGGGTAGGGTAGGATAGGGTAGGGTAGGGTAGGGTAGGGTAGGGTAGACAGACAGACAGAAACAGAAACAGAAACAGAAACAGAAATAGAAATAGAATTCTTTATTGGCCAAGTGTGATTGGACACACAAGGAATTTGTCTTCTTTTTTGGAAAAAAGGTGCTTTTTCCAAAAAGAACTGGACATTCTTGGATTTTTTTTTTCCTTTGAAAATGTTTCACTTCTCATCTAAGAAGATTAGAACTGAAGAAGCTTCTTGGATGAGAAGCAAAACATTTTCAAAGGAAAAAGATCCAAGGAAGTCCAGTTGCCTTTTGGGAAAAAAAGCACCTTTGGGTCTAGTGCATCGTGTCTTTTTGGCACTGTATGAATTGGTTTGATGGAACCTCTTTTAGTCATTTCCTACAGGTCTAGAAGAGAGAAAGGCAGTAAAAAGCTATGCTTGCTATGTGTATCTCCTGAATTACAAGGACATTTAGTGTGTTGACATTAGTTGGGGAAAAGGAGGCGGTTTCTCAGTCTAACTATATGGGTAATCCTCAATTTACAACCACAATTGAACCCAAAATTTATGTTGCTAAGCAAGACAGTTACTAAGTGAGTTTTGCCCCACTTTACGACCTCTCTTGCCACAGTTGTTATGTGAGTCATTGCAGTTAAATCAGTAACATGTTGTTAAGGGACTCTGGCTTCCCCATTGACTTTGCTCCTCAGAAGGTCGCAAAAGGGGATCACATGATCTTGCGACATTGCAGCCGTCATAAATACAGGCCAGTTGCCAAGCGTCCACAGAAGTATGACAAATGGTCACTAGTCAGTTTTTTCACCGCCCTTGTACCTTGGAACGGTCACTAAACGAACGGTTGTAAGTCAAGGAATGCTTGTAGCAAAAGGTGGGGCATAGGGGCCTGCTTTGCTCCATTTTAGGTATGGAAATTATTCGTATAGCCAAAAAAAAAAGAGTGTCTAAAACCTTGATTGTTCCCCCATGATGTCTCATCAATTTGCATGGAAGCAAAATTTCCCTTATTTTTTTCGAGGCCGGTCTTTGGCGGCATCTTTTCCCTGTTAGTTGATACCATAGTACTGTTGTGGCTCTGTTACCTGAGCCTGTGTCATCGGCAGGAGAGGCCTCTGAGAGTGAAGGAGAGGAGTTGGCAAGGCCTCCCTCTCCAGGACCCTCCTCTCTGGCAATGCCTTCGGTGTCCGCCGAAGAGCAAGAGATAGGGCTGGGGCCAAGCACGTCCACGCAGCCACAGATGGACAGTGATGAGGGTAATGAGTCTTGGCTGGATCCTCGACAGCATCACAGAGATAAGCGCGCACAACAGAAGAAAAGGCGTGCCCGAGATTAGGCTGAGTCACTGGACCACACCCCACAGGGTATAAAAGGGAGCGTGGTGGCCAGTCAAGCCTTGTGACGAACAAAGCTGAAAGCTTCACGCCATTCTGCATTGCCGGACTTTTGCTATAGACTTTGCTGGAGTATCTCTGGACTTGATTGACTCTGTAATTATTGAGCTGCTTCTTTTGATGTACCAGAAGCGGGGAGAAGTTATCTCTCCTCTTCGTAAGTAATAAACTCTTGGCAGGCAGCCACTAGGTGGTTGCCAAGTTCCGTTATCATAAGGAAAAGGATTTTGTCGGCTGGTTTAGTGTTTAGCTCTTGAACGTCTGTTGGTGTGTGTGCGTGTGGGACGGGGACAGAATAAGTACAGGGGTATCAAACTCAAGGCCCGGGGGCTGGATCCGGCCCATGGGGTGCTTAGATGTGGCCTGTGGGGCCGCCCTGGAAATAGCCAAGGACTGGTCCATGGTGCCTCTGCCAGCAAAAACGGAGCTTGGGAGGGCCGCCTGCGGCCCTCCTGAGCTCCGTTTTCGCTGGCAGAGGGTTGCAGGAGGCTGTCACAGTGAAAACGGAGCTCGGGAGCCCTTTTTCGCTGGCAGAGCACTTGGGCCACCACAGGCTCCCCCAACACGAATGACATCCAGCTGGCCACGCCCACCCTGGCCACGCCCACTCCGGGTCCCCAAGCTCAAACACAATCCTTATGCAGCCCTCAATGAAATCAAGTTTGACACCCCTGCCATAGTAAATTGTAACATTTATTTTTTAAAAAGATGGGCATGTTCAGGGTTCATTTCTGAGAAGTAGCTTGCCAGCTCGTGTCATTTCTAATAAATCATTGCTTACCCATTCTCAGACAGATAGTCATCAGCTACCTGGAGACGTGAGTAAGAATTCCAGTTTCATGCTCTCAGGACGTAAGCTGGCTGATGCCTTTTTCTGAAGGCAGTGTTCGGTTTCACTTCCACTGCTGGCTTTCGGAAGAGTTTGCTGTTCTTTTTTTTTCGTTTCCCAGGTGTATGCATGTGGGAAATCTTAATGCACGGCATCAAGCCTTTTCAAGGAGTGAAGAACAACGACGTGATTGGCCGGATCGAAAACGGCGAGCGGTTGCCGATGCCGCCCAACTGCCCGCCTACTCTCTACAGCCTCATGACCAAATGTTGGGCTTACGATCCCAGCAGGCGTCCCCGATTTACAGAACTTAAAGCTCAGCTGAAGTAAGAATTCCTTTTCTCTTTGTTCGTATGTAATGCGCTCATTTTTTCCGTGTGAAAATAATAGTCTTTATATGGGGTGGGGCGCGGTGATGGAGATTTGTTTGGAGCAAGGGATCCGGTAGCGTTTCTTTGCAAACCAGGTTTTCATTAGTCTTGATTGCAATTTGGAATGCCCTCGTTTTAAATTAACGCAATGTACCCCAAGAATAACAAGATTAATTTGTAATTTGATGACATAATTGTTCTGCTTTATATTTTTCTGACAACATGTGAATTTCTGTTCGATTGCTGCCAAACACTTTTCTCGTGAAAGCCTCGTTTCCTTTTCATAGTTCCTTGTTCTCATAGCGACCATGTTGCACTATTGTGTTTTTTTATTGGTTGTAAGCAGAGATGGTCCCAGGGTAGCATTTGGGCTACGGAGACATTGCTTTTCTTGTTGCTTAAACAAAACTTTCCTTAAAATTTTTAACTTTCTTTGTAGAAGCTAGATCGAGGTACCTTCTAAATCAGTTCTGAAGCTAGGACCTTAAATCTTCAGATTTTGTTTATTCTGCTTTTCTGTGACATAGTTGTCTAATCATGTGGTACAATTATTAATAATGGGGATAAGCAGGATAACAATATCAGAAAAGTAATAAAAGCCAAAGCAACCCCCAAATTCCACCCTCCAAATACCAAAGCAGAATTGTACTATAATTTATATTCAAGTTGTCCCTGACTTATCATCACAACTGGGACCAGAATTTCCATTGCTAAGGAAGGCGGTTGTTAAGTGAATCGCACCTGATTTTAATGGTATTTTTGGCCACGATTGTTCAGGACATGGCTGCAGTTCTTAAGTGAATCGCGCAGTCGTTAAGCGAATCTGGCTTCCCCTCCCCCCCATTGACTTTGCTTGCTAGAAGCCAGCGGTGAAGGTTGTTGCAGATGGTGGTCAGGTGACCCTGGGATGGGCTACGGTGAATACATGCTTGCTGTGAAGCGCTCAAATTCGGATCACATGACTGGAGATGCTGTCTCCACCGTCTTGTAAGTGGAAGAACCAAGCGTAAGTCACTTTTATAACTTTAAACGCTGGCGAAATAAATGGTTGTAAATCAGGGGTGATCTGGATATATGTAAATGGATTAGTGTCTTCTCTAAGGTGCTTCAGAATAATTTGTTTTCTATAATTTTCCAGAAAGAGCGAAGCAACAGGGTTTGGCAATTCCCCCTCCCCTCTGTACTTTAGGTGTACTTGTGGATTTACAACTATTCATTTAGCGACCATTCGAAGTTACAATGGCACCCACAAAAATGACTTATGACCATTTCTCACACTGAGGACCAGGGATGGGCTTCAAAAATTTTAGCAAGGGGTTCTCTGCCCGGTTGCTGGGTGGGCGTGGCCATGGTGGGCGTGGCCTAGTCTGCCTCCTGCACCATGGCGGGGCTGGGTTTGCCCTCCCCAGACTCCGGAGGCTTTCCTCGAGCTTCCGTGAGGGTGAAAACGGCCTCCCCAGGCTCTGGAGGCCCTCCGAACTTCCGGTAGGCCCGTTTTTCGCCCTCCCCGAGCCTCCATGCGCGCCCTGCACTTACCTGCATTCAAAACAGGCCACGTAGGGACTCCTGGGAGGGGCGGGGGGGATTTGGGGGTTCTCCAAACTGCACAGAATCTTAGCTAGAGGTTCTCCCATACCCCTGCGAACCCCCAGCAGCCCACCCCTGCTGAGGACCATTGCAGCATCCCCAGGGTCACGTGATCAAAACCTAGATGCCTGGCAGCTGGTTCATATTTATGACCGTCGCAGTGTCCCAGAGGTCACGTTTTGCCACCTTCTGACAAACAAAGTCAGCGGGAAAGCCAAATTCACTCAACTCACTTAAAGGCTTTGCTTGCTTAGCACTGGAAATTGTTGGGCTCGATTGTGGTCGTAAGTCGAGGACCTCCTGCATTCCATATCTGTGAAGCTGCAACTAAAAAAGCTCCTGTGTCTCAGGTCACCACAATAGTGATGAAAAGAGAGGTGTAATCCTTGAGGTTGATACTTGGGAAGAAATGGCCTGCAAGAGGTCACGGAATACTCTGCGTTTCCAGTTGAGCAGAATAAAATAAAATACTGCTGGTTTGGTTTTGTTTTTCACCAGAGGCCCAGAAATGAGTCACATCTCCGATTTCAGCCAGTCTAACTTTAAATAACTTCCATTCACTTTTTATTTTTCCCCCCTTCTTCTTTTCTCTGAACAAAGAGAAATGCTTTTGGCTTCCCCATCCTTCCATAAAGGCCAAGTCATCCCTTTTTGCCTGAAGCGTTTGAGAATTCCCTTCTGGTGAGGCAACTGTGGGCAGTTGAAGCAAGCGCATTTCAGGGTTTACGTGATGATGTGCCCACAAAAGCAACGTTGCGTTCCACTTCAGAGTTCACTTTTTTTGTGTGTTTTCTGTTGTCACCTTTTGGGTGTGATCTCTACGAGAAAGAAGTCCTAACATAAGGATGTGTTGGGTCCAAAGCCGATGATTTCAAGATAGGGAACGAAAAAAATGGAGCAGGGAGCCGTGATGATCTCGGGCAAGGAGCTTCTTCCGTAGTTTTGACGAGCTGGAATTCTGGATCCTGGTGTAGGAAGTTAACACCCACCCCTTTCCTGGAAGAATGAAATATTTTAGGAAATATTAAAAAGGCAGAATATTATGTTTCCCTGGTTGAGAAATGGAGAAACATGTTTTAAAGACAAAGCAACTCCCACCTTCCTGCCTCCCCCCCCTTTGTTAATGGGCCAGAGGCAGAAACTCAATCCTTGTCATTGGACCTTCATCTGCAACACAATAGGACCCATCTAGGACAGAAACTCACCACATGGCACCTGGGAAGATTACATCAGCCAGCAAGGCTAGCTAAGTCCCCCACCCCCTGGGAGTCTTGACAACCAATCAGGATATTCTTTCGGGGCCCCAGGAAATTCAAAGCCAGAGAAAGCATAAAACCTGGAGACTCGTTGTATCTCGTCCCCTTTTCTGTTCAGGAACTCAAGCCATGTGATCCTGTCCACCATTAAACATTCTTTCCAAGCAGTCTCCATGTTTCCAGTGTCTTTTTCCCCACTTGGAGCTGAACCCAGAAGGATATTTCTTCCTACACTGGAAAGCCTAGTGTGATGAACCATCATTTTATATATTTCAGTTCTTTTCCTGCCTGGTGGGCACACTTTAGTGCAGGGGTCTCCAACCTTGGCAACTTTTAAGACTTGTGGACTTCAACTCCCAGAGTTCCTCAGCCAGCAAATTGTGCGGAAATGTCTGTGGAGATTCTCAATCGTCCAGGTCCTGGTTGTCCCAAAGGTGCTTGTTCAAAAGGAACTGGACTTTGCTTTTCCTTGAAGAGGTTTCGCTTATCATCCAAGAAGCTTCTTCAGTTCTGTCTTCAGTTCTGACAGTTCTTCAGTCAGAACTGAAGAAGCTTCTTGGAAGAGAAAGCCAAACGTCTTCAAGGAAAAACAAAGTCCAGTTGCCTTTTGAACAAGCACCTTTGGGACATTGTGCAGAAATGTTCGGATTTTAAAGGTCTATAAAATCTAACTTTCCAAAGTGTATTTCTAGTTGCTGTACTGCAGCTCAGCTTAATGGTAAATTGGCTTAAGTACAATATCCACTGGAAAGGATTTCCTTTAGCTTTTATTTATTGATAAATCTTGTATGTTCCACTTTGAAATCTGCCAGGACATTTATAAAAATATAGAGGCAGAGGGCAGGCACAAAAGATTTCTGAAGCTTTTTAACTCTTTTCTCGTGGTGAGTTAGTAGTTTTATTTCCTTTAGTGGTGAAATATGGGTAGCCACTTTTCATGTTAATTTACCTTTTTTACTTAGTAAGTTGGGAATGATTTAGTGATGGCAATGGTGGCGGTGTCTTCATCTCTGGAAGTCTTTAAGAAGGGACCGAAGAGCTACTTCTCATAGATGGTTTAATTCAGGGGTGAAATGCTACCGGTTCGGGGCGGTTCTCCCGAACTGGTAGTGAAAATGCTACTGGTTCACCTGAACCAGTGGTAAAAAAATGCTTTAAAAAGGGGGGAAAAAAAGTTCAGACAATCAGCTGTGCCCCGCGATCTTCTGACCTTTTTTTTTTTTTTACTTTTTAAAGCATTTTTTTTACTACCTAATTTTATTTGGGGGGGAGTCCGTTTTTGCTCCCAGGAGGCTTCCTTGAGGCCTGCTAGGCCAAAATACGGGGGATGGGGGGGCGTGCTGCGAAAGAAAGAAAGAAAAAGAAAGAAAGAAAGAAAGAAAGAAAGAAAGAAAGAAAGAAAGAAAGAAAGAAAGAAAAAGAGAGGGAAGGATGGGAGAAGGGAAGGGAGAAAGAAAGGAAAGAGAGAGAGAGGGGAGGGAGGGAGGGAAAAAGGAGAAGAGGAAGGACCACAAACCTGGCACTAGAGGCAGCTTCAGAGGATACCTTGAAAGAGCACAGCAATCCAGGGCTGGAAGGGACCTGGAGGTCATCTAGTCCAACCCCCTGCTCCAGCAGGGCATTGTTAAAGTGAGTTTCTGTCTCTTGACCCCCCCAGTCACATGATTACATAGCCACACCCACCTAGTCACATGACCCTCCCCCCACCAAGCCACGCCCACAGAACCGGTAGGAAAAAAAAATATATTTCACCATTGGTTTAATTCATTTTCATGCACATTGTTGAGGGTTGGATTCTATTTTTCTTCTGACGCTCAGTGATGAGATGAGTAAACTAAATTTAAGAGGAGCTTTGGAGTTTCTTCCATCCATTCTGAACTCCATAATTCTGCCTTATTGCAAGGGTTCGAAAGAGATTGAAAAGCTTTTGTTGAAACAGAAGAATTTGCTTAAGGTAACAGTGAAAAAGAACGGAGGTTACCCAGCATAGGGAAATTTCTATTCTAAAATACGATTTTCATATTTTCAAATCTCTCAACTTCGAGACGATGTCTTGAAGCTGCTTTAAAATTCTGGCAGACTTGCAAGCTGCATGACATGACATGCCCTTTGACTCGCATGCTTTACCGTCCTTACAAATAACATTCCATTTGGGAAAATATGATTCAGTTTGACTTTCCTAACCTCCTGCGAGTTCTCATTTTTTAAGAAAATGCTTAAGAGTGCATTCAAAACAGACGTCAAAAGGGAAATGGGGAACATCTCTAGATGGTGAGGTGTTCCCGGCTGACGCTTCAAGTGCTCACGCAAAAGACCCAGCTTTGATTATTTTTCATCCTTGGTTTGGGACAGTCCACAGTGTCTCCCAGTTGCTTCCGTTTCATGCTTTCTTCTTCGTCGGAGCAGAGAGAAAAGCATCTGAGGATTGGCTCCATTTCAGCTGCTTTGGATTTGGAAGTGGGCTTGCCTTAAACAGAGCAGGAAACTTTGTACCGTTTCAGACAAATGATTGTCCAATCTCTTCTTTAAAAACTTCCAGTGTTGGAGCATTAACAACTTCTGGAGGCAAGCAGTTCCACTGATTAATTTTTCTCACCATCAGGAAATTTCTCCTTAGTTCTAGGTTGCTTCTCTCCTTGGTCAGTTTCCATCCGTTGCTTCTTGTCCTACCTTCAGAGGCTTTGGAGAATAGTTGCCTCTCCTTCTTCATGGCAGCCCCACAAATATTGGAACACTGCTCTCATACCTTTTAACCTTGTAAGCTGCCCAGAGTTACCCCGTGGTAAGATGGGTGGCCAATAAATTTAATATTATTTTTTATTAATCATATTTCTATGCCGCCCACTCTCCGAGGACTCTGGGCGGCTTACAACAATCGACAGTATACTAAATAGCATATTGCCCCCGACAATCTGGGTCCTCATTTTATCCACCTCGGAAGGATGGAAGGCTGAGTCAACCTTGAGTTGGTGAGAATCGAACTGCTGATCTGCTGAACTAGCAGTCAGCTGAACTAGCTGCAGTACTGCACTCTAACCACTGCGCCACCTCGGCTTATACCTCAATAATCAAGTAAAAATAAAAATAAAATAAATTATTAATGCCACTCTTCTTGAAGGAAGAATATCTTGCGGGGGGTGAGGGAGACTTTGGAGGCCACAGGGCAAGTGGGCCTCCCAGGGCCTCCCCCATCTCTGAGCCGCCCTGTGCTCCACTTAACAACCCACATGTTTGTTTAAAGGCCACATGAGTGAGAGCAGGGAGTAGGGGTTGTTAAGCAAGACTCTCTCACTTAATGGCCATCATGAAGTGACCATAATGGGCAGACTCCATTGTGGTTACATGTTGAGGACTATCTGTGGTAAAAAAAAAAAAAAAAAAAAAAAAAACTTTAGTTTTTGAACAAGCAGTGGACTTGCACAGCTTATCTTGTTCCTCTTGTGCCTTAGAGAACCAGACAAAAAGGATGTAAATTCTAAATAGCTTGTAGAAAGTCTTGACTGGCATCCAAAGCGCAGTAGTTGTTCCCGTGCCAGGCTGAGTAGCTTGCAGCTCTGGAGAGGCTAGGGTGGAAATGATCAGACCAGTTTCGAAGTCCTGTGATTACACAGAGCAGGGTTCTGTTATTGCTTAGTAAATCGTGAAAGCTGCAACTCAAGGTTTTCAGGATGGATAATCCAGTTGGCTAATTTGCACGGCAGGAAGAGAGTTGGTAAGTCTCTGAAGTTAAAAAAAAAAAGGATATTTAAGTAGATCCCACCCCACCCCCACCCCACCCCCGGCAAAGCAATTATTGCATTTCTGCTTCTTTAAGGAGAATGTTTCAAAAATGAGGTTATTTGCTATTAGATTTGTGAAAGTCTTCCTTAACTATAAGGAGAGTCAGAAGATTTTTCAGTCATAAAGTAACCTTATTGTCTGTGTTCATTTTTCCCCCCAAAGCAAATATCTTTTTCCCTCGCTCTGTTGGAGCTTTTTCAATCAAAAAGAATGAGAGACACATTCATTCATCCCTACAGATTTTCTTTCTTCTTTGGGAATCGCTCATAACTTTCTAAAAATACCTTTCATTGGTATGCGTGTTAGTGTTTAAAAGTCTTACGTTTCAATGCCGAGTTGCTAATTTTGCAAAGGCATGCAATTCCCCCCACCCACCCACCCTCATCTCCCATTCCTCCAGAATAGCCTTATAAAAGTCTAACCGTTTCTGTTGCTGCCTGAAAAAAGAGAAGACATATTTGTCTACCGCATTCCTTCCTTGTCTGCAGTCTGGAACCCCTGATTTGGGGAATGCACTTGGACGAGACTGGAGGACCACATTTATTATATTCCCGAGACATAATGTCATTTATCTTCAGCTCGCTGCTTATTTCCCCTTTAGTACGATCCTGGAGGAGGAGAAGCTGCAGCAGGAAGAACGAATAAGGATGGAATCAAGGCGACAAGTCACCGTGTCCTGGGATTCCGGAGGGTCCGATGAAGCTCCTCCCAAGGTAGTATGGAGTGAAGATCAGTTTTTATCCCATATCCTTTATCCCCCAAGAGTGTTAAGCGCTTCGTTTTGCTCGGTTGTAAATTCACGGGATCAGCAGTGCTGAGTCCACATACAGACCGAGGTTCCCTTTTGTTAAAAATTCAAGCAACATTTTTTTTTTTTTGGTGGTAAACTTAATAACTACTAATAGAAAAGAATATTTTGCAACTCAGGGTTGATCTTAGTGCGCACTGAGCGTGGCTGTTTTCATGAAATGAAAACTGCAAGAAAACAACCAAGCTCAGAGAGCACCAAGGACCCCTCAATAATTACTGCCCAGCTAAGTTTGATAAAGTAGAAACAAACAACCAATAACAAATGAGGATCAGTATCTGTAATGATTTGTTAACTTGGAGGAAAGAGTCTTTCTGGCATGGTTTTTATTTGTTGTTGCAAGGAGGTATAGTTCTACTTGGGGAAAAAAAATAATGCAGCGATTATTTCTGATAGCCGTGTAGTTTTTTGTGATGTTGAAGCAGGTTGCTAATTATTCTTCTCTACATTCAACAATTTGTCCTGCCTGGAGGGAATCCAATCTTTAGATTCTTTTGCCTTAGGTAAAACATTTGCTTTTGGGTCTGATTTGTCATCTCATAAATGACCGATTAGAGAGAATCCTTGACATCCATAAACTTATATTGATGACATCCCAGAGAAATCTTTCAAAATTAGTTCCTTCCATTCTACTCTGTGCTGGGAGAAATCCTTATTCTGTGAATCATGAGATTGTTTGCTGAGGTTTTGTTTACATCTGTTTTGGTTTTTGTCTTTTGAGAGGTTGAAGCCTTTAGCGTCATTGCTCATGGCTCACTTGTGTTGCGTTTCATATCTTGATGTGTTTGTATAGCCACTTTTTAACTTGGGTCTTAAGAAACGGTGTGTCATAAGTTTGCCAGGCAAATAGGAGTCCGTGTGGAATCACAAGAATTCATTTCTCATTCTATACATAATAGATCATGCGAGATAAAATCCAGAGCAGAGGTGGAACAGGATAGGATAAGACGGGGTAAGAACTGGGAGGAGAGGATGCAAGACTGATAGCATGGGAATGGGGGTACAAGCAAGTCAAAGATAGCTTGCTCACTGACAGAAAATTTTTCAGTTGGAATGCCAGGTTTCCCTGAGTCTGCTTGACACTTGGAAAAGATTTTTCCTACTTTGTATACCATGTATTCCTTTCTGTACATTAATTTTTGAAATATTTATATCCCCATTCTGCATATGTTTGTTAATTATATTTTTTTACGATGTTTACAATATATTTACAGTGACAGTTTTACTTTGGATAACTTGTCAAATGCATGACAAGGAGGGTCTCGTGTCTGCAAGGGCTCAGTAAAAAGAATCACACAAAAACCGTAGATAGGATATTGAGTTCCACCATCATTCCATTCTAAACTAGGTCCCTGATTTCCACAAGGGTTGACTTGAGAAATAAAGGCTTGTTATGGATGAAGAATAGGCTTTGGTTGAGAGCCATTGAAAAATTGCGAAGTGTAGGAGACGTGTGTTAAGTGTTGGACTGGCCACTTTCTCTAAAATCTACCTTTTGAATGCTTCTGTTTGATCTCAGCAGAAGTGGTCCATATTATCATCATCCTGAATGTTTCATGCACAAGTCATGCTTGGACCAGAATACAGAATAATGAAATTGGATGAGAACTTGTCCAAAGCCTTCCCAAACAGGAGACCCTATACCCGTGATGGCGAACCTATGGCATGCGTGCCACAGGTGGCACATAGAGCCCTCTCTGCAAGCACGCGAGCCTTTGCCCCAGCACAGCTTCGCTGCGCATGCGTGCGTACCTCCCGCTGGTCAGCTGGTTTTTGGGTCTCTGCTGTGCATGCGCAGAGCGTGGGGTGCATGCGGGAGACATGCGCACATGCCTGGGGGGTGGGGTGCACACACGGGGGTTGTGCTCGCATATGCAGGGGGTGGGGCACACGTGGGAGATTACATGTGGGGAGTAATGTGCACAGGGGGCAGGGCATGCAGGGAGTGTCACACACACATTGTATTATGGGTATGTGCGCACGCTTTCGGCACTCAGTGCTGAAAAGGTTAGCCATCACTGCCCTATAACATTCTGAACAAATAGCTGTCCAGTATCTTTTGAAAAACCTCCAGTGATGGAGAACCCACAAACTCTGGAGATAAGCCATTCCATGGATTGACTGTTCTCATAGTCAAGAAATTTCTCCTTAGTTCTTATCTCTTGTCATCCGTTACTTCTTGTCCTGCTCTCAGCTGCTTTGGAAAATAAATTGAACCCGTCTTCTCTGTGGCAGCCCCTCAAATATTGTAACTCTGTTAACATGTCACCCCAGTCCTTCTCTTCATTAGACTGGAGATACTCAATTCCTGCTATCGTTCTTTGTAACATTTAGCCTCCAGTGCCCTAATTTGTTTTTAAAATTATTGGGTGTTTTAAATTTGTCTCAGCCAAATTGTTTAATTCGGTTTTATTCTGTTTATAAATTTTGTATTTATGTGTTTTATTCTGTGGCTGTTCACCACCCTGAGTCCTTCGGGAGTAGGGCGGTATATAAATCCAATAAATGAAATGAAATGAAATGAAATTAGTGGTGGGTTGCTCCCGGTTCACACCGGTTCGCAAGAACCGGTAGTAAAAATTTGTAGTAGTTCAAAGAACCAGTAATAACATTGGCTGGCCACGCCACAGAACCGGTCCCCGGCCCGATCGCCGCTCGCTTACCTCGCCCACCTCATCAGAGGCTTTTTTTTAAAAAAAAACTTTTAAAAGCATTTTTTCTACAACCTCTAAGGCCGAAGAGGTTGTAGGGAAAAAAAAAATGCCTTTAAAAGCCTCTGGCGATCCCAGCTGAGTTGCCTGATCGTCAGAGGCTTTTAAAAGCATTTTTTTTCTGCAACCTCTTAAGGTTGTAGAAAAAAAATGCTTTTAAAAGGAAAAAAAAAATATTGGCCACGCCCACCCAGTCACAGTATCCCCCCCCCACCAAGCTACACCCACAAAATAAGCCACGCCCACAGAACCGGTAGTAAAAAAATTTAGAACCCACCCCTGCCCTTATAATTATCTTTGTTGCTCTTCTCTGCACTTTTTCCAGAGTCTCAACATTTTTTTTTGTATTGTGGTGACCAAAACTGGGTGAAGTATTCGAAGTGTGGTCTTATAAAGTATAATGTGGTCTTATAAAGTATAAAATGGTTCCTTCATGTGATCTTGAATGTGATCTTGATCTCTCTCTTGATGCAACCCAGGCCTGCATTGGCTTTTTTAACTGCTTCAGCACAATTCTGACTCACACTTACGTGATTGTCCTAGACTAGGACTCCTAGATCCCTCTCACAAGTTAGTGCAGCTGAACCAGGTGCTGCCTATTCCATACCTGTGCATTTGGAGGTGAGCCAATGGCAATCGTGTGAAAACAGAGACATTGCTAGGACCATCGATCATGAGATTTGATTGTAAAGTTAGTTTTTCAGCAGTCATAACTTCAGATGGTTGCTAAGCAGGGCAGTTGTTAAGTGAGGACTACCTTTATTCCGGCATGCTTACATGGTCTTCGGTTCAGCCACTGGCATCTTGACTCAAAAGGGGTTAAAAGCTTCTGAGAAAAGTGTTGTGTTAACTCTTGTGTAGCTGGTGGTCAGAATAGACTGCATTTATACCGTAGTTAAAGATAGGTTAATTTAACCTCCATATGAATTAAAATTGGAGCTTTGTCCGGGAGGGCAGGGATTTGGGACACACACACCCCTCCCTCCTCAAAGGGTTCTTGAATTATTTCAAAAGAATTGGATCAACATTGAGGAAGCTGTGACTAAGTTCTTCTGTAACCTTTTTTTAAAAAAAATCTAGTCTGATTTTAATAAAACACTATCTTCCTTCTAGGATAAAGTAAGTTATGCATTGAAAGCAGGAGTGAAATCAGGGGTGAAATGCTCCCGGTTCGGACCGGATCGCCCGATCTGGTAGTGATGGCGGCCGGTGGTTCGGAGAACCGGTAACAAAAATCCCTGCCCTCACCCACCCACCATGCCCAGCTGAGCCGCACAATCATCAGAGGCTTTTTTTTTTTTTTAACTTTTAAAAGCATTTTTTCTACAACCTCGAAAAATGCTTTTAAAAGTAAAAAAAAAAGCCTCTGATGATCGCGCGGCTCAGCTGGGATCGTCTGAGGTTTTTCAAAGCATTTTTTTCTGCAACCTCTTGGCCGAAGAGATGGTAAAAAAAAATGCTTGGAAAAGTCTCTGACGATCCCAGCTGAGTTCCCTGATCGGCAGAGGCTTTTCAAAGCATTAGAAAAAAATGCTTTGAAAAAAAAAAAGTTGGCCACGCCCACCCAGTCACATTACCCTACCACCACCAAGCCACGCCCACAGAACCAGTAGTAACAAATTTTTACATTTCACTCCTGGGTGAAATCTTACCTTCCCAACCTGTTCGGAAGTGCGCTTGCCGACCCTCTGCGCATGTGCAAACCGTTTTGCGCATGCACAGAGGGTAAAAAAACAGGTTACTTCCTGGTTAAAACCAGGAAGTAACAACGACCGGGCGGGTGGGCGGAGCCTCGAGCTGCCATCGCTACCAGTTCTCCGAACTTGTCCGAACCAGGAGCATTTCACCCCTGATTGAAAAGAATGAAATCTTATTACTGGTTATCTTTGCTATCAATACCAATTTACTCTGGGTGCTTTGAAAAAAAAAAAAAAAACAGAAGTGGCTTGCATTCTTCATTTACAAAAGCAAATAAATGGTGCAAATTATCACAGCAGGTTGCCGTGCCTATCAGCCGGCATTGTTAAAAGGCATTTGCATGCTAAATTCTTAGAAATAATCAGAGCAGATTTAGTAGTTTTCTTTAGCATAATTAAAGCTTTTCAGAAAAGAACATTACCAAATCCTTTGAAAGCTCTGATTAATGAGCAAATGAGACCTAATTAGCACATAGCAGCTTGCCGTCTTTTTTGTTTTGTTTTGATTTTGTTTTTTCCTTGAGATTAAGATGAAAAGGAAAGTCTTCCAAAAGATGATTTTTTCCCTTCTGCTTTTGATTCTTGGATGACAATTTCAGCCGCCCTGAAAGACACTGCTGGAATCTCTGGAGCCCCCTCCAGTTGTTCTCATCTGTGTCGGCGTTCCAGCCGTGGCAAAAGTCACATCGTGTTTTGACAACGTGATCTTAACAAAAGACTGTTTTTCCTGACAGATATTCCTCGGCTTTCCTTCATCGTTCAATCCTGGTGTTTCTCCCAAAATCTGGAATAAGACCATTCCTCACTTAATGTCCTTTCTCTTAGTGACCGTTCAAAGTTACAGTAGAACACCCCACTCCCCCAAAACAAGATTATGAAGTTCCGATGGCTGCATACCTACCCACCCCCCCTTTCACCCTGTATTCACATGACCACATTTTGGGTGTTTGGCAAACTGACTTACCTTTAATGACAGTTTGCAGGGTTACACAGTCTTGTGACTGTGATCTGTGAGCTTTTTTTTTTTTTTTTTTTTTGCTGGTTTCCAGCCTAGAAGGGAAGGGAAGGGGAGGGGAGAGGAGAGGAGAGGAGAGAAGAAAATATAAGAATAGAATACGGAATAGAGAAGAGAAAAGAGAATAAAGATAATGTAATGGAAGAGAAGAGAAGAGAAGAGAAGAGAAGAGAAGAGAAGAAGAGAAGGAGAATAGAGAATGGAATGGAATAAGAATAGACTAGACAATAGAATAGAATAGAATAGAATAGAATAGAATAGAATAGAATAGAATAGAATAGAATAATAGAATAGAATAGAATAGAATAGAATAGAATAGAATAGAATAGAATTTTATTGGCCAAGTGTGATTGGACACACAAAGAATTTGTCTTTGGTGCATATGCTCTCAGTGTACATTTACTGGGAGTACATTGCTCCCAGTTTCCAGCAAAACCACCCATTAAGTACAATGGATTTGCCTAACAACCACATCGTTCACTTAACAACCACTGCACTCAACTGTCTCAAAAATATAAAAAATATCAAAAATTTTGTGATCTCCTTAATGATCCCAATGACTCAACAACTATAATTCCGGGTTCAAATTATAATTCCGGGTCGTAAGTCATACATGTAAATAAAGGCCAGTTCCACTACGATGCTGTTATCGATGAACATCCATCCATAGATTTTTGGAGGTTGTAGAGGCATGAATTTAATTGCCACATTTATCCAGATTAATCACCAAATTATGTTTTCTGAACGGGTCTTCCTTTATTTCAGTGGTAGGTAGCAAGCAAGGTGAGGGTTCTTTTCACCCCAAAATTTCATTCCAGTGGACAGGATGGTGTCAGATTCTTACGTAGCTCTTCTTCATTACATTTATTTTATTTATTTTGTCAAGAACGTATTAGGTAATTTATATAATTATAAGCATGAATTGAATACATAAAATAGATACAAGTAGAGGAAACATTAGGACAGGGACGGTAGGCACGCTGATGCTCTTATGCACGTCCCTTACACACCTCTTAGGAATGGGGTGAGGTCAACAGTAGACAGTCTTAGGTTAAAATTTTGGGGGTTTTGGGATGAAACCACAGAGTCAGGTAGTGCATTCCAGGCATTGACCACTCTGTTGCTGAAGTCATATTTTCTGCAATCTAGTTTGGTGCTGTTCACTTGAAGTTTGTATCTATTGTTTGCTCGTGTATTGTTGTGGTTGAAGCTGAAGTAGTCATTGACAGGTAGGACATTGTAGCAGATAATTTTATGAGCTACGCTTAGGTCAGACCGAAGGCGGCATAGTTCTAAGTTTTCTAGGCCCAGAATGGCGAGCAGACTTGAAATTCTTGCGAGCAGAGGAGTAGAGGACTCTTCTTGTGAAATATTTCTGGACTGGTTCGATTGTATTAATATCTGATATGCAGTGCGGATTCCAGACAGACGAGCTGTATTCGAGAATTGGTCTGGCAAAGGTTTTGTATGCCCTAGTTTCCAGTGCGATGTTACCGGAGAAGAAGCTACGCAAGAACTGTCCATTTTCCACCTAGATCCGCGATGGCGAACCTATGGCATGTGTGCCGCAGGTGGCACATGTAGCCATATTGGTGGGCACCCAAGCTCGGCTCTGGGGTACAGGCCAGCTGATTTTTCAGGCCTTCTGGGCCCACCGGAAGTAGGGAAACAGGTTGTTTCCTGCCTCCGGAGGGCCTTGGGGGGGTGGGCGTGAGGAAGGCCCGTTTTTCTCTCCCCTCCCAGGCTCCAGAATCTTTCTAGGAGCTTGGGGAGGGCAAAAACGGCCTTCCCCAGCCCCCCGGAAGCTGGAAACGGCCCATTTGCCAACTTCTGGTGGGACTGGAAGGCCCGTTTTTTGCTCTCCCCTGCCTCCAGAACCTTTCTAGGAGCCTGGGGAGGGCGAAAACTCCCCCCTCCCCCCGAAGGCCCTCAGGAGGACAGAAATGGCCAGGAAACAGGGTTGCGCAAGCATGAGTGGGGACTGCGGATAGAACTATGGGTGTGGGCACGCGTGCGCACAACCCCTGTCCTCTTCCCCCCCGCTCCTGGCACACGATGGCAAAAAGGTTAGCCATCACTGACCTGGATGTTATTTATAGCATGTGATTTTTCCGAAGTATAGCTAAGCCTTCTACGTATAGTAAAACTTCGTACATATCAGTTTGGTTAGATGTTCTATCTATCAAAATTATAGGGAGTGAATTGGTCCGCAAATCCATAAATTTCCATAATCCATGGAAGAGCTTGTAGGTGCTCCATCACTGGAGGTTTTGAAGAAGAGCCTGGACGGCCACTTGTCTGAAGTGGAACAGGGTCTCCTGCTTGACCCGGAGGCTGGACTAGAAGACCTCCAAGGTCCCTTCCCACTCTGTTATTCTATGTTCTGTTTCCTAGTTCCAGCTTCTGCAATAAAAGTGTTTCTGCCTTCTGTAAATTGTAACATCCAGAAGACGGTTGCCTTGTACAAATTAAGATGAGAAACGTAAACTAAGTATGTTAATGCCATTCTTATTTTTAAAATGTCCCGCTGGTGTATTGTGTATTACTGATTTGTTAATTTCTTTCTTTTTCTAGCCCAGCAGACCCGGTTATCCTAGTCCAAGATCAAGTGAAGGATTTTATCCCAGTCCGCAGCACATGATACAACCCAATCACTACCAGGTAAAAGAATACAACCCCTCTTCCATGGTTTTCATATTTTACAATCCTAAGTGTTTGTAGGAGGAAAGAATCATATTATGTATGTTGGGGGATTTTTTTTGGTGTATTAACTAGGTTTATAGATATATGATTCATATGACTAAGGGCGAAGCCAACACAAGTGTGGACTATGAGTAATTGTGACGTATTTCGAAGAGAATTTAAAGTACGCCCTCCTTTGGGCTGAGGGCAGGAAGAAAAAATCACATTTAATTAATATTGAATTCAATTAATAGGATTTTTTTTTCCATCACGTGTTTTAAAATTTTGCTATTCTTTCACGTTGAAAGTCATAATTTTGGCCAAAGCTTGTAGAGATCTTTGAGACCTCACCCAAGGCTTCTGAGGGCAATTTGTAATCCTAGGTCCTTTAAGAATCCATTTGGGGATAATCGGGATTAAAAATGAAGCACTGTGAAGGGACGTTGAAGGAGCATATATAGCCTTGAAAAAGGGCAATCAAGAGGAACATGGTAGCTGTTACATGCAGTCCTCAACTTACGACCACAATTGGGATCAGAATTTCTCTTGCAAAGCAAGGCGATTATTGAAGGACTCACACCCGATTTTACGACGTTTTTTTTTTTTGCCATGGTTGTTAAGCAAATTGTGGCAGTTGTTAAGTGAATCCAGCTTCCCCCCCCAAGACCTTGCTTGTCAGAAGCCGGCTGGGAAAGTCACAACTGGTGATCACAGGACCCTGGGATTCCATTTAACGGCCAAATGCTCAAATTTTGATCACATGATGGTGGGAATGCTGCGACACTTATAAGGGTGAGAACCAGTCATAAGTCACTTTCTCTAGTGCTGTTGCAACTTGGAACAGTCGCTAAACGGATGGTTGTAAGTTGAGAACCACCCGGACATAAGTAGAGGTCCAGGCCTATTCCCTCAAATCCAGGTTGAGGGACATGAAATAAGGGCTTTCAATACCCCCGTTTTATCCAGAGAATTTGCCATTCCACCTCTTGGATCGTGCGCCAAGTTGCCAATGTCACCCAGGCTTGAAAGTGATTAAGATTGTGCCTCCTTGTGTACTTTTCAGAATCTTTTAGAAAAAAAATCATTTTCCTTTTTGCAGGGGGTATTAGCTGAGAATTTCTTACAATTGTTGCACAAGAAGCATGCAAGGCTTATAACATTTTGAATGCAGGCCTGTACTTTTAAAACAAAAGCCATCCTTTTGTTTTAAAATACTCTTGATTCCTATTAGAAGAAATAGTAGAAAGTTCCCCAGCTAGTTGGAAACAGCTGTTTAGTAGCTTTCTGTTGTACATTTGGAAACTTTTCAGATTAAAATTCTGAGAGTTGACAGTCCACAGGTCTTAAAGTTGCCAAGGTTGGACACCACTGACTTAGATCAATTAACATTAATCGATCTAAGTCAGTGGTGTCCAATCTTGGCAACGTCAACTCGCAGAATTCCCCAGCATGGCTGGCTGGTTGGCTGAGGAATTCTGGAAGTTGAAGTCCACAAGTCTTAAAGTTGCCAAAGTTGGATACCCCTGATCTATCCGAACACCATGTGCTTGTGTATCATCTGTGTATTGAAAGTTCTAATACCATAAGAGCAGGGGTGAAATCCATCAGGTTCTGGTGAACCGGTAGCGGAAATTTTGAGTAGCCTGGAGAATCGGCAAATACCACCTCTGGCTGGCCCCAGAGTGGAGTGGGAATGGAGATTTTGCAATATCCTTCCCCCAGGAGTGGGGAGGGAATGGGGATTTTGCAGTATCCTTCCCCTGGAACGGGGTGGGAATGGAGATTTTGCAATATCTTTCCCCCAGGAGTGGGGAGGGAATGGGGATTTTGCAATATCCTTCCCTCAGGAGTGGGGAGGGAATGGGGATTTTGCAGTATCCTTCCCCTGGAATGGGGTGGGAATGGAGATTTTGCAGTATCCTTCCCCTGCCATGCCCAACAAGCCACGCCCATCAAGCCATGCCACGCCCACAGAACTTATTTATTTGTTTCCATTTCTATACCGCCCTTCTCCAAATAGGACTCAGGGCGGTGAACAGCCAAAGTAAAAAAACAGAACATACAAAATTTAAAAAACAGTTTAAAATAATTAAATATTTTGGCCGTAAATTAAAACAACCCAATTTAAAATCAATTTAAAATTTAACTCAAGCCAGCCCAGCTAGTTGAAATAAATAGGTTTTCAGGGCCCGACAAAAAATCCAGAGGTCTGTTATTGTACGTATCTCTGAGGGGAGGTTGTTCCAGAGGGTGGGCGCCGCCACAGAGAAGGCTCTCCCCCTGGGGGTCGCCAGCCGACATTGTCTGGCGGACGGCACCCTAAGGAGGCCCACTCTGTGCGAGCGTACTGGCCGGTGGGAGGCTATTGGTGGCAGAAGGCGGTCTCGTAAGTACCCCGGCCCTAAGCCAGAACTGGTAGTAAAAACAAATTGGATTTCACCAGTGCATAAGAGTATGAAGTTGAAAGGTCAGGAGCTCTTCAGGAATTCAGGACTACCATGGCAGCCCTGGGGGTCATAATGAGTTTAATTTATGTGGAAAGCTGCAGATGGGCTCTCGGTTGAAGTTGACTGTTTGTGCCAACTTCTGTAAGGAGGGCACACCTATTTAGTCAACCTAAGGCATTTGATGGTTTCTGAGGGGGCTTTGGGAAGTCCCCAAGGTTTTGGTGGGCAGTTGTATTGAGGCTTTGCCTCTTGGAACATAGTGGCTGCCTTAGATAAGATGGAGTGAAGTGACAGAAAAGATACTTTGAGTAAGTTGAGTAAATGTCCATGTCCAAGGCTGTCTCATGGCAATGCAGGTAGTTTTCACTAAATAATTGCCCTGTTAATGACCATTTGAAGTTACAATATGCTGAAAAAATAACGGTTACCACTTCTCATCCGAAAAGCTCCTCCAGTAGATCTGTAGAATTTTTCTGGAAATCCGTTCCTACTCCCACACCATGGCTAAAAGTCTATGGAGATTCTCAGTCATCTTTCAAAGAAAACAAGAAAGTCCAGTTGCCTCCTGAAAAAGCACTTTCGGGACAACCATGACCCGATGACTGTGAATCTCTACAGACCTTCAGCTATGCCCTTTGGGATGAACACCCTTCGAATGGTGTGGGAGTATAAATGGATTTCCAGAAAAATTGCAGACTACAGGAACCATTTGCATTACTCAGGTGACTCTGAGGACACAGATAAACCTCCAAGTGGCCTCAATGACTCTCTAAAAGGATGCAAATGACCAGCTGTCTGCAAGGAGTATAAATCCTTCCATTCCCCCACCATCCAGTCAGAGCTGAAGAAGCTTCTTGGATGAGAAGTGAAACGTCTTCAAAGACAAAACAAAAAACTCCAGTTGCCTCCTGAAAAAGCACCTTTGGGACAACCCAAAGAGCCTTGATAGTACAGGGGTTTAGTGCACCCTGTTATTAACACAGCTGCCTGCAATTTCTGCTGGTTCGAATCTCTCCAAGGCTCAAGGTTGACTCAACCTTCCATCCTTTCTAAGGTAGGTGAAATGAGGACCCAGTTTGTGGGGGCAATAAGCTGACTTTGTATAAAATATACAAAAGAATGAAGGCTATTGCTTAACGCATTGTAAGCCGCCCTGAGTCTCCGGAGAAGGGTGGCATATAAATCAAATTAAAAAAAAAAAAACCATGACCTGAATGACTGAGAATCTCCATAGACATCTTTACAACTGACTCTCAAATTTACTACTATTGTAGTATCCCCTCAGTAATTTGATTTCCATTCTCACTTGGCTTTCAACAAGCAAACTCAATGAAGATGTCTCATTTAACAACTAGTTGCCTTGGTAGTACAGTGGTCTAAAGCACCCTGTTATTAAGACCAGCTGCCTGCAATTACTGCAGGTTTGAATCTCGCCAGGCTCAAGGTTGACTCAGCCTTCCATCCTTTCTAAGGTAGGTAAATTGAAGACCCAGTTTGTGGGGGCAATAAGCTGACTTTGTATAAATATACAAAAAAGATGAAGGCTATTGCTTAGCACATTGTAAGCCTCCCTGAGTCTCTGGAGAAGGGCGGCATATAAATCAAATTAAAAAAACAAAAAACTATGGTGATTCTCTTAATGACTGCAGGTCATTAAGCAATGCCATAAGTCTGGCATGATCCCATGTTTCACTTAACAACCACATCTCTCGGCAACAGAGTTGCCGTTCTCGGTTGTGGTTGTTGGGTGAGGACTACCTATAAAAAGGAGCAACCTATGAATATTTCACCACTCTTATTGCAACTACTTTTTTTTTTAAAAAAAGTGACTCAAACCCTTTTAGGCAAGGATGGGCTAAAATAGCATTTGTTGATGCCCTACGAATTATATTTGGAGTATCCGGTGGAAAAAGTCCCTAGGACTTGACTCTTGTCTGAGTTGGAAGCCAGCTGGTCTGTTTCTATGGGATTGACTGAGATTACATCATGTGGGGTTATTTAGGATGAGTTTGAGCTTGTTCAAAGGAAGAGGGCTGGGTTTCTGATGATGCTGGGTTTGTGAAAGCCTCTTAAGGCAGATGGATCAATGAAAAATGCTTTCTTTTATATTAAGTGTTTTTTTATTAAGTTATTAAGTATTATAAAATACAAAAGTAAATAAAAGAGCAGTGGAAGGGGAGGGGAAAAGGGGAAGAGAAGGTAGGGAAAAGAAAAGAAAAGAAAAAGAAGCATTGATTTCTGACTCTCTCTGTTGCAGTAAAATAAGGCATTAATATCAAATCACAGCTTTTCGTTTTCCCATAATAATATGAACAAGTCATTTCTATAAAGGTCTATCAGTCTAATCTCTAAAACCCAAAGTCAGAGTTTCATTCTTTTCCACATCAAGCATGAAGTTCAGAAGTGGTTTCCACATGGAAACAAAAGTACTTATGTTCTTTTCTTTAATCAGAGTAGCCAGTTTTGCCATTTCAGCCAACTCCATGGAAAATGCTTTCTTGAGTGAGGGGGTGCTACCTCCAGCCTTGGTGGATCTTGGTACGCCTCCTGTCAAGAAATCAACGTGATGTGAAGCATTATAATCAACCTCCTTTTGTGGGGGGAAGGTTCTTGAGAAGATGGTAGGTTTACAGCTGGCCAGAAGGAAGTAGATGACCTTCACTCTTTTTAGTCTGGGTTCAAGGTTACACAGGGTAGTTAAAATTACATTGATTATACTTGTGGGTGGCTTCTGGTGGGAGTGAAACTTTCATGTTCCTGCTTCCCCTCTCAGTGACTTTTGGGGTCAATAAGCAAGACATCTTTATGGGCCAGCGGGTGGGAGTGGGAGGTACTCTTCTGCAGTAATTATCCCAATTTTTTATTTTATTTTATTTTATTTTTTAATTTGATTTATATGCCGCCCTTCTCCGAAGACTCAGGGCGGCTTACAATGTGCTCAGCAATAGCCTTCATCGTTTTTGTATATATTTATACAGAATCAGCTTATTGCCCCCACAAACTGGGTCCTCATTTCACCTACCTTAGAAAGGATGGAAGGCTGAGTCAACCTTGAGCCTTGGCGAGATTCGAACCCTGCAGTAATTGCAGGCAGCTGGTCTTAAGCAGCTTAATAACAGGGTGCCTTAAACCCTAGTACTACCAAGGCTCTTGGTAGATTTAATGGGGTGGTTCCCATCTGCTGGTGGAGAGAGATTGAATCCAATGGCCTTCTATCACAGGGTCTCTCGTGATTTGGTGCTTTCTCCATTCCAGTTTAACAATGACGTGAAACTGCTTGGTGAGGTTATCTTTAGGAGGTTAGGCACATCAGCTTGCTAATGATGTCCAGTCGAACCCCAAGTTGAACAGGTGATGCAACTGAGTTGTTGTTGAAATCCTCGGAGGCTGTCAGGGCCTGGCTAGGATAGGATTTATTCTAATGAGTAGTTATGGGGTCAGAAGCCATGTGACTGTAGGGATATGCTGTCTCCTGTAATGCTGTACACCAGGGGTCTCCAGCTTGGCAACTTTAAGTCTTGTGGACTTCAACTCCCAGAATTCCTTGACTTGTGGGAGTTGGTCCACAAGTCTTAAACTTGCCAAGAATTCTGGGAGTTGAAGTCCACAAGTCTTAAACTTGCCAAGCTTGGAGACCCCTGATCTACACTGAACTGGCTCATACTTTGGAGGTCCTCTTGGACTCACAAATCTTGCTGTGGCCAGGAGGATCTTCTCAGAATTTCATCTATTGTTTCAATTATGACCTTTTGGAGAGCAAGAGGCTCTTTTTATTCACCTCCCATTTGGACTCTTGTAATATACTGCACCTGGGAATATTCTTGAAAACCACTGTGAAAACGACAGTAACTATGTGAGAGGGACCTTGGAGCCCTAGTGTACGGTCAATTAAACATGAGCCAGCAATGTGTGGCAGCAGCCAAAAAAGCTAATACAATCCTCGGTTGTGTAAACAATCCTTAGTAAGGCCACGCCTGGAATACCGCATCCAGTTTGAGTCACCACTTTACCAAAAAAGATGTTGAGACTTTGGAAAAAGGGAAGCGAAGAGCAACTAAGGTGATTTAAGGCCTGGAGACTAAAACATATGAAGAACGGTTGCAGAAATTGGGTATGGCTAATTTAGAGAAAAGAAGGACTAGGGGTAATATGATAGCAGTCTTCCAGTATTGGAGGGGTTGCCCCAAAGAAGAAGGGGTCAAATTATTTTCCAAAGCACCAGAAGGCAGGACAAGAAACAATGGGTAGAAAGTAATCGAGGAGAGAAGCAACCTAGAACGAAGGAGAAACTTCCTAACAGTGAGAACAATCAACTAATGGAACAGCTTTGCCTTCAGAAGTTGTAGGAGCTTCATCACTGGAGGATTTTAAGAAAAGACTGGACAGTCACTTGTCTGAAATTTATTAGTCCAATTTATTTATTAGTTCAATTTATATGCTGCCCTTCTCCGTAGACTCAGGGTGGCTTACAATGCATTATAGCAATAGCCTGCATACTTTTTTGTATATACCTGCTTATTAGGGCTTTTGGCCCCGCCAAGCGGTGTTGTTCTATACAAAGTTGGCTTATTGCCCCCACAATCTGGGTCTTCAATTTACCTACCTCGAAAGGATGGAAAGCTGAGTCAACCTTGAGCCTGGTGAGATTCAAACTTGCACTAATTGCAGGCAGCTGGCAGCTAAGTGCTAGCACTTAACAGCACTTTAGTCCGCTGCACCACCGAGGCTCTTTTTTAGCATAGTGCTAAAATAACATAGTGTTTCCTGCTTGAGCAAGGGCTTGGACTAGAAGACTCCAAGGTCTCTTCCAGCTCTTCTGATTCTATTCTTAGAAGCTATAGCTAGTGTAGGATACTATAGTTAGGTATCAACATGCCTCAAGATGTGGATTGTCGCCTTTTAAACCCTTCATTTCTCAGGACTTAGATATCTACAGAATTCTTGCTCCCAGGAGTTTCTGCCTTCCAATTAAATCAGAAAAAAAAAATGGGCTGCCTCTGGATTCCTTTTCTTGAGAATGCCATTGAAGATAAGCCTCCTTGATCTTGGTCCCCTTTCTCTGGAACAGCATCTTCAGGGAAGATACATCCCGACACATTTGGGATTCAGGAAGCCAAGCTACTCTTTTTTTTTTTTTGCTGTTTTAATCTTGTCTGTGCATGGTAGGGATTGTAAACCATTCAGAGTTGGTTGAAATTTGGAGCAGCAGATAAGCTGAATAAAATAAATTAAAAATAAATCCAATCATTTTTATTCTCAGGAAATTAATGATTGGTTAACACCAGGCTAAGTATTGGATGCATGATTAGATACATACGTCACATTTTTATTGCAAGCAACAATGCCCATTATCTCCCCACCCCCAATTATTTTTCCATACCTCTCCCGCCCACTGCCTTTATTTATAAATTCCTACAGCACGGGATGTAAGGCTGATGTAAGACTTCACGGCGTCCTGAAGGATTTGTCTGTATCTTTTGGTAGGTTTCAGGCTATCCCGGTTCCCATGGAATTCCAACCCTGGCAGGTAGCATTTATCCAGGACAAGCCTCTCTTTTGGATCAGACAGATTCCTGGAACCATCGGTCTCAAGAAATATCCATGTGGCAACCCAACATGGAGGTAATTTCCACCTAGTTATTTCACAGACCATTTTTCCCCCTCCCTCTTTTTGATGTGTCTCTGTGCTGATGCATATGTTATATTCCTTAAATATCATGGGGGAATTGAAAGACCACCTAGATTTGTCAGTTAATCTTCCTGATGAAGTTCAGATGGGTCTGCTCATGGATATTTCCTGTGAAGTCATGTGGACTGTCAAGTTAGCCCATATCAAAGAGCTATTTAGGAATAATTTAACAGCCAAGGGAACAGCGTGCCCTCAGATATTGTGGGTGCTTCATCACTGGTGGCTTTCAAGAAGTGACAGGACGGCCACTGGTCAGAAATGGCATAGGGCCTCCTGCTTGAGCAGGAGGGTGGCCTAGATGACCCACAAAGTCCCTGTTATTCTGTTATTCCTGTGGCTCATTATTCATCCACTTAAAAATTTTGAGACAGTGTTGAGATGTCATGACTTCCGGGGCAAGTGTGGGTAAGTCATTACTGATATTTGTGGCCTCGTTTGGCAGGATATAGTTTTAGTTTTATTTCTGTTTGGTAGATTATTGTAATCCAGATAGGAGGAAATTTTTACAGTTCTGCTAGAATTAGCATGGCTTACAACTTGTGCAAAGATTCAAGACCAGTAAGGTTGCCCAACTCCCAAACATTTGATGATCTGAATGCCTTTCTATTAGCACTTATGATTGACAGGTGTACTTGACATTCAAAGACTGGATCACTCCATTGCACAGAACCCAAAACATTTTGAAGCTAAAATGATGTTGGCGGCAGTGAAAAGGGGGGAAATTATGTTGATGGCAAATTTGGAATTAGCGTGATTGAACAGAAGCTAGAATTCACTAGATGTTCTGACTTAGGCTCCCTTAAAAAGCAGGAAGCAGAGTTTTGGTCCCGACAAAACCTCTTTTTATTTACACGACTGTGAATTACTTTCATTCACAGTCAGCAAGGCTTATCCAAACAGTTTTTCAAAGGAATATTTATCAACACACCTTATCTCGCTTGGCAAGCTGCCACGTAACTTGTTTCCAAATGCAGAGTAAGGCAAAATGTGGCACAGAGTCTCTTAGAGTCACGAACAGAACTTTTCCACTCTTGAAATGACCGAATGAACGAATTGTTTCCTGCAAAAGCCCCCTTCCCATTCACTCCTTTTTTGTTTCCTAGGGGAGGGGCCAATCATCTCCAAGACGTGGCTTTACTCCCAAGTCGACCCTGCTTTCTGAGTTGTTCTTGTCTTCTGGCAGCTCCGCGCATGCGCACACTGGGAATGGGCTCCAGCTGTTCCTCTGCCTCACTGCTGTCTATCTCCCTCTCTGCCTCCGATGCAGAGCCCTCGTCCGAGCTTTCCCCAGCCCCCAGGACTGGCCCTTGTTCCTCCCCAACCTCCTCACTGTCTGACTCTGCTGGCCGATGGCGGGCCACAACACTAGAATTCACTAGAAGCTTTACTGTAGCAGTGATGTAAGCGTATAAGTTGGCAGAGGTGGGCAGCTATGGCCCTTCGAGGACCTGTCGACTTCACATCTGGCTCAGGAATTCTACTAGTTGAAGTCCACAGGTCGTAAAAGGGGCCCTAGTTGCCCATCCTTGCTCTGAAAACATGGACAGGTGAGATTTATCACAAGGCCTTTGTGTGGATTATGAAAGCAGATGTTGGATGGCTGATGGGGTAACCAGTAGCTTTGATTCCACCATGTAACGGGCGATGATGAGAGCTTTGTTTAACGATCCTTCCTGTTGAATTGTTTCTGCATAGTTTCTAATGTATTTTGAAACTTCAGCTGTTCCGGATATGTATTATTGACTTGGGATCAGTGTGTGACTCTTTTGTCGTAATGATTTCTTCAGCTATTGGACCATTCCTGGATGCAGTTGGTTATGCTTTATATAAAGCATTGCAGAAATTGGGGTGAGGCTGTCAGGGTTCCAAGTAATAGACCCATAGCAAGCAAAACTCGGAGGCAGGTAGATTCCTCAAGGAATAGCTTTATTGGATATATCATATTGGCACAGATCTGGTGAAAACCGACTCTGAAGGTTCCCGCGGGTTTCACCTAATTAAAAATAAAAGTTTTCCCTCAAACCGCAATCAGTCAGTCACACAGCCCAATCAAGGCACTGCCTGGTGACATCACTCCTCCTTCCTCTGACCAGGTGTGAGAATGTCCTTGCTTCCCAAGAGAAAGTATTTTGTTTTGGCTACAAAACCCCAGCTATCTCTAGTCCCCCCTCCCTATCCCTCAGCTCCAGTGTGGCAACACTGAAGCTCCAAGATGGCTTTGGCCAGGTCAGCTTCAGGGTTGACAGGGGCCACTTCGAACAACATTATCTCAAGCAGATAGGTGTGGTGGTTAAGATCCTTTCTGTTTGTCTGTCACTGTTGCTGCCATCAAAGAAAACGAGTATCTCCATTTGTATTGTGTTGCCAGTAGGGTAGAACTTCTTTCAGGCACCGATTAGCGTTTAAACATACTTGCTGGTATCTTTAAGATTTATATTGACTGTTTCCCTATGACGATGATTCTTGACGAGCGTATCTTTTCTTTTATGTACACTGAGAGTGTATGCACCAAGACAAATTCATTGTGTATCCAGTCACACTTGGCCAATAAAGATTTCTGTTCTGTTCTGTTCTGTTCTGTTCTGTTCTACTCTACTCTACTCTACTCTACTCTACTCTACTCTACTCTACTCTACTCTACTCTACTCTACTCTGCATTATATCCTATTCCGTATTCTATTCTATTCTATTCTATTCTATTCTATTCTATTCTATTCTATTCTATTCTATTCTATTCTATTCTATTCTATTCTATTCTATTCTATTCGACAGAAAGTTTAGCCAGGTGACTGTGGTTACTTCTTTTCTTGTGCTTTCTGCAAGTGTCAAAGTAGAAAGAAAGAAACACAACCCTGCATTTAAGTTGGCTATCCCCTTCACAGGTCTTAAAATATAATTAAAACCAGAGAGGGTTTAAAGAAAAATATCTGTATTTTATTGCTTCCTCGAATGCCATTTTTAGCCGGGAGATATAATAAAGAAAAATATTTGAAAGAAAACTATTACAGATGTTTCTCAAAGTGTGAGTAAGATGGACATCCATCTTAGCATACAGTTTGTATGCCTTTCTGGCGTCTTCTTTTCTGCAGGATAAAGACTCAGGTGGAGGTTTGTATGCACGCATACACACACTCACATAAGCAAGTGAGAGAGAAAGAAAATTTACTGTATTTTTCGGACTATAAGACGCACCGGAGTATAAGACACACTAAGATTTCGAAGAGGAAAACAAGTTTTTGGCCTCCGCGCATTCGGTTTTTGCCCTCCCCGGCCCCCAGGAGCACTCTGCAGGCCTCCCAAAGCCTCTACGCACACCATTTTTGCAAAAATGGACCCGTTTTTGTCCCCCCGACCCCCCCCCCCCCCGGCATCCCATTTTTGCCTTCTCTAGCCCCCAGGAGCACTCTGCAGGCTCCCAAACATTCTGTGTGTCCCGTTTTTGTGACTGGAGTATAATTTTGGAAATTTGTGAAAATGGGACATGCAGGGCGGGGTTTTGGGAGACTGAAAATGGCTGTATTCGGTGTATAAGACGCACCGACATTTCCACCCTCTTTTTTTGGGGTGGGGGAAAGTGTGTCTTATACTCTGAAAAGTACGGTACTTCTTATACGTTTTTCACTTGTTTCATCTCTAAATTCAATGTTGTTCCTTTTTTCCATAATTTGTCATACCACATAATAAACACATATCACCACAAAGAGGCATTCTGGGATACTTACATACATCCCTGCTTTATATATGAATGATGATCAGCAGAAAGTGTTTGAAACATTTGCTGATCATCCATGATCTATACGGGGATTCTTCTTTGCTGAGGAAGAAGGGTTGTTTGGGGGCCCCCCACAAAAACTTCATTCAAGTAGATAGATGTGTGTGTTGGTGTAGAGCCAACTTCACAACTTCATGACCTTGAGATACATCCGTGCTAGAGCTCTCAATAATCAGTCATACTGTCTGGCAATTTTGGAATTTTTTTGTCAAGATATCAAGGGGTGCCAGTCCTGGGAACACTGGATCACAATTAAGCATTGACTTAATTGTTACTTGAGTCACTGTGGTTTTCCTAATACAAAGAAGTCCAATGTTAGGTGAAACCTCCAACCATTCTTTACCTTAAAAGTCTCTGTTTTTAACTTTGTGAAGCATATTTTCTGCGTGATGAAACTTTTCTGTTACCCAAACCTGTGTCAGGTTTCGAGGTCATCTTATAAATTGCATTTCAAACAAAGTCTTTGAAGGAAAACTCCTATTTATTAAGCACGACATTCTAAAATCCGACTCCATCGAAGCCAACACTGACTTCCAGACCCAAAACCCTCCCTTTCCGTTCCCCACTCCCCTGCACTCATTGGCCATCTTCCAAGTCATTCTACCCTTAATCTACTGCTCCAGCTCAAAGGAATTTCCCCCCTCCCATCCCATCTCTTAGGGGATATTATCTTCAGGGAAAATAAGTAGGTGAAAAGTCAAACGTCCCTTTCCAGACGCCTCCGCTTCTCCTTCTTATGTCAGCACTAGAGTAAATGCAGCTTGAAGTGCTGACAACCTGCTTTTAAATCCTTGTATTCATTAACTACTGAAGTGAGTACTGAATTAGGTTAGTGAAGTTTTGATTTCCTGACAATGTTTGTTTTTAATCTGAAAGCTAGTAGCACTTTATACTGCAGTGGTAAAACCACACTTGGAACACTGTGTCCAATTTCGGTTGCCACGATATAAAAAAAGATGTTGAGATTCTGGAAAGAGTGCAGAGAAGAGCAACAAAGAGGATCAGGGGACTGGAGACTAAAACATGTAAAGAACGGTTGCTGGAACTGGGTATGTCTAGTTTAATGAAGAGGTTTAGGGGGTTTCATGATAGTAGTTTCCCAATATTTGAAGGACTGTCCCAGAGAAGAGGGGGTCAACCTATTCTGCAAAGCACCAGAGGGCAGGAAAAGAAGCAATGGATGGAAACTAATTGAGGAGAGAAGCAACCTGGAATGAAGGAGGAACTTCCTAAACAGTGAGGACGATTAACCAGTGGAACAGTTTGCCTTCAGATGTTGTGGGTGCTTCATCACTGGAGGTTGTTAAGAAGAGACTGGACAGCCACTTGTTTGGAATGGTAGAGGGCAGTGTTGGCTAAACTTTTTGCAATCGCGTGCCAGGAGCGGAGGGAGTGCGGGGAGGGGGGGTGTCACATGTGCAAGTGTCTACACCCATAATTCTATTTGCCCTGCCCCTGTGCATGCATGCGTGACCTCCCCCGCTCCCCCTGCTCCTGGCACCTGAAAGGCCGTTTTTGCCCTCCCCAGACTCCTAGAAAGGCTCTGGAGCCTGGGGAGAGAGAAAAACAGGCCTCCCCACTCCTGAGGCCCTCCAGAGGCAGGAAACAGCCTGTTTCCCTACTTCTAGTGAGACCAGAAAGCCTGAAAATCAGCTGGCCGGTGCACACATGCGCACCAGAGCTGAGCTCACATGCCCACCGATATGGCTACATGTGCACCTGTGGGTCTATAGGGTCTCCTGCTTGAGAAAGGGGTTGGACTAGAAGACCTCCAAGGTCCCTTCCAACTCTTATTCTGTATTTTCTTATAACCAAAGTTAAACATATTCGATCATTAGTACTATATTGCTTTCTGTCATTTATCCTTTAGCCCAGTAAACCAGTATACAGTATACCGTATTTTTCGGCCTACAAGACACACTTTTTTGTCTCCCAAAGAGGGGTGAAAATGTCTGTGCGTCTTATAGACCAAATATTGCCAAACCCCCACCCAGCCGCCAGCTGTTTTTTGGCCTCCGCACACCCCGTTTTCAGGCCTTTTTTCGGCCCATTTTCAAGGCTTTTTTTGGGCCCGTTTTTGAGGCTTTTTTGGGCCCATTTTCTGGGCTTTTTTCGGCCTGTTTTGGGGGCTTTTTTTCAGCCGGTTTTTGAGGCTTTTTTTGGCCCATGTTTTTGGAAAAAACGGGCCGAAAAAGCCCAGAAAACGGGCTGAGAAAAGGCTGGAAAAGGGCTGAAAAAAGGGAGGCCAAAAACTTTTTTTTGTTGTTTTCCTCTTCTAAATTTAGGTGCGTCTTATAGTCCGAAAAATACGTTTTTTTTCCGCTTTAAAAAGAAAAGCAGGATCTGTATTGATGACAGTCACATTAAAATAAAAATGATGGGAGCTTAACATTTTAGCTTACCTCTTTTCTGTTCACCCGCCCTGCTTTGTAGGATTCTGGCAGTTTGGATATGCGCGGGATGGGACAGGTCCTACCAGCACATCTAATGGAAGAGAGATTGATACGACAGCAACAAGAAATGGAGGAAGACCAGAGATGGTTGGAAAAGGAGGAGAGATTTCTGGTACAATCTTTTTTTTGGGGGGGGTTTCCTTGTTGCAATTATAACAAGCTCTTTTCCTCTTATATTCTCGGATAATAATAAGAAAACAGAGTTCCTATTTCCATTAAATGCTGGCTAATTTTCCCACTAGTACAGCCCTTAAATATTCCCTTCAGATATTTATTTTTTTCCCATGTATTTATTTTTCACATTTTGGAACCGTCCAACTCCCGCCAAAAGGGGCGGTTACTATTAAAAGTCCACCTCAATCTTCGTTGATCATGTGACCGGCGGTGAGACGGTTGTAACTTTAAGGAGGGGGTCACAACGCACTTTTGTCAGTGCTGTCACAACTTCAAACTGTCGTTAAAAATGGTCGTAAGTTGAGGGGCAGCAGTCGCACTCATATACTGCTCCACAATGCTTTACAGCAGGGGTCTCCAACCATGGCAACTTTGCTGGCTGAGAAACTCTGGGAGTTGAAGTCCACAAGTCTTAAAGTTGCCAAGGTTGGAGACCCCTGCTTTACAGCCAGTGGTGGGTTCCTCCTGGTTCGGCCCGGTTCAGCCGAGCCAGTAGCGGTGACGATATGACGTCACCGAACCGGTTTGGATCCCCCCACCCCCCCTGCATTATTCTTACCTTTTATTTGGCCCCACCCCCAATCTGTTGCTGCCTCCTGAGTCCCAGCTATTGTCTAGAGGGAAACTAGCTGTTTAAACTCTTGCCGCAGGGCTTCAAAGGGCCGCCCTACAGCTAATCAGTGGTAAAAGAAAACAAATGAGTAGACCGGTGCCTGCAAAAATAAATAGGTAGACCAGGGCCTGCAAAAAATAAATGGGTAGACCAGTGCCTCCAAAAACAAATGAGTAGACCGGTACAGCTCTGCAAGCAGTTAAAAGCCTGGTAAACCAGTACCTCTGCTAAATCCTAAAGAATTGTCACATGATCATCAAGTCACGCCCACAAAATAAGCCACGCCCACAGAACCAGTAGTAAATAAATTTAAAACCCACCCCTGTTTACAGCACTCTCTGAGCAGTTACAACATCTCTCCAAGGCTCAAGGTTGACTCAGCCTTCCATCCTTTCTAAGGTAGGTAAATTGAGGACCCAGTTGTGGGGGCAATAAGCTGACTTTTGTATAAAATATACAAAAGGATGAAGGCTATTGCTTAACGCATTGTAAGCCGCCCTGAGTCTCCGGAGAAGGGCGGCATATAAATCAAATTAAAAAAAAAAAAAAACATCAGCATCGGTCAGCCTGTTGTTCCCAACAATTTGGGTCCTCATTTTAACGACTTCGGAAGGATGGAAGTACCTGTATATATAGATACTTGAGCAAAAAGATGCCTTCTTTAAGTCAAGAGGCTTATTTTGATGTTTTGCGAGCCATGATGGCTCAGTGGTTAGAGTGCAGTACTGCAGGCCACTTCTGCTGACTGCCGGCTGACTGCAAATTTGGCAGTTCAAACCTCACTAGGCTCAAGGTTGACTCAGCCTTCCATCCTTTTGAGGTGGGTAAAATGAGGACCCAAATTGTTGGGGGCAATATGCTGACTCTGTAAACTGCTTAGAGACGGCTGTAAAACACCGTGAAGCGGCATATAAGCCTAAATGCTATTGTGGCTCCCTCAAAACATGATTAAGCTTAGAGCTTGGATGACTCTATATTTTGTCGGGCTGAGTTTCAGGCTGGGATTAGCACTATCCAAACCAATAAACTCTTCACAGACTGAATAATACATCTGTAATGGTATAATTTTCTTTTTTTAAAAAAAATGTTGAAATTGTCAGCTATAATGTAAAATTTCAGCTCTTTATCTCTCTATGATCTCTTTATTTCTCCCTGTAGCTAATGCCTCTGAATAATTAATCTTTTCCCAAGTAAAGCATTGCTATCTAGTCTACGAAACAGCAGGACACGCAGATTTTGTTTTCATGAAGTCTGTGCTTGCACACTTCCTTGAAGGCTACCAAATAAGGACAAAACAATGTTGTTTTTCCCCCAAGGGGGAAAATAAGCAGCTGCAACTATTCTGGATGAAATTATTCTGAACTATCTATTGACCGTCTCTTCCCTTTTTGAAGGAAAATGGAACAGGCACCTCAACTCCTAACTGGTCTGTGAGCTTTTGACATAACTGCTCTATTTAAAAAAAAAGAAACATCTTGCTCTAAAGCGGAAATAAAGGGAATTGTTTGTTCAGTACTTAATGTACGTGTACACACACACACACACACACACACACACACACACACACACACACACCAGGGTTTTTTTTTAATATCCAGAAAGTTCATTCCAGATGTTCCAATCTGTTGTTGTGCCACCGAGGTACAAATTGTGCAGAAACAGTGAAAATGGTATTTGCCAGTTCTTTGAACAACTTGGTGTAAAATTCCATTTTAAAACAGGCTAGAAATATTTTTTTGGGGGGAGAAACAAGATTTTATTCCAAAGGTTCGACATATTATTGCCTATAAAAATAAATATTTATTTATTTATTTATTATATTTCTATGCCGCCTTTCTCCCGTAGGACTCAAGGCGGTGTACAGTCAAGAAAAATATAGACACACAAACATCATAAAATTGCTAATTAAAATTATTACTTAGTTTGGTCAATTAAATAAAACCCAGAATTAGATAACATTTAAAAAATCATTCACATGTTCGTATGTTTAGCCCTGCCTGTTGGAACATCAGGGTCTTGAGGGCACGGCGGAAAGCACGGAGATCAGGGATATTCCGTATCTCCGGGGGCAGTTCATTCCAAAGGGTTGGAGCCCCCACAGAGAAGGCCCTCCCCCTGGGAGTCGCCAGTCGGCATAATTTGACTGACGGTACCCTGAGTAGTCCCTCCCTGTGAGAACGAACTGGTCGGTGGGAGGCTATTGGTGACAAAAGAAGGTCTCGTAGGTACCCAGGTCCTAAGCCATGGAGCGCTTTAAAGGTGATAACTAACACCTTGAATCGCACCCGGAAGACCACCGGGAGCCAGTGCAGCTCGCGTAGGAGAGGTGTTACATGGGCGTAAATAAAGGCAGAGCCAATGTAATTTCCCAACGGGTTTTCATAAAATTGTTTTTCAAGCACTTTTTTTCCCAGTTTACTTTTTGGGAAGTGAAGTGACAATATATTGTTGCCCTTTTATACACAATAATACATTGGTTGCCACCCTGCTGAACTGCATTGGTTTCTCTGCCTCCCCACCAGCTGTGACTTCTTTTGAAAAGTTCCCCCATGATATTATATAGTAGATCCAGTTGAGACATGACAAGAAATCCATTACACATAGTCCTCAACTTTTTTTTTTTTAATTTGATTTATATGCCGCCCTTCTCCGGAGACTCAGGGCGGCTTACAATGCGCTAAGCAATAGCAACCACAATTGAGCCCAACATTTATGCTGCTAAGTGAGAAATTTGTTCAGTTGAATTTTGGGCCCATTTTACGAGTTTCCTTGCCACGTTTGTTCAGTGAATCACTGCAGTCGTTAAATTAGTAACACAGTTGTTAAGTGAGTCTGGTTTTCCCACTGATCTTGCTTATCAGAAGGTCACTGAAACCGTCATAAATATGAATCAGTTGACAAGCATCCAAATGTAAATCACATGTGACCATGGGGATGCTGCAAAGGTCATAAGTGTGACAAATGGTCATAAGTCATTTTTTTTTCATTGTAACTTCAAATGGTCACTAAGTGAACTGTTGTAAATCGAGGACTGCCTGTATACGATTTTTCTTAATCTCTCCTAACCTCATATAATCTCTTCGGTTTGCTGCTTTTGTGATTGGCCAGGATGCATTCACTTTTACTTTCAGGATTAATACATAATCAAATGGAGTGAAAGTAATCTTCGGTCCTCCCTTTTATGGCCGTAAGTTGTGATAGTCGTAAAGCGGTTTCATTTACACGGCTGTCCTGATTTTAGGATCTTCTTTGCGGTGGTCGTTAAACAAACACGGACACATTAAGGGAACAATTGCTGCCGTTAAGGAAACCATTGGTGTGTTAACTCCTGGTTTTTATGCTAAAACACGGTCGCAGGACATTGCGAACGACTGTAAACGTGTCCTGGTTGCCAGGCGCTGGAGGGATAATCATGGGACGTGAGGTGGGGGGACATGGGACAACGACTTTCAATGCTTTGAATCCCGCGAGCCTATCAGAACCTTAGTTGCTAAGCAACCAGTCGTAAGTCGAGGACTATCTGTTTTTACAGAGGCACGGTGTCAGCCAGAGTGTTTCATGGAAGCTCCTGGGGTCCCTGTATGTGGACTTTAATAGGATATGCATATTTTCTGACAACTGTACACATTCATGCCAGCATAGGAGCTGTGGTGGCGCAGTGGTTAGAATGCAGTACTGCAGGCTACTTCCGCTGGCTGCTGGCTGCCAGCAGTTTGATCCTGGCCGGCACAAGGTTGACTCAGTTTTCCATCCTTCCGAGGTCAGTAAAATGAGGATTGTTGGGGGCAAGAGGCTGACTCTGTAAACTGCTTAGAGAGGGGCTGTAAAGCACTGTGAATATAAGTATATAAGTCTTAAGTGCTGTTGCTATTGTGCAGTCAATGCTCTCAGCACACTGGGCTATGCTGTTTGGAAGAAATTTTTCCCCCAAGGGGGGAAAAATGTTAATATCAGTGGCGCTTCAAGCAGAGTCATTTGGGGCTCGTGCTGCTCATTGGGTTGAATTTCCCTCTTAAACTGTAGAAGCAAGACATGTTTCCCAGCAGCAGCCAAAACCAGAAAGGAACATTTTCAAAGCCTAAAAGATGCTTAGCGTATTTCCTTAAACCTTAATTTCCATTCTCTGCTTATGGAGAGGAGGGGGAGACATTGACTTAAGTCAGCACATCAATAAAAATATTGAGTTCGGTTCAGGCCTCAAAAGGAAGTGAGAGACGATTTGGGGCAGGGTGCATTTTCTCCAATGGGTTGCCTGCTTTTTTAAACCTGGCACAGATCAATCTTCATTGGAGTGTATCTTATTTGCAAAAAAATTTTTTTTTTTA